GTGTAAACTTTCTTGATGTTTCCTTTTTGTCTGCTAAACTGGAATTGGTTGATTAGGCTCAGTACATCATCTACATACCAAATATCTTCTGAACGAGGTGATGGTGGCTGAGTGCCGTGCACACGCATAGGGAGCGTGGTGTGCGCGTATTTAGAACGTGGAAAAGGGTGAACATTTCTGCGATTTTGTGTGTACTGAGAGCGTAGTTACCTTCACTCTTAAGGTTTTGTATGAGAATGCTTTGTGAACTCGGGGCCTGCACTGTACATGCACATGAGCATTAGAAGTGACCGAAATGTCCAACTGGTGAAGCTGAGCAGCCTGATTGATTACATTCCATCCCTTGGTGGTGAGCTTGACAACATCCCCACCATTATTTAGGTTATTGTCGCAAATTATGCACGTGTCCATGGCGAAATATGGCTCTTTTCATAAAATTAGCAAAAAAGTTTCAAATATCGGGGAAAAACCTAGACTGGATTGCAAGCCAATCACCAGAGCTTAACAACATCCCCACTATTATTTAGGTTATTGCCCCCAATTATGCACGTATCCATGGCGAAATACAACACTTTTCACAAAATTAGCAAAAAAAAGTTTCAAATATCTGGGGAAAACCCAGACTGGACTCCAAGCCAATCACAAGAGCATGACAACAAAAACAAACTAGGTCACAGCCCGCTTATTCTGAGTTCTCTAAGACATCAGAACTCACGTCAAACCCGCTTATTCAGTATCAAAGCAGTGTTTTGACGGCAGTGTGACGTCATGACGTCATTGTGGCGTCAGGGCGTCACACCATGACCTGCTGGCGTTGTGATAATGTTATTTTCCGATTCGTTGATATCACTTTTGTATCTAATGATAATACATTTATTGCTCTAAAACGAGCTGTTTCCAAGATATGGAGGCCAGAAAGTCCAATTGGCGGTCATCTTGGATTTATGCTAATTATGAAAAACGCTACAGGGTTTCAACGGACAATTTTGAGTTGGGAGTCCTTTAGGCATCCCTTTAACATATTCCAGTGAAAAATTCTTTTGCAATTTGTTCTCGGTAGTTTTTTATTTCTCTCCGTCTATTTTACCGCTACCTTACTACACTCTATAGAATTTTAATGTGTAAGAAGCACCTAGCAAGTTCGTCGTTATGTTTGAAGAGATTGGGGGCGAGGGTGGGGCTAAAGGGAACTAATCAGGTTGTAGCAAGTTCTAACCATGTCATTCGTTGGTCTATAACATTTCGAATATTCAGATGATATATAAAAATCTCTATCAACTCAAAGATCTCAGTAAGACACAGTCATGTAATCAGGTTGGTATCTTTAATTCCTGTCTGTTTAATTCCAGATCCTTACTCCTTAAACTCAAGACTATTCACCAAACCCCCGTATATAGAAAATGAAAATTAAACAATCTGCTTTGATTCTGAACAAGAAAGTCAACGAAAAATGGGGCAGAAAGAATTGCTATAAATAAATGAACTACATAAATAAACACACATTATTAGCCATGGGTCACCTCGTCAGTCAATAATGTTGTTAATAGTCCCGCAGAACTATGGCTGAACCTGGAAATTGTATACAAAGTTTTTTTATGATTGATTTTAGTAGCCAAGGGTGTCCTCGTTCAGAATCTGACCTGGGTCACCCTTGAGCATTTTGAGAAATTCAAGATTTTACTATTATCTAATCAACCCACAACATAGTGAATGATTTTAGTGTATTCCTTGACGCCAGGAACATACGTTTAGACGCCAAAATTATCATCCTAGACTAAATACTATGGGAGTTATAGGGGATTAATTGAAATGGCGGCCGTCTTGGACGCCATCTTGAATTTCTCAAAATGCTCAAGGGTTACCGAGGTTCACCCGGCAGATTCTGAAAGAGGACATCATAGGCTACTAAAATCAACCATAAAAAAACTTCCTAGACAATTTCCAGCTTCACTCGAAATATTGGGTTTGGCGACCGGACTATAGGCACAAGCCAAGTATATTTGACAAAAGATTAACGCATCGAACTGTATTGGGTGCACCTTCAGCGCGCTGAATTCTGTGTTTTGAAATTCCATATAGCGGTCGCTGTGGGGGTGCATATTATGATTGATGATTCATAAGTGCACCCGCCTTGCTGTGCACAGAGTCAATCATCTAGATGCAGTAATAAAAAATGTCGGTTGTCAGATAGCTAGAAATCAGTTTGTTACGTAAAATATATGCTTTTTTGGACGATCTCGCATAGTCGTGTAAAAACGTTAATGTGACATTTTGTGGGTCATTTCCTGATGTCTTTGTTCCAGAACTGACAACCGGTTTAAATAGATATAAATAAAGACTACACGGGTCACAATTCTACGGAATAGGAGTGGCCTCTATTTTCGTATTTGATCGATGTGTATTAGAGTTCAATTACTAACTACCATTAAAACAATAAATAAAGACATCTTAGCTGTACACAAAGCAATTAATTGCTGATCTCCCTTGAAATATTGAAATTGTTTAGTCTAGAAATAGCATATAGATGCATATTAATATAAATACCATTTTCTCAGAAGGAAATTTACCATATTACATAATAAAACAACCCAATCGTGATTGTTGACGAGTATTATTGTGTATATATTTTCAAGTCTTTATAAGCTTTTAAAGGGACCATCCCGATTTTAACAGAGTCTCGGAAATAAGAGTCAATGTACGTATGAAATTTAAGCGCCAAAATATAGAGAAATGGTGTGTTTACCTTGTCTAAAGATTTCAACTCAAAATATTGAGTCGTTTGGAGGTGAACGTCAAAACCGCCTAACCGGACACGTAACCCATTTAAGCTTCCGGGGTAACCTGATAATCTATTGCCGTTCCTTTAGAGGTCTATACAATGCATGACCCACGTGCTGTACTTAATAACGTCACCTAAAAGTTATTTTCATAAATAAAAGTCGAGTTTTCTCCAGACACCGTATAACACAGTATGGGACGACACCAGTCTCCATTTCCAGATGAAGAATGATCGGTTTATGTTGTTTGAAAACGTATCACCTTTATTGAGTTAGTTGCTCGCATCTAAGGTAGAGGATTTTAAGAGTTGCCACCCGAAAAAAAAAAGTTGCCGACCATAGCTCTAAAATACCTATTGTAGACTGTGCACCCCCTAAAAACTTCACTGCCCCTCCTCAGCCAGCAAGCCTGTTTATTCTCCAAAATATAATCGAGATTGGGCCTTTAATATCACGATTGTCGACTAAATGTGTGCTATGGAATGGACTTAAATTTGAATTTTGGGTTAAATATTCTCAAAACGACATTATTTTGGGTTGATTTAATAAATCATTAATTAATCATTAGGAGTACCCCTTCCGCACCGCACCCCACCCAGATGTAGTAGCTGAGCTGAGCTTAGTTCTATAACAGCATGATCACCATCAGTACTAGTCAAGTGCCTCGCCTACAAATTACAAAAGGGGGTAAAGTCGCTCGACAGTCGCTGAGCTATTAAAAAAATAATAATGTCGAATCTTATTAAAAATCGACTCGACAGCAATTTTTGGTTTCACTAACGTATCATTTCAGAAAGTTTATACCCCTTTACCATAGGAATCACATCATTTACAGATTGTGCAAGGTCCCGCCTCCCTAAACTTAGCACGTAGATCAACCAGCATGCAGACAGACAGACGGAAAAAATATGAAAACTCAGAGAAAAATTCATAAATAATAATGATTAAGTTCCAGTCTTTATCATGGTTAAAATCACATCAAATTTAAACCTTCGTGTTCTAGGATACACATAGATTCATAAAAACACTATGGCACAACATTTCAGCGTCTAAAAGTAGCAAAAAAAAAAAAGACGGCAAAAACTCGACGATGTTATACGGACCTTTTCCGTATGAAAGCTGTTCGATAAGTGCTGACGTATCCGTTTGCCGTATCACGTATGAGACATACACACACGTTGATGACGTCACACGCAAAATAAATACGGATACGCGATACGGACCAGGAATTTACGCTTGCCAGGCCTTCTCTTAATTCTCTTAACTAGGACATTAATTTACAGACCATTTTCCGTATGGAATTAAAAAGAAGACTGCAAAACACGAGATAAAATTGATTTGAAATCATTATACGAAATATAACCATTTCTTTATAAATAAAACCAAATATGTATATTAAAAACTGAAATTTGTAAAATACAAAAAACCAAACTATTTCAGTGATTTGTACAGTATTCTATATGCCAATGTGTTACGTCTGATAAACTTTCCTGTTCGGCCTGTGCACTTAACTTATCCTAAAAAAACAACAATAAAACAAGATATTAAATGAATGAATGGTTGTTCCTTCATTAATATGTTATCATAATCGATTATTTAATTAATAGTAAATTTCACATAAGTAAGAAAGAAGAAGAATAGTATTAATTACTTTGTTTAAACGAATTAATTATTTCGTTTAAACGAATTAATTATTTCGTTTAAACGAATTAATTATTTTGTTTAAACGAATTAATTATTTCCTTTAAGCGAATTATACTTGGCGGGGGAGGGGGGGTGACGCTTGCCCTACCTCGTGTGTTTTCTCCGGGTCAACGGATGCCCTCCTACTGCTAAATACCCCTACGCGAAAGCAAATTATTGAATTAATGACCTAGTTTGTGCCGAATGGACGTTAACTCTCTCTCTCTCTCTCTCGCGCGCGCAGTTCCAGGGTTTCCGAATCATATCGATAAAGATATAGAGTCCACGATTGCTTTATTTTTACATATTTTATTTTCAAATTGGATGTGTGAAGCATTGGGGTCATTACTCGGCGTGTAGTATAAATATTAATATTTATCGCGCACGAAATAATTATATTAGAGTGGAATCGTGCCTCAAATACCCAGAAATGAATTGGCGTCTAAATATTATACCAAACACAGTGACAGCATGCATTACAGCACGTGGTCTCACATATATATTTGTCTTCTTTTAGCTAAGATATTATATTACACGGTTATAAGAAAGACAGAAGCTTCCAGTACATTTTTAAGGCAAACAGAAGGAGCTGTCCGTTCGTTGATTAAACACACAGAAACGAAAACATTTAATTTGGTTTAACCGGAGGAGAGAACGACAATGTTACAGTTTTTATTGACTTGTGCTCTGGTAATCGTAATAACAATTCAAGAATCTCTACAAGGTTAGTTAATGGTAAATAAGAATCGATATAACAGTTACCAGAAATATGTGGTCACAATATTATGTTATGAAAGTCTATATTTCTTTAAGAGTACACAAATACTGCGGATCAGCTCAAGTAAGCATGGAAGATCCCCTGTCTGAGCTTAAGATGTCATCTGAAATTACTTTCTATTATTCTTAATTCCATATCGTTTAAACATAGTGAACCTCTTTCAGAGTGCGATGAGAAATTTACAGCTAACAATGGTTCTTTTTCATCACCAAACTACCCCAGTAACTATCTTGCGAGTACGACATGTGTTTACACCATAGAAGTTGATACCAGAAAAATAATCAATTTAACGTTTACAGATGTAATGGTAAGAAAAATATTGAAACAGGTGTTATTTAATTACCAGGATAAAGCAGTATAAAATATAAAATACATAATTATAATATATTGAAATATATTGCAAAAGGAACCATATTTATTCATAATTAAAAGCTATTAGAGTGAAGCCCAACCCGAAATATAGGCCACTTGTTGTTTTCCGGAAAAGTGACTGAATCTGTCTGTCATAATAAAAAACATACTATTATATTAATTGATTAGTAATTAATAAATTTCTGGTACCGAATTCATCAATTCCAAATATTAATGACAATAATATCTATTTAATTCCTGTGGGTACATGATTTTGTGTTATATGTTTACCAATAACTGAACAATTAATATAATCATTCAGCTTCTGTTACACTGGTTATATTATGTTACATTCGGAACTGTTGTCCCCTGCTCCCACCTACAACCCTGCCGTCTTCAGAAAGTCCAAGTAGCATGTTTTATTAAGATGTTAAAAACCAAAAGTTAGTAAATGAATAAACAAAATGTTTACTAAAAATCGTTCAATCAGAAGAGCAAATTACCCTTTTGCAGCGGGTTTTGATGGTCTACAGTAGGATTCGTACCTTTCGAAGCTGGTCACCCACCCAATCCTCACTCCCCAGCAAAAGACTCCTAGAGCAGAGCTAACACATAGACCCCATTTACTCCAAACTCCCAAATACACTATATATAGACCAGGGTTTGTACTGTTTCACCTTGCGTTACTTCATTGAGTAATATATTGAGCTATTTCTGAAAGCAACAATAATCTGGATCGGTCTAATTCAAAAAAACAATTCCAATATTGCAAATCGAATTGTGAAAAGGGCACACGTATGACAAACAATTTCTATATTTTAGACGGAATATGAAGCCAGTTGCAAATATGATAATATAAAAATCTACCAAGAAACCGTGCTTTTAGATACACTGTGTGGTAAGATTGAGACTCCACGTCCGTTCATTATCACTTCTAATAAGGTTACAGTTATATTCAAATCAGATGATGGTAATCAGCATAGAGGATTTAAAGCTATCTATACCACTCAACATACAGGTAAGTTATTACTGTGTGTTTCTTGTGTGATGCATGTCTATTAAAATCTAATTTCTGCCGTCAGTTTTACGGCGCCTATAATAAAGTTTCCAAATATTGAATCGGCATTCGCAATCTTTAAAAAAGATCTTCAATAATAATAATAATAATAGTGTATATTTATAATGCGCAAATTTTCATACATGTATGCATGCTCAAAGCGCCAAACACTATGTACACTGTGTATCTTTCACTATTTACACAACAGTATATTCGGTCAAATACAACTGTATTCACATTTAAACAGATGAGTCTTTAGTCTAGATTTAAATTATTCCAATGAAGGGGCACATTTCACACTTAATGGTAAGGAATTCCATAAATTAGGAGCACTGAACCGGAAAGATTTGTATCCGAAAGTTTGAAGGTTAAATTTGGGAACATCTAGTAAATGCTGGTCTTGGGATTGTAGATTACGTTGAGGAGCATACAGATGAATTAGAGCAGACATATATATTGGGCTGACTAGTTCCATTGAGACAGCTATATACATGGCAGAGAATTTTGTAGTGGGAGTTATATGTAACTTTATTTTAAATAACCAAATTAAGTTATCTATCGCTATTATATTTATTACACATACAGGCCTCCATAATTACCAACCCATCACAGCATCGCGTCGGATTAGGCCTCACTTTCGTATTCGGCCTCGCCTTCATATTCGGCCTCACTTTCAGAAGTCGTCTGCTAGCGTCAGGCAACCGAAAAAGGAGCTAAACTTTTTCTCCTTTCCTATCCTCCAAGTCTGTATCATGCCTTCACATAGGGAACACCCACATACAAGGACTCAGGGAACCCGGAACATCCAATCGGTTGTTAATACGGACACTAACGCACCTACAGATCGCCGTTCCAGGTCGTCTTCAGCCCACAGGATTAGAGAATATGGCCGCCGTGACTTGTCACGTGACCATAATCCAAACTCGACTAAGAAACGAACCCGATACGAAGATGTACCTGAAAATTGGTCCTCTAAAAAACTCTGTCAAGAATTACCAGAATTAGGGATGGTGTTACCTACTAGTGTACCAATAAGATTCTTATTAAAGTTTACAAACAACTGAAAGACGGCACGAGATCCGAGTGCGAAAATGTGGCTAATTTAACAGAACCCGAATACCAAGATGCGGCTATTGAGATGGACACTTCCGGCGACAGAAACAAAGATGGCAGCGCCCATGGAACGACGTCTCGTTCGAGCGAAGCAGTATTTCAACACGATACGGATGAAGTACACTGTTTAAGATTGGAAATAGCCGAGGTTCAAGCCTCACTAGCTGATATCCAGAACAAGCTGTCGTCACAAAACATCGCAGAACAAGCGGTGACAAGAGAAATTGGAATACCTGTTGACTTCGAGGTAGAGAACCAGAACAGGAACAGATCAACATCACATCACTTACCAGCGTCCTTTAGTAGTAGTCATAGCATCGGGCCTTCAGGTATGGGTTTGTCTATTCACAGAGTCCCTGTCGATAGTCTCCCCCCAGTGAACGTAGTCCCGCAACATATTCGTAAAGCTATACACTCGCACAAACATGTCAATTTGGCTATGCTTCTTATACCCGGCATGGAAACAGAAGGGGAGACCCGAGTTATCGACCAAGATGGAAACCAGATTGTGGTTAAAGCCAATGACCCTCGACTACAAAGGAACCTGTCCATCCATGAATTTCGGCTGGCATTTTCTAGATTTAAGAACGTCATTTGTGAGAAGGAGCCAGAGAGACGACAGGAATTAGACGGATACTCGGATTTGATTGATGGCCTATTTATGCAGTTTGGAGGCTCACAGTTCTATGAATACCATAATGCATTCTCAAAGAAGGCAGAACAACTGGAAGTCATTTTGAAGTGTAAAGTTGACTGGTCATCTAGAGACACCTCACTCTATCTTAGACTGTTTGCAGGTATCGGGAGCCTCCCTTGCGAACATTGTCAGAGTTCTTTTCATGTTTCCGGCTTCTGTCCCCTCACCGTGACAAACCCTACATTAACAACCAGAGGACGTCAAAGGATCTATAAGACAGATTACACTAACCATAACCAGCAACTCAGCAGTATAAATCCTGTACCAAAGTCGTACCGACTGGATAAGTATGGTAGAACTAGACTGTTCCACAATGGGAAGGAGATATGCAATAACTTTAACACCACTGGCTGTTCATCTAACCATGATAACTTTTCAAAGATGACTCATGTGTGTAATAATTGTCGTGCTACCCACCCATCTTATGAGTGTCCTAAAGGGAGAATTATCAATAAGGCTAACCAACACGACGGAGGAATAAACCCCAATCATCGCAAATGACAATTCCCAGTGGATAACACAGATGGTCTTGTTACCAGTTTTACATACGTTCCTGGTTCCTCTTATATTTTTAAAGCTTCCACACCGATAAATATTTCGTCACTAGAATTCGAGCTAAAACAGCACCCAGACAAACTTTTTGTGGCCCAACTTATGGAAGGTTTAAGTTTAGGCTTTGACACAGGTTTTTCATCACTTCCTACTGATAATTATGAGAGCAAGAACCTTCTTACGGCCAGGTCGAATCCTGAGGTAGTTTCTACTCTTCTCCAACTTGAGGTGGATAAAGGTTACGTAATTGGTCCATTTGATAATCCTCCTTTCGCAAATTTTAGGATAAATCCGTTAGGAATAAGTGAGGGAAAATATTCTAAGAAACAAGGGCTAATTGTGGACTTTTCATCTCCCCATAATAACCAAGAACATACTAGTATGAACGATTTCATTGATAAGGAAGATTTCTCAGTGTCGTACGTCTCGGTTGACGATGCCATATCGGCCATACAATACTATGGTAACGGTGCCATACTAAACAAGACAGATATCGTGGATGCGTTTAAGTTAATACCTATTTCCCCAGCTCTATGGGCTTACAATGGAGTTCGATGGAACGAGAAGTACTATTTTTTCGTCAGACTGTGTTTTGGTTCACGAAGCAGCCCCAAGATATTTACTTTGCTCTCTAAAGTTATTCATTTTGTTGCCACAAATAATTTACTGTATCTGTTGGATGATTTCTTATCAATCACCAGTGCCCAGTCTGATGGCGTAGAAACTATGCGAGTTCTGAAAAGTGTGTTTTATAATCTAAACATTCCTATCCATCAAAACTAAAAAATAGGTCCGGGTACAACTATGACATTCCTTGGGATCGAATTAGATACTATAAATATGCAAGCATCGCTACCAGTAGATAAAATCAAACGAATTAAAGAAATATTACAAAGTTACTGTGCACGAAAAAGAATTACTAAACGTGAACTTTTGAGCTTGCTAGGCCACCTTAACTTTGCTTCTAGAGTTATTGTACCTGGGAGAAGTTTTGTGTCATATTTACTATCCTTGATTTCAGTGGTTAAGGAATTGCATCACCACATTTTCCTGAATGCTAACTGTCGAAAAGATATGTGCATGTGGTTATCATTCCTCGACGACTGGAATGGTAAATCATTCTTCTACAACGTCAATATTACAGAATCGGCAGACATGGAAATGTATACGGATGCAAGTGGGACCAAAGGTTATGGTGGCTATTTTCAAGGGAAATGGTTTTCATGTTCCTGGCCAGATGACTTAAATTTAGGACAAGACGACATGTCTATTGCATTCATGGAACTAGTTCCTGTTGTTACCTGCGCTGTCATATGGGGACATATGTGGGCTAAGAAACGCATATTATTCCACTGCGATAATATGGCTACTGTGGGCATCATAAATAAAGGACGAAGTAAATCCAATAATATAATGAAACTTATGTTGTTACCTGCGCTGTCATATGGGGACATATGTGGGCTAAGAAACGCATATTATTCCACTGCGATAATATGGCTACTGTGGGCATCATAAATAAAGGACGAAGTAAATCCAATAATATAATGAAACTTATGTTGTTACCTGCGCTGTCATATGGGGACATATGTGGGCTAAGAAACGCATATTATTCCACTGCGATAATATGGCTACTGTGGGCATCATAAATAAAGGACGAAGTAAATCCAATAATATAATGAAACTTATGAGAAGGCTTACTTGGTGTGCAGTTAAATTTAATTTTGTCCTCCATGCAGTACACATCGAAGGTCGTTACAATATTTTAAGTGACTGTCTTTCTCGTTTACAGGTGGAGAAGTTCAGAAAACTAGATCCGCTCTCAGAACAGTATCCGGCCGCTACTCCACCTGTCCACGAGCTCTACCTCACTTAGAACTAATAGTACAAGACCTTCTTAATACAGCATTAGCACCCAGTACCATCGTCGTGTACAATACCGGCTTGTCAATGTTCAAAAGATTTTTGCTTTTATTTAATCTGTGGGGCCATGTGGAGACACTCCCAATGGTAAATGAAATTGTCCTCCTGTCTTTTGTAGCATACTGTGCCAATCGGAAGTTGAAATACCAGACAATTAAACTGTACTTAGCTGGAATTCGCTACCATTACATTCGATGTAACATTAGTACTCCGTTGACTCACATTGATAAGCTCTATAACTTACAGTATGCCTTGAGAGGGGTAAAAAAGATGGAGAACAATTCCAAACCCAAAAGGCTTCCTATTACTTTCGATTTATTAGTCAAAATTTTTAAAGCTATCCGCATTAAGGTTAATTTTTATGATGCGGCGATGCTATCTGCAGTCTGCTCTTTAGCTTACTTTGGATTTTTGCGCTGTGGAGAATTTACTATTAAATCAAATGGTAAATTTAACCCTAAGGAAAACTTAACAGTCTCTGATGTCATACTAAAAAAAATGGATTTGTTTTGAATCTAAAAACGTCAAAAACACCTATTAGTTGTCCAGTCAAACTTATGTTAGACTACCTTCATTTAAGACACCAAAGTGGAGCCGGTAAATCGGATCCATTATTCATTAATAGTAAAGGAATGACTCTAAATAGAGACTATTTTATTCAAATCATTAAAGAAATTATTGAGTCTTTAGGTCTCCCGTCAAAGATATATCAGAACAGATCTTAAGGCTGTTACTATTGCTCAACAAAAATTGTGTCATTTGTAAATAAGTTCACTAACGTAATTTAATAAGTTCACTGTAATGTAATTTGCCTATCATACTGAACAGCAAGTATGACAAATACATGTATCACAAACCAAAATAGTAATGGGCATTTTACGTAATGGTTTATGTTCTGCTTTCAACACTCCTAACATTTTTGGGGGGCTTTCATTTCAGGTTTAAGTCCACTCATGCCACCGCATAAACCTTCATTCCATTTGGCATCCTATTAAGCTACTGCTTAATTTTATCCCCTCAAAAAATGTGGTTCAGCAATTTTAGACCAAATTGGCTAAACACGAATTTCTAAATTAGTAACCAAGGCAACCATGGCATCCAATTCTGTGATTCTGTATTTCGGTTCCTTCGGGAGCTGCCTTCGGTTCCTTCGGGAACTGCCTTCGGTTCCTTCGGGAGCTGCCATCGGTTCTTTCGAGAGCTGCCTTCGGTTCCTTCGGGAGCTGCCTTCTTACTCTTACCTGTCTCTAATTCCGGTAGACCTAGATCTACTGCCTAGCCATGGCTTGCCTGTCTCATTGTTATAATATTGCGCTGAACATGAGTGGACTCCTGTACTCCCATATTGCCAAAGATTTAAATTGTTATGATTATATTATAATTAGACCTTAATAAATGCTAATGCTAATGATTTGAGTTTATTTAAAGTGTATTCTCAAATGGACAGACAGTCAGTGAAGATCTTTTAATAGCGGTTGGGTGTGTACACGTGCGACTGACTCTCGTTGCAGCAGTATTTTGAATAGTTTGCAGTTTTGAAATTAAGTTGTGATTTAGACCACTTAAGATACTGTTGCAGTAATCCAGTCTTGAAAAGACTTATGATCTAACAAGTGTGTGACCAGAGTCTTTTGTTAGGAGATGTCTGATTTTTTTCAATAGCTCTCAAATGAAAGTAACATATCTTGCACAAGTAATTGACATGTTTTTCCATTGTTTGATTAGAATCTAGGAATACACCAAGATTTTTTACACTTGTGTCCGCAATGGTCACTGTAGATGAATCAATTTTCTGTAGGCTCTTTTTCGTACCGACAAGCATGACATCAGTCTTGTCGTCATTTAATTTTAACATGCTTGACGTCATCCTGAGTACATAATGGTGTCACATGGAATGAGTAAGTATATTGCATGAAGGCATCAATAATCTGCACTGTTAAAATTATATGTATATTTACAGTTATAAGTATAGTAAAAATTCAGTGTCGGATTTGTTAAATCACATGGTTTGTTAACTTACATTTAAAACGATGTAAGTGCATATGAATACAGGGCTTATGTAAGATTACATTAAAATGAATGTAATAATACAATAATATGTCAGTTTACATTATGTGAGCTGTATATTAACAGAAATGCCATTTGAAATATTATTTTTACAGAAAATTGTAAATTTACTGTCAAATAGTGGTCACATCGGTTATTCCCCCTTTGACCACATATCAAATATTTAGAGTTCTGTCAGTCAGTTTAGTCGATCCATTTTAGAGAAATAGACTATTCAAAATCTGAAAGCACCGAACTGGCTAATAAAGACAGGCATGTGTCATGCATTGGGTTGTGTGGGACATTTTGCTTGAACTGTGTCATGCCACCTACTCTTTCCATTGTAAGTAGTAGAACAGTAGAACATTAAACCCCATTATATTTAATTTCTTTACATTATCGAATGTTGGTTTACATGCTCGACTGAAAGGTCCGCAAAACTTTCTATGTTCGCCAGGATCAAACCTAGGACTTATTAGCCAAGCTGAGACAAACACATTCCTTTAAGTAATTTTACCTTGGCAAATTACATAATATGTAATTCTACAATAGTTATGAAGTATTAATACATAAATTCTCTCAAAATACACAACATGGGTTTTTAATGTTATTGTACCAATTCATGTAAATTAACATCATGGTAATTTTACATGTATTCCATTTACAGATATATAATTTTACCTTGGATGTATAATAACTAGAGGTAAAGTTACATTACAGACTGTGAAATAACATGCAATGATAAAATAGAGTTATTACGACGGCAATGTTTCTGCCAGTTAAAAAAGGGTAAAATACATAATAATTTTAACATTGTGGGTATCATCGGCATATGAATGGTGGGAGAGTTGATGATGTGTAATAGTGGATGCAACTTGCCTGGTGTACAAGGCGAACCTAACACAGAGCCTTGAGGTACACCACAAGCTAATGGGGTTGTCTCTGTTAGCTCATTTCCAATAAGTACAGACTGTGCGGCCATGAAGTTTGTTAATTGCTGACCATCAAATGTGTTAATTGGTACACTGTAACTTGCAGGATTGTTTGAGATTATCCCATTTCGAATCATCTCAACCTATTCAACGAAAAAATCGTTGAATTCATTGGCGAGAGTGGAATGGCTGTCATTGTTAGGCAGCTTGGGTTCAGATTTTGAGCCAAGAAGGGCTTTCAAAAATCTATGAGTTTTTCGTGGATCATTAGTACAGTCCTGTATATATGTGTGACAGTGTAATCGTTTAGCATCAGCGATTACTTTCGATGTCCTGTTTTTGGCCTGACAGTAAATTTGACGGTGAATTTCTAAACTCATTTTACACTATTTCCGTTCCGCACGCCGACGTAGGCGTTTGGCTAGATGGATTTCTACATAATACCGTAGAATTGCAGTTTTTTTTGTGACGGCCGGAGCATGTCTTTCAAGAATGTCAGTGATAGTCTTGTTGTACAAATCAACTTGAAGATTAACATTAGAGATTGTATCAAGTACAAGTTTTGAATATGACAAATCTGTTTTAAAGGCATCCCAATCACTGTGCTTAATATTTCTACAGACTATAGTCTTTCGAGCAATTTTGGGTCTGGAAAGATTAAGAGCTATTGTGATGTAGTAGTGGTCTGATATTTGTCTGTCTTCTACATGTATTTCCTGGATCAGGGGGGAATCTGATGGTGTCAAAACCCAGTCAAGAATGTTACCAGATTTATGGGTGGATTGGTTTATAATTATGTTCAAAGCTCTTATTATCCAGAAGTGACACAAATCGTTTGACCTCGAGTGTGTCCACTGTGTTGAACTGAATATTAAAGTCACCTAAGATCAATGTGATGGTTTTAGAGTGTAGTGACAGAAAAGAAAAGAGTTCTTGATGAAACTCTGATGGAGAAAATTTATTTCTAGATGATGGCGGAGGTCTATAAATACAGACGATGGTAAAACATGTGATGGTGATGGTAAAACATGTGATGGTGATGGTGATTTTCAAAGGAAGCTGTTCAAATGTGTTTACTGCAATTATATCTTTAAGTTTCTCAACATTGATGGATCGCCTATGGATTACGACTATTCCTCCTCCAGTGGTGTGAGATCTATCAAGGTGGAGATATGAATGTGATGACGGTGTCATGGCTGAAATATGGTGTTCATCGCCACTGGGTTTGAACCATGACTCCGTGATAACAAGAATATCCAGATCAAAAATTTCTGTAGTTTTATTTCAACAAGATTGTGTGTTCCAGAGACCTAGTAAGAAGGTTTTAGATTGCAGGAGCAGTTATTGCTGACTGCCATCACTATTGTCGAATTGGTTGTTATTTGATAGTTTTTTTTACGCCTATTTATTTATTTTTTTTTATTCCAGATGCGCATCCACGTCTAGTGGACTTATGCGTTTTAATTATATGATCAGTAAAACAAATGATTTCCGTTCAGGAAGCAATAAATCACAATTTAACACTTCGAAACTAGCTCATCTCTAGATAAGGTGATAGCATCTTGATTGAATGAGAGGGTAGTGAGCACAACAGCTTGATGAAGACTGTTCAGTTTGTGGTGTAGAAAAACTTGATATCCTGCTTCATTGGTCATTATTAGCATGCAAGTAAGAGGATACAAAGTCAAAATTCTCCAAGATAATCCAATAGTTTTGAATAAATTTTATATCAGCAGATGCACAGGTGCATTAGAAATGGGTAGATCACATGAAACATGACCATAGGCTACTTTTGCCCCGAACATCCTTTAATCTTACTACTTTCCACTAACTATTACAGAATGTGAGAATATAGGATTCTATGGTCCAAACTGTAATAAAGTATGCCATTGTTACCAATCACAGTGTGATTTTCGTACAGGAGTATGTGACTATGGATGTAAACGTGGTTGGATGGGATCTAGATGCGATCAAGGTGAGTGATACATTATCTTACGTGAATTGTGAGAGGGGGTATTACATCCAAGTGATGAAGATACGTGGGCGAATTATTCAATGGTCTCACCATTTTGAATTGATCCCATGACTTAGTACATGAACAGAGGCTTGTTTAACTTTTGAGTCCGTGATCTTCAGCAAAGCACAAGACAAAGGGTCCTGTTTGCTAGACAAGTTTAAGTACCTTTATGGAAGGGGGGTCGGGTTCATTGTGTCGTTAGTACACCGACCAATAACGAACCTTTGGGATTTATCAAAATCTTCCTCCATATATGCATGAGGGGTGGAAAAGGGAAACTGCGTCTAGTCAACGGAATTGCACGCAAAACAGAGGTCCCGATTACAAACTGACACTGGTTGAAAAATATCGATTTAGTTTTAGAATTGATTGACAATGAGCCCCGTAGCACTGAAATGAAAATCCATACGATAGTCACATAATGGAAAAAATGTGTTTTTATTTTCAGTGAAAGCGCCAGCAGAAGGTAAAAAAAACTGTTTTACTTAATATTAACACTATATCGAGCAAGAAAATTAGCTTGTTTTTGGCTTACTTGTATGTAATTTAAATCGGTATAAAATTTATGTAATATTAATTGATAAGTCTAGTTTTATCGTGGTATTTGTTTCGTACACGCTTGATCATTCTTCACGGAAGACTTTTATACTCAAATGTTATTTTTAGAATATCAACAGTCTTTCCAAATATGTTTGTTTTTATAAACAATATTTATTCAGAAACTGAGGGGATTGGGGAACAGGCAAAGCCTAGGCAAAGCCTATATAAAGTCCTCTCCCGGTTACAAATACATAACATACTATTACAGTCGAGTGCAAAAAAAAAATGAATAGATAAAAAATGGAAATATATATATATTTGTAGGCCTACATATAGGTACACATAACCCATAATGATATATACATGTCAATCTGGTTAAAACACAGATCCTATTTCGTTTTTATAGTTCAAACTTTCGTTTTACTTGTCTTTACTACACTTGGATCTGGAAGATTTGTTATTTAACTCGTGTTCTGCTTGAAATGAGGGGTCAGCCAATCAAATGGTCTGTCGAATCGAGTGTTTGACCTTTTTTGCCCGGAACTGTGGATAATCCACTAGTAACATCAATGCTGATTGGTTAATAAAATGTCTGACGTCATAGGTCAAAAGTCGGTCTTTTGACCCCTGACGTGACCTATCTCTATAACTTGTCAGATCTTCAATATAGATGTGTATTTTAATCAGATTGATATACATGTACACACACATCCGCTAATTTATTAAAATTAAAACCTTTCCATTAAAATTATGTACATGGTTCTAAATACTGACACGTTCTCTTCATGTGTTAGCTTTTCCCATCTATATAGCAGCCCTTTAATGATTTGCTGTGTCGGTGGTAAAGTGTCGATTGTACTATGGCGAGCATCGGAATACAAGGGCCATAGAAGGAGATAGCGGTAAGGGTCTTCCATTGTATTACCACATGGACATTCGGGAGTATTTGAAATATGTCTTGTAAATTTATGAAAATTTAGATTACTGCAGCCTAGTCTTAGTTTAGTATGGATCTTTTTTTTAGAGATTTCTTGTTTAAGTTTTGAGAGTGGTGTGACATTTGTTATGGACGGATTTAGGCTGTTCCAGAGTCAGATAGTTGATGGAAAGAATGGATTATAATAGAGAGATGTTCTGCAGAATGTTTCGTCTAATACATAGTTTATTTCTATAGATTGTATGTGGATGATTTTAATTTAATGTGGTCGGATAAATAATTTGGAACCATTCCATTAATAATTTTATATATTGTCTGTAATTTGTGTCTTTTTCTTCTTTAATTCAACGGAATAATACCAGATTCCAGATAGAGTAAAAGGTGCCTGGTTCCCTTTACAGACCCACAAATAGTGCGTAAGGGGTCAAATTGAAGGCGTTCTAATTGATGCGCGAGGTGATCAGTGCATCTGTCCCAAACAATGTCGGCGTAATCGAAATGCGGTAGTATATAAGAATTGTAAATTATGAAAAGAGATTTTCTTTTTAACCCGTACTTTTGGGATCTTAAACAAATGATTAATTTTGATAATTCAATACAAATATTATTTATGTGGATATCCCATTTATATTTGTGTTTGTGGTTTTGCACATCAATTATTTTAACAGTGTCCATAAAAGGTGGCGGTGTGTGATTTGATAGATATTGTAAGTGATTCTGTTTAAATTATAAAAATATCATATTTCAGTGGCAACGCATTGTGTTAATTCTCCAACCAAAGGTAAATATGCTCTGTTAAGAGTTGATAGAAAAAATGTTAAGTACGGACGGATATACATTATCGATGGTAACAACCATACATCATCTGCAAGATGTGATCAAGGAATGTTTATCGAGGATGGGGATGGTGTCTTAAACTTGAAAATAAAGTTCAAAGATGATAATACGACATCTCCTAGCTGTTACCATACACAGGTACACAAATATATACATAAAACAGGGGACTGGGTGTGTAGCGTTATGCACAGTTCGGCAACCAAATCAGATATGTAATACGATGCAGTTCTATGAGTCGCGGGCTAGTTGTGGAAAGACAATTTACCCAAAACTCTCCACATCCAACGTGTGACGCATAATCTTACAACTTGCTCAGATTGTTGTTCAGATTATGGTTACAGGAATAACAATACCACAGTTGTTTCTACATTTTATGTCAAGCACTGAATACATAAACATGGATTAAAAATACAGCCATTCCCTCACCTCTATCCGAACTCGCTAATGCGAGTTTGATGATAGAACTTGCTACATCCCCTCCTCTAGAATTTACATGGTGGTCTAAAAGTCGCGCACATCTCGAGTGTTTTTCTACGCTTGGATTTTGGCTACCCATGTTCTAATTGGTCAAATATGACGTAGTTTAATCATGCGGTTGTTCATGCCGCATACCTTACATACCAACAGGGATCTTTACCTAAATGGGTTAACAAACACATTCCATTACAATTAATATTTGACCATGAACATGGTATATGACAAATGTGTCTATTAACCTTAAAGATCATACATGTTTCATATCATCACAGATTTCCGTTTCACGTGTTATTTTACGAATCTGTAAACTATAATTTTTCTAGGCAATGATATTATTATACATACGTGTTCTTTTGCACAAATCCGGCCATCCATGTAGAGTCCGGTCCCTTGTTGGGTTTCTACTCCAGGGGTTCTCCCCCACCCCGGGAGTGATAAAACTTACAGGCTCCCTTTCTCAGTTCACCACAGAAAACGTGTCATGTTTGACCACAGTATAGTTTATTAGATCCGAGGTTAATAGATCCACTGGAATGTGTTGTATATTGAACGGTGATGCATATTAATTTATAAGTAATTTTAAGATGAACTATACGATTCGATTAGAAAATCCTCAGATATATTCGCACATTTACATAATTTACACAAGTGACTTAAGACTAACCTAAATTATTTGAATGGATAACCCTGGTAAAATATATATATATATGTATATATATACGGCAAAAGAAAATTTTCAGTTTAATATGTTTCGATATGCTTTAGCGTTTACCTCTTGAATAATGTATCTTTAACACGAATCTATACAAGAACAAAATGCTATTTAATTAAAATTGCATGTGTTTTTCGTTTTGTTTATTTGACTGGCCATTCTAGTAACAAACATCAAAACTTCATGTGTAAGAAAGGTGACGTTTGTGTGTAGCTTTAACGTCAGGATAAAAGTATCTTTGACCTTCATGACACAATCATCGGCGACGGAGCTCTTTTTTCGACTCTCAGAAGAATGTATGCTTGTTTCGTTTATTTCTTCTAAAGCAAAGGAGACCTTTATAAGATAAAATAAAATCTGGTATGATGATATTTGAACTACGAGATGTCGAAACCCGATCATACGGCAGAAAATTATAATGGTCTGGATTTTTTAAACTTAACTGAATAGACGCGGTTGTCAAGTAGAAATTTTGCGTTTTAATTTTGGTAAAACGATCTGGAGTCTACGGAAGACCATTAGAGTCAATCAAATTAAGAAAAAGAAATTACCTCGTAGTAGACCATAAGGGTAAAGCAAATAAAAAAAAACGAAATCTAATTATCTCGTAGAAAAGTAAATAAAAAATGTATTTAGATGATCTGGCATTGACGACATTATTTAAAGTTCGCCATACAATAACATAACACTGATTTACCTGGTAACTAGGTAAACATGCATATTGAAATAAATATAATTGAGATCATGCTCTCATTAAGACCCATCAAAGATGTTCAGCCAAAGAAATATAGACGAAACCGTCAAAACAGACATAAAACGATCATGGATTCGTATAATGTTGATTCATTTAGATTAAATATGAGGGCCATCAAAAGATTTTACCAACAATTGCGAATATTGTCGTCAGGGGGGTGCTAAACTTTGTAAAATTTTCAATTTATATCTTTGTAAAACCTAATTGAACTGATATACTTTTTGGAGAATTCACTTTCACGATATTTTGTAGTTAGCCAGAGATCAACAATCCCTTATATAACGTTCGAGATTTTTAATATAATTCATTAACCCCTTGAACCCTGAAAATATACTCTTCAAAAAAAATAAAAAGAAAAGCATAGTGACATTTTGTTGTCGGTATACCCTCGCTCTACCATCGCCTCGGTGCAACCTGAACCGCGAATCGTCGCTGAACCAAACTCTTCTCAAGCGTTGCTGTAGCCATACCCTGTGTGTGTGACCCATTGAAGTCGGATTTGACGGGTCGGCATATTTCAAAACAACAGCTCTAACGGAACGTCTGGCTCGTAATCCGGTTTCACGTAGGCGTCTAAGGACTACCTAGTCTGAGATCTTACGCCGTCCAGGAATTGCTGCTGCAGTAGAGGGCGCTGTTGTGAACCGTTTCCACAACTGACGTAACCGGATGTGACGACCCAGGGCAGGTGGGGCCACGCTTGTTTGGCCTGAGCTTGGCTGTTGAACTTCGCTGTCGGTACCCGCCCCAAAGGCGAGAAATTGTACTCTAGGAATTATTCAGCAGCCGGGCTACATGTCTGGGATTCACCTGCTTGTGGCCGATCGATAGCGTTGTTGCATTGGTCTTCGTTCAGATGTGGCATCACTTGGCTCGTTGAGTGTTTACAGGCACAACTGTTTTTGAAACTGAGAACCCCGGGATTTTAAAGGCCTTAGATTTGGGTTTCATGCGAAAAGCTTGCGAAGTTGTTTAACTCATGTGTCTTGGTGCAATCAAGCGAAAACAAATTTCGGCAAAAGGTATTACCAGTCAAAATTAGTGACCCTACATTTAAAACCAATAATGAATTTATTTTATCCATATATAATGACATTAAAAAACAAGTAAGAGGGTGAAAATGGGCTGTGTGTTTCTTTTCTTGAAGAGTATATTTGGGGTGCCGCATACCCTACTCTTGCATCAATTTTTTTGAAAAATGGCGGTATGTTATTTGGAACTAAATGTTAAGTGTGCATTTCATATTACGAGTTTATAATTGTGTGAAATGATGAAACAAAGGTATTTAACCATATGAATAAATTTTGATTCAATTGAAGTGACAATAATGCCCACATTTATACAATGTTCACTAATTTTATGCTCCCATTAATTTTATTAATTAATTCCGTGCTCACGCGTTAATATCATTCTTTAATTTTATGCTCCTATTAATAGCCTATCATGCTCTCCTCATTAAGATTGCTGGCTATCTTTAAACAGTTCTGATTATCTCGTAATTTGATTGACCCTAATGGTCTTCCGTAGGGAGTCTATCAAACACATTAATGAACGGCCGTCATAAAAAAAATATCTATAGATCTAGATGATGTTTTATATAATGGTGCCCAATCTTTTACAGATAGGTAAAGGAGTCCTTAAATGGACATTAAGAACAGAAGAAGTGTCTGGTTTCTATAGTTACTATGACAGATTATATGAACTGAGTTGTAATTTCACAACAGCACATAATTTGACCAGCAATAGCAAACAGGTCGTTACAGGGTTTGTAAATTGGTTTTTATGCGTCCACATAACATGTACGCCCGTCTATTCACCATTCCTGTAAACCCGTTTTGTTTCAAACTTAGTTTAGTTATGGGGGGGAAGACTACCACATTTTAGAGCCACTCTTCGGTGATTGCATCATTGCAACTATTACGGAAGCCATGTCATTGATTTATTATCAACACCCCAATGGCCTTTGCCCCCAGTTCTACCCTTCGTTTATCAGTGCTAAACATTTTTATTATTAACGACTTCTTCGTAACAAACAATGAGGTTATTACAAGTGGTGCGAAGAATCTCCATACCCCGAGGACAGAGTGGGGAGAGACCTTTAATTAGAACATTAATAAATCGTTATTGCGCCTGTCATTGATTAACCTTGTAAACATTGTACGCATCAGTATGTATGTATTTTCAAACTTACTGGTATTGATTGGCTGCTCATAAAGAAGTCTATTAAATTTAAGTTTCGCCTATTCATCGAAGAATTTCAAATTTATATTTTTATTTTTTTAAAAAAAACACATGCTACTGACAATCTTTTAGTATAGTGAATCCTCGCAAGGTGGATGTCATGCAGACAACCGAAGATGTTAAATTGGTCACTCAGAACCCAGTAACATCAAGTCCTCTTTCCAGAGTAACAGTTGGCACCAGAATTCAACTTGCAATGATATTATATGAAAGAGGTGGCATTTCAGCTTCGGGTAGTGTAGACATTTGTGAATATTTATGCATGGTTTGCACTGACTAGTGGTTAGTAAATGGAATCGATGTTAAAGTTGTCATATTTGATTGTGTGAATTTTTAAGTTGGGATAGACGACACATGGCATAGTTGATCTTGGCAATTAAACGCACATGCCCCGCTTATCACATGATCTTCAAAATAGCAATTCACTCATTGCATCCTAAGGGTTTATTTCATAATAAATAGCCAGAAACATCCTCACAATAATTCATCGAAATGATTTGTGCACCTCGACCCACAATGGCCGCGTATGCCACTAACGGTGTGGTTTGAGATCGTGTAAGAGAAACAGAAATATAAGATGTTCCATTTGTTGAATCAATGACTAAGGCTCTGGCTCACTAGCCTTGAAGAGGTAATTAAATGTCCTCATCGCCGTTCCATTTTCACAATATGTTAGACTGGCCTATCGGTCCCGACTGGTCATTCCGACAGGTCTCCTAGAAAACACTTATCGTCGCCCCTATCCGCCCACAATTTCTGGATACTCTACAGGTCGCAATACTTTTGACGAAACTTCAAATATGTGTTTATCTCCAAATGATATTGGCATGTATCGGATCGAAATTTCAAGGATTATGACCCCTGATTGTACGAAAAACCACGTTTTTAACTGGTGGACACTCTAGAGGTCACAATTGTCATTTAGATGAAACTTGAAATGCATGTCTGTAACCCAAAGATCTTGGTTCCTTTCGATATTTACACATATCGGATCGTAACTTCCTGAATTATGGACCTTGATTGTATGAAAAATCACGTTTAAAACAACGTTCGAATATGTCACCATTACACGGTAATGTCGGTTGAGTTCAAATCTGACCAAAACTGCCGGACAAAATTGCCGCCCCTCGTACGCAAATAGTGTAAAAAATATGGTATCTCAAGGTTATGGATCATAACTACTGAATTACGAAAAATCGCGTTTTAGCCTGTTGTCCCTGTAGAGGTCACAATACAATTTTTATCCAATTTAAAAAAAAGTTTGAATAAATCACCGTTACACCCGAATGATGATGGTTGAGTTCGAATTTCGTGAAAATCGGACCCAAATTTCTAGACAAAATGGCCGCATTTCTAGCTTGTGGACCTGCTAGAAGTCACAATTTGTATTCAATTTAAAAACAAAACGTTTAAATAGATCACCGTTACACATCAGTGAAGGTTGAGATCGAATTTCGTAAAATCTGACCCAAACTACCGGACAGAATGGCCGCTTCTTGTACACAAATAGTGTAAAAGTTTGTAATACCAAGGTTGTGGACACTCTTAGAAGTCACAATTTTAATCCGATTTTGATGATACTTGAAAAGTGACATAGGTACAGTATTCAACAATCGATTGATTCGTATGATTATTGGTTTTTATATCTATTGTTATGTCGAATCAGCACGATCGTTGATATTGTCAATTCAATAGATTGTTCTACCCCTCATACCTACTTCATCCATGAACCATATCGATACGATCTATACATGTGTCGTCGAACGAGTCGATCCAGTCAACCCTTCCCCGAGTTTGTAATGTCCTCGCACGATTGTATCGATCGAACTCTATCGATACGATCTATACATGTTTCGACGAAATAGTCTATCCAGTCAACCCTTCCCCGAGTCTCTAATGTCCTCGCACGATTGTATCGATCGAACTCTATCGATACGATCTATACATGTGTCGTCGAACCAGTCGATCCAGTCAACCCTTCCCCGAGTTTGTAATGTCCTCGCACGATTGTATCGATCGAACTCTATCGATACGATCTATACATGTTCCGTCGAACCAGTCGATCGAGCCAACCCTTCCCCGAGTCTGTAATGACCTCGCACGATCGTATAGATCGAGCCCTATCGATACGATCTATACATGTTCCGTCGAACCAGTCGATCCAGTCAACCCTTCCCCGAGTCTGTAATGTCCTCGCACGATCGTATCGATCGTACTCTATCGATACGATCTATACATGTTTCGACGAAATAGTCGATCCAGTCAACCCTTCCCCGAGTCTGTAATGTCCTCGCACGATCGTATCGATCGTACTCTATCGATACGATCTATACATGTTTCGACGAAATAGTCGATCCAGTCAACCCTTCCCCGAGTCTGTAGGCCTAATGTCCTCGCACGATCGTATCGATCAAACACTATCGATACAATCTATAAATTTGTCGTCTATGCAGTCGATCCAGTCAACCCTTCCGTGCGTCTAGATTGTCCTCGCACGATCGTATCGATCGAGCACTATCGATACGATCTATATATTATGTTTCGTCGAAACAGTCGATCCAGTCAACCCTTGCCCGACCCGAGTCTGTATTGTCCTCGCACGATCGTGTCGATCGAGTACTATCGATACGATCTATATATGTTTCTTTCAACCAGTCGATCAATTTAACCCTTCCCCGAGTTTCTAATGTCCTCGCACGATCGTATCGATCGAGCTCTATCGATACGATCTATACATGTTTCGTCGAACCAGTCGATCCAGTCAACCCTTCCCCGAGAATTTAATGCCGTTATGCAAATGACGTTGCTTTGTTTATGCAAATGACGTTGCGTTGTTTATGCAAATGACGTCAAATGGTTTATGCAAATGACGTTACATAGTTATTCGGATAACGATGCATAGTGATAGAATAACAAGATAATTTGAAGTGGTGGCTGTTCGTTTATTCATAGATAATACCGTATGATTGCCGACTCGTCTTTAGCCCTTTACGTGATGTTGCGTTCTGGTTCGTGCGCATATTTTTTTGCGCAGGGGGGGTTGTTTACTTCCGGTCTAGCTTTCGACAGTACGTACGCACAGTGACACGCGAAATTGACATTTTTGAAACTTACGTTTATGAAATTAATAAAATGAACACGTATATAAAAATTATATGAAAAAAAAGAACAAGATATCTCCTTCCAAAATATTTTTAGATTATTGCAAAAGATGAAATAGCTACTGTGTGACGTTAAGTTGAAAAAAGGTTACAAATGGGCAAAAAATGCCTTTCTTCATTCATGAATCATGTACCGTACCAATTTACACTAAAATTAGGAAATATTTTTGATATAGAGATAATACTTCAAACACCTTTATTTTTATTTTTCTAATACTTCAAAAAAAATGTTCTACAATTTAATTTGCAGAAGGAAAAAGGTTATATTGCGAGCTAACTAACCCGCACCTCTGTGCCACACACAGGCCTACGGTATAGGCCTATCTATAGTATGATTAATAAAATTAGATGTTGCATTTTATTATCAATTGCATGGTATATTAGAACAGTTTTAAAAATCTTGTTTATATTCAAATGTGTATTTTTTTAATAAATTCAGCTTTAAGTTTGAATACTTTAGTTGATAAAGATGTAAATATCCCTACAAAATTCTTTTCCAATCTAGGCCTAATTAATAATTTTAGAAAATGGCCATTTATTTATTTTAAGTCCCTCTGACGCTCTGTCATTTAATTTAGTTAATTTTATAAATGCAGACCCCCCCCCCCCCCCAAAAAAAAAAAATACACACATACTTTTTTTTCAGCTTGCACAACTGGAAAAAAGTTTACTTATATAAATCCACCCCAATGTAAGCAATTATTTCATAGTCTTTTTGATCTAGGCTTTGTTGAGAAATTAAATTAGCTTCAGTAGATATAACAATTATATATAAGGAAAAAGAAAACACTATTAGTATTAAATAAAAAAGGAATTATTGCTTTAGTTATCAATGAAAAGGAATTTTTGTTCTAAAATAGATTCTTCCAGGAATCCTGTACATTAAAAGATTTACAAGAGTTGATAAAGGCAACTTCATCCTTGATATCTGATATTTCAATGTTGGCCACACCAATTTGATTTCCTGTTCTTCGGGCTTCGATATAAAAATAAATAGCTAATTACATCATGTGAAAGATGTTTTGTTTAAAAATTTGGAACTATAAGCTTTTGAACAGTACAGCCAAGTACTTTTGGTGTTTAAATAGATGTATGTATTTTTCCAGAAGAACCAAATAAATAAATATAATGAACGTCCATTTCTATAGCGCCAAAATTCCGCAAAAATTGTGTTCATAGCGCTTGGCAAAACATACCTACACGAAGTCTTTAGCTCTAAGTTATCACTTGTTTGTAACAGATGAGTTTTTAAAAATTGTAAGGCACTACATTTATCTCATCATGTTGTTTATATGAATATATGATTACGGTATCCAATATCATTCATGTCATTAACATTTAACTTGTTTGCATACTTGACAAATTAGCCTATAGATCTAGTCAAATTTTTTTACAGAGTTACTTCGTGTAACCGGGGTAATTAACAAGACTGTTTTGTTAGGGGTTTTTTTTAAAAAAAATAATTAAAACACGTCATCCAAGCGAGAACCAAAATATATTTCTTTATGTCCTAAATTAAAATAAAACAATAACAATAGACATAAATTTGAAGGGGAATTATGTAAGATTTAGATAAAGAGCTGGTCGTTCTCGTTATTAACTATAACATTTCAAAAATAGATAATGCAAATTGAATATATTGAAAATTTACCACCATACCGTTCTAATCTATTTAAAATCTGAGCAATCAGATGGCATCGAGAGTTGATTATGGTCTTTTCATGTTAATAAATGTCTAATTGATAATTTACATAACATTAAGGCCCAAAGAAAGACCTGCAATAAGCAGATTTAGTTCTTACATCATGCCTGTTTAACATTTAAAAACGCATCTTTAATTAACAATACTTTTATGATAAATTAATAAATGTATTATTAAATAAAGCGATCAGACAATGTTAATGTTACATAATTGGATGAATAATTATATAATTTATAGGCACCTTATTAGATTGAAATACCAACTCTTTCTTCCTCAACTGATAAGATTAAATTATTTAAATCAAAAAATGCAATAGCCTAATATTATTGTTAAGATTAACTTATTTAATTGAAACAAAAATTGTAGGTTATATTTTTAATGATTAATTTAATTTCATGGAACAGTAAACCCATATCCTTAAATATCGACCGGCAGCTATTTTTAAATATTAATTTTTCTCCAGAACCGTGTTATTTCCTGAAAAGCCATACATCTCAGCATTGTAACAAAACCAACCTTATCAATATTGGAGCAAAATTGACTGAATTCTGTAACACCAACTGGCAGATCCCTTTTTCGCGAAAATTGGTCATTTGGCTTCAATTCTCAACCTATTTAACCATCAACATAACCATACAAACACATTACACATAGCTTGAATGGTTTATTTTCTGATGTTTGAAATACATAAAATTAAATAATTATGCTTAATTCAACTATACAAAATTAAAATCAATAATGATATAATACAATCAAACAATTGAAACCAAATCCCTTGTTGAGTATTAAAATAAAACAAATAAAATAATGAAAATAATAATATCCCCCCCTCCCCCCCCAAAAAAATGAAATAATAAAAAAAAAAATATAAATAAATAGATACATAAAATAAAATACTTTATCAATATATTAATGTCTAGTGTCTCAATATTTATACCCCCTCCCCCCCACCCACACACACAATATGAAAAGAAGTAAATAACATAAATAAAACATACAATTATTTATCAGTATCACAATAAATCAACATGAAACATATTTGCTTCACAAGCTGGCACTCCCCTAGGCAGCAAACAAAAGACGGGTACCACTACCAGTACGTTCTGCTGAAAATACAAAAGATTTTTAAAAAATTGTGTAATTAAAAGCTTATATATAGCCAACACAGCAATGTTATTATTCATACCAAACTGTATTTTATATATTTACGATTTATTAATGATCTGCATGTATTATTTTACAAATTAATGAATTGAAAACTCTATTTTGCCGATTTTTAAAAGTAGGTCAAAGCTGTCAAACTTTACCTTAACTGGACAACACACGTGTCGAGATTTTCATGAAATGTAATACTTATTTATAATACAATATAATATCAAAATTATAAGATATTCATTTTTATTCTTACCTCGAACATTGCTTCTATTTCTCGTTACCATTTAACCAGATGATGCCACATTTAATACTACAAGAAAGCGCTAAATAAAAATATCGCTACTGGGCCTATAGTAAACAAACAGCGAGAACAGAAGACCGGAAGTGATCAACCACCTTTCTCGCCGTTTCACGCGTTTCGCAACATAACGTCGAGAATTCATGAGTCGGCAATCATACGGTATTATCTATGGTTTATTCTACTAATTCTAGGTTTGGGTTCTATGGTTTGGGATACATTGTGTTAATGTGAGATTAAATTACAAAGAAGACCTAAACTGATGAAGAAGATTTTTTATCTCACACTGGTAGATATATATATTGCAGTAATTTAGGATGCGTTTTGAAATTAGTTATTCAAATTTAAAAACTTTACTATTTGCTAATCATCATTTTATAGAAGGAACTCCAAATAGGTGGTTTTATATATCAAAATATGTTTCTACAAATTCTGTTTCCATTGGACCGAAGGTTTTTCTTGGAGAATTGTGTGCTAACAAGAGATCATTAAAAGCCTTTTTGCCAACAGATGAACAATTGTGTAAATCAGTTATTGATTTAATCAGAGACGAGTATAATTTCTTGTTAACTGATAATCTTGAATGGGACTTAGATCTATTAGATCTAACAGTGTTGCTAAGTGAACGAAACGGGTTTAAGTCAATTATTTTAAAACCAACATTTAATAACTGCTTATTATGTAATGGAAAAGTTGTAACAATTACAAAACCGAGTTTCCCTTTTATATATACAGAAAATGGAGTGTTTGTCGGTGCCAATTACACTTCTGAATGTCGTAACTCACTAACTGTGAAGCAAAGCCTAGATATAAATTTTCGTTTTATACAACTGCAAACGTCGACAGAAAATGTAGATTCTACTATACAAAATGTGACATTAAAAGTAAACCAAATTTTTGTTTAAAGCTCTTCACGAGATACGTGTTATGGGTGCATCATTTGAGTCAATGGCGGAAGTGTATAATGTTTTCCATGATTCACAAAATATAAACAGTAATTATCTGTCTAGTTTTAACAGAGGAAGTGGTATTAATGTGTATGAAATGAATCCAGCACGATTAGAAGAGGCATGGTTTATGTACCACATGCAAGAAATATAAAGTAATGATAGGTTGGAAATAGAGAGAAAGGCATCTGGATTAGTTAATATAGATAAAGTATGCGAAACAGTGATTGAGGTACGGTAATCCATTACTGTAACTATTTAACTATTTAGTAATTAAAGTTAAATGTAAACGTTTATGAAAACAAAAGTAAACGAATAGCCTAGATAGTAGTCTTATGTCAATATACCATTTTTTCTATATTTTACTGTTATTTATATTTTAGAAATTAGAAAATTTACAGAACAGATGGGTTATGCATACCTGTGAAATAAAAGGATGTGAGGAGGGTTACTGTACAATTGATGGAAATGAGAAGTTAAGAAGGGGTATATGTTCTGAAGGTGGCGAAAAGATTTTAAATCTGCGATGTATTGAAAATATTGTTTAATGGAATGGATGTAACAAATATGCCATATTTTTAATAATGAAATGATATATTTTACTTTAATAGTTAATGAATTTGCATTTCATTTCTTGCGAATAAAAATATTACGGCGTTTTAAATTTTTCGTCTTCTAGAATTGTGCATGAAGTTGACAGTAACGAAATCCAATTATTTAATTTGCTCCAAAAATGCTTTATTGCGTCATTGTAAGTTGGTTTGTGTTGGATGTATTCGCTACAGGATATAGTACAATAGGGGAATTTGGGGCGCCTGATTTTAAAATATCTCAAAGCTCCATTAAGGCCCGGATGTCGATATAGTTGTCGAATCAAATAATTGTCTTAAGTACAGCTGTAGAGCACCCTCAGCGACGAGAGCCATCTGTGAAGAATATTAATTTTTCTTCGAGAAAACACAAAGCTCTATAACCTGTTCAAAATATTGTGGGGGAGATCCCCCAAACCCCCCGCCACAAGAACCTGTTCAAAATATTATGGGGGAGATTCCCCAAACCCCCCGCCACGAAAACTGTCCAGAATTTTAAAATACTTCTGGGGGAGAACCCCAAATCCCGCCAATGTAGCCATCTGTGAAGAAATTTTTTTTTTCGTGGAGAAAACACAAAGCTCTATAACCTGTTCAAAATATTGTGGGGGAGATCCCCCAAACCCCCCGCCACAAAAACCTGTTCAAAATATTAATGGGGAGATCCCCCAAACCCCCTGTCACAGCAACTGTCCAATCTAAAAAAACGGCCTTTGACGATGGACAGTCGAGGCTCTTAATTTTAAAAAAATGCTGGGATCGAAATTACAAATCAAGTATGGACGGTCATAGAGTTGATTGGATCGATATCATGTGTACGATCGTATCGATCGTGTACGATCGTATCGATCGTAAACCATAGTACACGGCCGTAGAGTTGATTAGATCGATAGAATGTGTACGATCGTATCGATCGTGTACGATCGTATCGATCGTGTACGATCGTATCGATCGTAAACCATAGTACACGGCCGTAGAGTTGAATGGATCGATAGAATGTGTACGATCGTATCGATCGTATACCATCGTACACGGCCTTAGAGTTGATTGGGTCGATAGAATTTGTACGATCGTGTACGATCGTGGTGGTGCGTATCGATCGTATAAACCATAGTACACGGCCGTAGAGTTGACTGGATCGAAAGAATGTGTACGATAGTAACGATCGTGTAAGATCGTGGTAGTGATAATATGCTCCTTTGGATTGATTCGACATTAAGAGTTTTTGCAGAGTTGATTGGATCGATACTAAAACACACATCATTACGATCGTATTGGGTTGATTGGGTCGATATGATTTGCACGATCGTACTATGAACGAAACGAGTTGATAGGGTTGACACAGTTGATACAGTTGATATATTTGTCGAATCAATCGATTGTCGTATACTGTACCATAATGTGAAAAGTATGATTATAACCAAAGATTGCCCATATGGAACCGTAACTTCTTGAATTATGGCCCCTGATTGTACGAAAAATCGCGTTTTTGGCTTGTGGACTTTCTAGATCTAGCGGTCAAACTTTTATCCGATTTTACAAAACGTTTAAATGTGTCACCGTTACACCCTAATGACGGTTGAGTTCGAATTTCGTAATTATCGGACCGAAACTGCCCGACAAAATGATGGTCGCTCCTTGTACGCAAATAGTGTAAAGGTATTTAATACTAAGGTTGTGGATCCTCACAATTTTTATCCGATTTTGATGAAACATAAAATATATCTTTAAATCCCAAATATCTCACTTCATTTCCATATTAGCGCATTTCAGACCATAACTTCCTGGATTATGACCCCTTATTTAGCTTGTTCTCTATCCATTTCTGGCAAAATGTTGGCTTATCTTGCCTGGCAACCGCTGGTTTTAATACAACAGCGAAGGAGTTAATATGAACATCAATGAAGCCTCTGTAAATGGTGAATTATGTCAGTGTTTACGAAACGAAATGATTTCAAGTAATTACCATGTTGATATTGGTTTTAAATTCTTACAGATGCGAAAGTTTGCAGTCGATTTCTTACTTTTATCAATATCAATTTTTCTTTAATATCAGGTATTTCACCATACAATTGTATCTACTTTTCGTCTGATTTTGAAGTAACCTATCAACTGACAGACTTTAATGGGTGAGATTTTTATGTTACCGTATTATATTTGATTACCCCGTATGTCTGGTGTAGCTCAGACGAAAAAAAATATAGTTATAAGTATAATGTATTTGTTAATGTTACATTGGAACATACATCAAGCGAACACGTGTTGAGTATGGAAATGTAGATTCCTAATAGGAATCGTAAAAAATCAAGTATAGTGATCCATGACAAATCCGGCAATGGCAAATTTGTGTGGTGCCCCGTCTTCCATGCCCAAAGCAAAAATGAAATGAAATGAAATGGGGTTTAACGTCCTACTGTTTTGCTCCGAACTGGGCTAATGAAGACGGGCATACGCCATACAGTGTGCTATGAGGGAAATTTTGCCCGGACAGCGGCACTACGGCCTACTCTTATATCGAATTCCAACTGTCAAGGGATCTTTTACGTGCACGCCAATGTGTACACGGGACCTCGGTTTTTCGTCCCATCCGAACGACTAGACAGCTTTCCTTGGCAGCCCCTCCGTCCTGCATCACTGACAAGGGAGAATCACGCCGGAAAATCTAGATGAACTTTCTCGGCCAATGCAGGGACCATGCCCAAAGCACGTGCTTATTTTGCTTAATGGTAAATCCAGCCCTGTATCTCAACATTTACGGCGAACATGATACAAGGCACAATTCCAAAAGGATGTGTTGTGTACCTAAGGAAATGCCTGTCGAAATAAACAATTTTGAAACTCTGGTGGGGGTATAAGAAAGCCTGACAAGCTCCCTTTGAATGATCACAAAAATGAGTTCCTGTGGATACTTATGACCTTATAGCGATTTCCCTTTTCTTTAATCCTGACACCAGCATTTAAACCCGGTCGATTTAGATAATTATATTTTATGTTCTTTATAGCTACGTCTACACTAGCAGCATTCACCGTCTACACTAGCCTTTTAAATCCCGGTTTTTTCCTAAAAGCCGGCTTTTTCAATTTCTCAATCGTAAAAGCCGGCTTTTTAAAATCCGGCAATTATTGAGGGATTTTTCAAAATCAAAAAGCCGGCTTTTTCAAAAAACCGGCAATTTTATGTGTGTAGACGGTAAATCCGGGATTTATCAAGTACCCGGATGTCATTATCTCTGCAAAATTGACTGAAGCCGATGGCGTAATAAATAAACCGGAAGTTCCACAAATAACGAAGGTCGGTGTTCATCGTCTTTTTCCGTTCAGTCAGTGTAGACGCTACACTTGAAAAAGCCGGGTTTTGTAAGTCCCTATATTATTTCAGATGTCCTGTATCGGGTTCTCCTGGTTTTGCTCTAACTGGAATTAATGGCTCTCACCTAACATCGAATTTATTCGATACTTTCATTATTGAAGGAAAATTAGATGTCATCTTTAGCTGTAGTTTTGAATTCTGTTTTGTTTCAAAGGACACGAAGTGTTCTGATGTAAGTGTTTAAAATCTAGTCTTTTCTGAGAACATTGTTAACACGATAGAGGTTATAGCTTTTAACAGATTCCTTTCAAATTTGGTGCGAGGCATGATGCACCCTATCGATATTAAGCGTTCTCCGACTTTCCGTTTCGGAGTCATCCCGTCTTGTGAACACGATTGACGCTAGAGTTTTTAACATTTGGTGAGAAGCATTGGGGTCATGCGATAAAGTCTACAGTTTTTAATGGGCCTTTTTCATTTTTGGTTTGAAGCATTGTGGTCATCGATCACCATCGATATTCATAATACGCAGCCTTCAGTTCCTGAGTTATCCCCGATTTGCCAAAAACCATGTTCAGGGCGATAGAGGTTATCAGTTTCAACAGATTTTTTTTGTTCAAATCTTGATGGATGGAATGGGATCATAAAAGGATGAACCCTAGAGATAAAATTTGTTCAAGGATCCTAGATCCTTATCAAATTTGCTCAACATCCAAGTTTTTCTTTCAGATAAGCTGCAGTTGAGACAGAGCTGCTGTGTGGGCGTATTCAGCGCTTTGCGTGGCTATCTTTTCTCCTTTCATGATCTACCTTCATTTTGTTTCATATTCAAAAGTCCGGCCCTTTGTAGTCAACTATAATAGTAAATAATAGCTTTTGTATATGTAGAGATGTGTTCATATGAAAAACCAATCATCCCTGACAACCATAACAAAACGATCAACAAATGAGAATAGAAAGAATGGTCAAGCATCAGCTTATTTACTGCTGATACCAAAAACACAGAAAGACAAACAAACTGGTAATTGTGTTCTGCTAATTATTGGTATCTTAGCCATATGAATATTTGAAACCTCGTCTCTTCAAAATTGCAGCTATAGTGATGTTTAAGTCACAAAAGATAGTATGTTTCAAATGAAAATCCGTTTGATCCCGATACAAACATACTTTAGCTTTTAGCGACGAAAGTTCTACTGGCGTTATTTTTCTATCAGATGTGTTTTGGTCTTACATGAAATGCATACCACTTCCCTATTCACATTGACGCGTAGCATTGTTGAGCCTGATATTGGCGATGTGACGGTAGAGAACTGTCCAAAATTACAGTTTCAGAAAAGTTGGAATATCAACAGGAAGCATTCTCTGAACAAATCTGTTGAAACTTGCTGAGCAAACGTACACAGCTTTGTCATAAACATGTGCCGTATTAAAGAATTTTGACTACTATGGAGTGATTGCAGTTGTTTCAAAGATTTCAATGACAATTTTTGTTGACCAACAACACATACCATAAAACTTCTGTTTTCGGGACAAAATTCGGCAAAATCTTGCATTGTAGTTCATATATATTCAATTTTAAAAGCTTCATTTTACAGTTCTGTGAGATATGAAACTGTAACTAGTGTAACGGGTATTTGGAAATAGAATATAGCTACTACTAGTGTTCCACTAATATCTGAATAATATTTTCATTACAGACAAGAACAACTTTTCAGAAGACTCTGATGGCACCATTCCCAAATACTTGACTGTTTTGATAACGGGTTTGATATTGGCAGTGTGTGCAGTTTGGATGACCGTGTTGATCTTTGTTCGGTCATTTTATATTAGATCTGGCAGAAGGTTAGCAAATGTCGAGACGGCGAAATAACTGTAAACGTTTTTATACATCCACATGTATGATCATATATTAAGGTTACTTTGTCTGCTCATAATTTGTGAATTCCCTATATTACTTTCAGTTTATTGTAAGTAAATTGCCAATATTTTTTAAGTGTATATATAACGATCATTATGAAATTCTAACAGGTTGCTTTTTATGTGTTAGCATGTTAAAAACACAGAATTGAAACTTCCTGTGGTGTAGGTGGCCTGGGAACTCATGGTTTACAGTCTTTGTAGATAAAAGAAACTCTGTGACTTTTCTTTAATTTGATTAAATATATCAATTATTAAAAGAAATGTCTTTGTACAATGTTTGTTTCTTTCCCGTCAGTATGCCGTTCACAATTCGTGTAATAGTTCTGCGGGCTGAGATTTTGTGTTGAAAAGAAAACTTTTTTTTTTTCAAACTTTTTCAAACTTGCTGGGACTGTTTAGATAGTTCTAAGAAGTAACGGTATCGAAATTGAAAGTCGGGCATCCAGTTGTCAAAACCTATAAACTCCCGACCGGACAGTACCTATACTTTTGTTTAAAGATCGACTAGTTATAAGAAGGGATCATATCGAAATTCACAATTGCGTAGTTGGACACAGTAAATAATTAAATGATTAATTTTCCCTTTGATTTTAATGTTAATTCTCGTCTCTTTGACCGGCTCTTAACTTTTTCCAAAATTTTCGTCGGGTTGATCACTTTCTACCACAGATGCAGCAACATGTGGCATCCTCTTCTCTTGCTCGAAAGCAGGTATGAGATTCGCAATGGAAATCTTGCGATGAACAAACTAGAAGTAGCATATAAGTAAACATGCAACGTTCCACTCTGCATTTCTCTGCTATCTTTCCGTCTCAAAATCATGACTATTCACTAAAACGTGCATATTTAAACCCTTTTCGTCGATTCTACACCAAAAAGTCAACAGCTATCACCATGCAAAAAGGAGGAAAGGCGAGAGAAAGACTAAAAATAACTTTGGTACTAGATTGCGTGTACATTTGCTTTTACAATGAGTTATATCCCCTGTCTTGATCCTCGTCGACATGGCCTTTGACCTGATATAAGCAAGGATTCCATATATGTATCTATCCACGATGCACAGTGTGTGATGCGTGTCTGTAATACGGATTGTTACCCATATGCTCCTTCTATGTGTCCGTTCAAAATGGTTAGCGTGCTGCGTGATAGTTATTTACGCGACAAGGGTCCATTTCATACGGTCATGGAATACAACTTAACCTCACACCGTCGGATTCAAGTCCGATTTACCGATGAGATTTCTAACAACCTGGTGGAATTGTTCATTAGGGCATCTGGAAGAACCCAATGGAATTTTAAAATTTTCGGATCGTAAATTTTAAACGTGTTTTACGACTTATGTCACAGCCTGCGAATGTGATATAGAACAAGGTGTTCGGGGAACTGTATTAAAACTTATGGAACAGGAACTGTTCATTGGGGTTATTAAGAAGTTATTATAAAACTTTTCATCTCAATGGCGCACATCTTGTGCAAGGTGGATAACGACCTAATTTTGCTAAATGCCGTTTTCTCTCTTGGGCATTCTGGGACTGTGGTGCGTCAAAGCGGGAAACATTGTCGGTATTGTCAATATTGTCCGCTTTGACACACCAAGGTTCCCAACGTGTCCAGAGAGAAAACTCTGTTAGTATGTGTCATTAGCTTTCGAGATGATCACATTTACTGAATGCACGGGTACGCTTCCATGGACCACCCTAACTTTAGGGCATACAGCGAGTGTGTGTATAATACGCTTTATACAAGTTGTATGTAATTATATGTATAAATATGTATATAGCCTTTATCTGAAAATAACCATATTCAGAATCCTTGTCTAACATATTATAGCTTAAGTAGTCATTCCAATCTGAATATTCTAATCAAATATAAATTTGTTAAAAGTAAACATTAATGTGTATTTATTATGTAATCTAATGCAGAAATTTGGATTTTTCTTAAACTAAAGTCGTCTTTGACATGCGCACGCCCATTCTCTCATGCATGCCTTGCTATCAAGCATAGACCGGAGGCTCAGCGCGGGGGGTGTCCATCAAATGGGCACAAAACCAGACCAAACTTTTCTAGAGTGAAATTTTGCGTAGAATACGATGCCGAGTGGTAATCAGTCCGCCGTTGGGGCGTTTTCGAGATATTCGGGGTCAAAGGTCAAATGAGTCCATTTGCACTGAAAGTGAATGCGCAGTCATTCTTGTATTATGAAAAGAAGCTGAAAATGATCGAAAATCACACTTTCGATAAAAATGTAAACTTGCTAAATTCACCTTTGGTCTTAGTGACCCTGGAGGTCAAAAGGTGAAATTTACCGTTTTTGCACTAGGAAGATTTAAAGCAATAAAATGTCAACGTAAAATATAAAAACTAAAGCGAAACCTGTTCTAATTAATAATAGGAACATTTAAAATTTATCTTTAGGTCGTCTTAGCACCGAACCTTTACTTTGGAACGTCGAAAATGATCTTGCATAACAGAACCAAAACGCTTCGGAGCCTGTTTCAAAAATACACAAAAACTGTTAAATAAAAATCTCTCCGAATTAGTTTTACAACGAATTCTATACATAATGATACTAGTTGTCTGAAAAAAAAACAATTGAACAGTTCCATGGCGTCACAAATCCTGCCCAAATTTTCCCCGCTAACATTTACCAATACGACATAATATATATCCTGTGAACTACTATGTACAATGCATTCGTCGGTTTTATCTGCGTCCATGTTCCGGCGAAATTCATAAAAACTCATAAAAGATTTGCAAACTTTTAATTTCGTCGTCAGATACGCTTAGATATTATATCTACAACCATAGAAATATACTAGCGGTTGACCCGGCGTAGCACGAGTATAGCCATTAACCGGAAGTAGCATAACTCTAAAACCGAAAGTGGTAGTCCAACGCCACCATGCCTATGTTACTCCCCGGTCCGAGCTACCCCTATAGGCTACACCAAATGTCAGTCTGGGGACAGTCCATGTGTAGCCGCCAACTCTGAACAAACAAACGACAGTCACAAAATACTAGTACAAATTTATGGTCTACGTCATTGGCACACACCGTCAATGAAACTTCATTCAGAAAAGCAACGACGCGTGACGTGTAGGGCGAAGCATCCTGTTGTCAAAGGCAACGTCGTGTTAAAAAAGTGACGTCGGGTTTTTTTTCTTCCATAACTTTTCCATCTTTTGCATCGTGCGTTGTACTTTTTTTAAAGGCGTGGATAGAACACCAAAGTATACTGGTTCTTTAACATAATATCCAGGTGCGGAAAACAGCTAATGCTACATTAGATCCTTGAAGAAAAGGAAAATGTTGAAGTTTTGTATTTTAATCATCGTACTTACTGTTCCGGGATCTCTACAGGGTAAGTAAAGGGTGTGCGAAAACTCGACATAAAAAAGGAAAATAACAACGAAAATACGACAAGCATAAGGAAATACTACGTTACTCCAAGATCTTATTAAATAATGCTAGTATGTTTATTACTTTCATGTTATACTCAAATGATGTCAATAAATATCTACCTAAACAAAGAAACGCACATCTGAGAGGCACAAATTGTCCTCTTGTCTCAGACCCTATCCGTTGATTATAATTATAAAATGCTCACCCCCATTTCTTGTTTCATATACGTACTCAAATTATGCTTGTTATAACATTCATTTGGAACAATAATTTAATGGGTTTTTTTCTTCGCGGGGGGGGGGGGCTTCCCTTATATGCGTTTTAACAAAAATTTAGTAAAATAGAGAGATAGAAATTAAGTGTCTTAAGAACCCGTTTCTTCTGATAAACTGCTTGTCGTAAGCCCATTTCCAACACTCGGTTTATATAGCAGGCGCTAAATACCAGTCACTGGGAAATACAATTTAAATAATATTTTTATTATAGCAGAATGGCTTCAAACTGCAAATTTGCTAGAGAGTTAGAGGGCATTGCTCCATAGGGCTCACTAACTAGACGGTCCAGTCTGGTTTAGTTCTTTTGTCTATGGGACAGGACGGTGGGTCTTACAAGGAACAGTTACTCGTCTTTCGGGGAGGGTAGGGGTCGGGGGACAAAAAACGGAGGTACCGTGGACATGTTAATATTTGGAATTCGATGAAGAGCAGGTGGAAGTGTCCTCGCTCTGAAGACCCCGATATAAAAAAAAACCATCAACGTTCCCTAGACCACGAGCTATTTTATTCGTGATCCACCACAAAACTCCCACTGACTAAAATTGCTAGTCTGTGCATGTGATTATAGGTCAAGGTTATAAAAAAACATGATTAGCATGTTTAGCTTAGTATTTATAATTATAGGTCAATGTTTCACATTATCTATACACAGTGAAAAAAGTATCGCAACATCCGAATGTTTATTCGCTCAAGAGAAATTATTGCGTAAAGAAATATGTGCGAGAAAGTAAAAAAGTTTGACGTATTATTTTCTCCACACCTACGACATACTAACAGACCTACGACACAAGGAACCAACTGATTAAAATACAGCTCATTTTAGCAAGATGGAATACCTTCCAAAACATATAATACTAATAATAGCTAACATATCTGATCAGGCATTAGCACTATATTCATATCGGGGTGTTGCGATATGATTTATTCTCTTTATTGGACATCTTTCAGCCTGTATTAAGAAATTTACAGCAAACAATGGTTCTTTTTCATCACCAAACTACCCCAGTAACTATCATGCGAGAACGACATGTGTTTACAACATAAAAGTTGATACCACAAAACAAATCAATTTAACATTTACAGATGTAAAGGTAAGATAATATTGAAGGGCGAGATAAGAATCAAGGAAAATATTTTTTTCTAAAATACTCAACTTAAAGATGCATTATGTAAGATTTAGATAAAAGGGAAAATGTTGAAACTTTCAGTCAAATTACTTCATTCTGTGTGGAGTTAGGGCCGTTTGACGAACAGTGTAGTTTCGATTGTAGTGCCAATCATAAACAAAGTCTCCATTATCCATTATCCATTATCCGATGAAAACCAAAACCATCCGATGGTTGATTATGGGCTTGGCATGTAAATAAATATCTAATTAATGATTTATATAACATTTTAGGCCAAACGAAAGATCTGCATTGGGAAGAATTAGCTCTTACATAATGCATCTTTAATTAAGAATTATTCAAATTCTGAACCAACGCTTTGCCTATTTTTGAACTCAGTTTTTGTAAAAAGGAAATAAATATTGATCTTTTTTTTTGAATAATTGCATTTTACCTTGATCGCCAACAACATGAAATTGAAATATAAGTAAATCTTGAACGGAGAAAAAAGACGTTATGACCCTAGACCAAGTTAAAATGTGCATCAGAGCATAAAACCGGTTATTACTGCACTTGCGCATCGTATGTTCTATTCAGGCAGTGATTGACTCCGATGCCACCACTTGCCTATTACTTATCGATGTGTATTAACGTTACCACGTACAGAAAACCATGATTATGATGTCTTTTATCCCTGACGTTTCAGATGTGTACTAGAAAATGGGGATTACACTCAAACATTTCATCACTGCACAAAATAATCATTGTACATTTCAAGTTTATGAAATGAAATGAAATGGGGTTTAACGTCCTAAAGTTAAATTCATTTTCCAAAGTGTAGTTTTTTTTTCTAACCTGAACATCAGATTAGCCCAGGCCCCGAGTTCACAAAGCATTCTCAGACTTAAGAATTTTCTCAACTTTCAATTACTGTTTATGAGAAACACTTTTAATCCAGAAATACAAAAAAATTACACATAGTTTCTTATTGGTGTACTTGATATTAAAACAAAAGAGGTTTTATAAAGGGCAATATTTGAGTTAAAATAAGGCGAACAATTTTGAGTAAAAAAGTTTGTGAACATGATATTGATTAGATTTCCTGAAGAATTCTAGATCTCTATACAATTTTGTCAGCATCCAAGTTGTCCTTTCGGATTAGCTGTATATGAGACATAGCTGCTGTGTAGGCGTATTTTCACACTTTGTGTGACTATCGTTTACGTTATCTTAGTGTTATCAACTTTATGCTGAAGATTAAACTAAATAATTTGAATTAGAAAAACTCCAACCCCATTTCTATATTTTAGGTGGAAAACAAAGCCGATTGCAAATATAATAACATAAAAATCTACCAAGGAAACGTGCTTTTAGATACACTGTGTGGTGGCATTGAGACTCCATATTTGATCAATACCACTTCATATAATGTTAAAGTTATATTCAGTTCAGATACTGAGAATCGATTTAAAGGATTTAGAGCTTTCTACACCACTCAATCTTCCGGTAAGTTATTACTGTGCGTAATATCAAACGCGTGCGCTTTAGATCATAATGTACGTCATTGAGTCAACATGCGTGATTTCAAGCTCACACTTGTAAATGACAAGGGTATTCTGTTGGTTCCGAAATTACCTAGTTTAAATCTGAAATACTAAATACTGTCCCTGCACAATTTAAAATAACATGTTACATCAACAGATCTTGGATGGGTTTGATTTTTGTGCTTACACACCTTGAGATGTTATTTCCTTTGATCTCCATGCATGTTATAAAACGCGTCAACCTGCTGTGACGTCATCAGAGGGTGAATTCACGACAGGTTCACTCTGCAATGAAAAAGGGTACACATTATTTATTTTAACATTACAGACTGTCAAACGATTCGGACGACGATTCTGCCAGGCCCATGTTACTGAGGGTTTCTTCATCTGACCAAGAACTTGTCTAAAACACAAAGTCTGGATTGTGTAGTATATCCACATCAGTTTTATTCGCAATTTGTAAATGTGAAACGATCCCCATAACTAAATACGGAATTCGGTGGGTAATACTCACCATTTTATTTTGCTGACTGCCAAGACGAATCTAGACATCCAAACAATAAAATCTATAGCCATATCTCCCAGCGCACACAGTATGTTTCGCTCACTATTGTGTTTATTATTCCGCCACACTGACCAACTGTTAAAAAAGTTCACAGCCCACTGATGTCTGCGTAAGGTATTTCTGGGCACGGCATTGTTGGCACATTCACTGACGTCTTTTTGTCACTCGAAATTGAGAAAGCGTGTATCATTTTTATCTTCGTCACAATCCGAAATATCTTAATACCGGTACATTAAATCCTTGTTAAATATTTTCTGCATAAATTCTGCACTTTGACTAGCTTTAAATAATTCTTTGTTAGAATCTACATTTTCATTTTCTTTTTCAACCATATTTTCTACAAACTGACTTGCTCGGATCAGTTGGTCGTCCGAAACATTGACAACATTGTACAAAATAAATGTAAAGTTTGTGAACACGTGGTTACTAAAATGTAATGTGCGTACAACTTACGACTTGTTTTCTTAATTTGTCATTAATGGGGGAAATATTTATTTCATATCTGATCCTTCGTTCTGGAGTTAGTCCTCCTTTCCAGACAACCTTGTGAACCCGATAGAGGCCATTTTAACAAATATTCTTGTATTAGGATTTGAAGCATTCGGCTCACCCAAGGACTAACCCTGTTGAGAATCAGGTTAAATCGACTGTTTGTTCCAGAGTTATGCCCCCTTAGCAAATCAAATTTGGTGTGAAGCATTGAGTTCATGAGACGACGAACACACACGATAATCAGCGTTGCGCAACCTTCCGGGGTCGCCCCCCCCCCCTTTTCTAAAACCTTCGTAACGTGACAGAGACTGCAGCTTTTAATAGCATTTTGTTTTTCAAATTATATTCGATACTGGGACAAAGAGGGAATGAACCCTACCGATTTCCCAGTTCTCCGTCCATCTCTTGCAAAATGTGGGCGTATCTTGTATGGCTACAGCTTGATATAATATCTGTTTCATAATCGTAACTTTGAAATCATGGACGACGTCCTTCTTTAGTGTCATAATTTTTTTTATTTTGATGAATAGTGTCACATTACTTTAATGTTCACTTTCCTCCACCCTCCGCGTGGACTACTTTTGTCACTCATTCGTTGCACGCAAGCCGATAAGATGAAAGTTTGATATAATATACACACCCGAGGTCGTTCTAACCGAAAGCCAAGAAAATTCACGATTATTGGTGGTATGGTTCACTGATCTATGAGGGAAAAGCCAGTATACATTGGACTTAGATAAATATAAAGAGGGGTCTCGCAACGATTTCTTTCACGGTTTCTGTTTTACTGCCATAATTATGATTCACTTTTGCTCCGGACATACATCAATCATAATCATTCATTTCCTAACAATTACTGTGACATAGTACGACAGGATATAAGAATAAAGTTGGTTGTGGATTCAATCTCTTTATTATAAAAGTACAGGAACAAACTACATAACTGATACATCTATATTTATCATATCTGGGTAGCCTACAACATACACACAGGAACATAACATTTATTCTACAAATTAAACTCTAGTCATAATGACCAACGTGCTAATACACACCCGCTTCCCCTGCTGTCTTTTGGCTCCCTGTCTAACCGGCTTTATATAGCCGCCTTAGCTTGTCTAAGCCTGTCTCAAAGTAACCTCAGCTAAATTATACTAAGGGTCACTTTCATAACGTATGTAATTAATTACTATATAGTATGTAATTGTAACATATGTCATACTACAGATACTGCTAATGTATGTCAATTTAACAATGGAAGATCAACACAGTAGTATTTCATGTGACAATTTCTCCTCATCATTAAAACAAGCAATCATGGAATAATTGAAACATGTGTAACATATATGGCCCATTATATTATTACATTACAGTATGTGAGAATACAGGATTCTATGGTCCAGACTGTGAAAAAGTGTGCCATTGTTACCAATCACAATGTGATATAGAGACAGGATTATGTGACTATGGATGTGAACAAGGATGGATGGGATCTAGATGCGATCAAGGTGAACGATGTATTTATACTTCCATAAACAGATAGTAAGGGGGAATCTTATATTTAAATTGCCCAATATGTATGTCACTTTTAATTTGTCATTAAGGGTAACTGGATTGGTCATTTTTGTTGTTCGAAATTGTATTTTACATCGAAGCACAGTTGAGTTCCATGCTGCTACAATTTTTGAACTCTGGTGAATATTTTGGATAGGAGCATCATTTTGATTTTAAAACCCGGTTTGTACATGTCCAGGTGGCACGGTCCAGTGTACAAATTTGCAGTGCATATCACTTTACATAGGTAGTGGTACCCATAACTGAAATATATATTCCATAGGTCTATGTATCCATGTGACCGGAGAGCCCAATCTTTTCATAGACTTTCCTCCAAGAAAACATACAATCGAATTGTGTTGACAATATAAATGAAAAATGTAAAAAGATAATAAATTTGCGTGTATTTCTGTTTTGCTTTCAGTGAAAGCTCCAGCAAAAGGTAAAACGTGTTATTAATATAAGAAAATACTTGCACAAGGTTAAAATAAATACGTTATGTAATATTATACAAAGGTTGTCACTGCGTAATAAATATGAGACAGGGCTGGAAATTAATCAGGGCATGGCTAGAATATACCAGTTTACACGTTCCCATAAAATCCTTAGATAAAATAAACTCATCTATGGCAAGGTTTGGGGGCATTTGTGTGGAACTTTTCACCACAAGAGTTCCACAAGATACTGGGTTTCTGAAAATAAATACATTCCACAAGACTTTCGACTTAGAATAATATTCATAGGGTGTTTTGAGTCTGTGGTGTTTTTCACCACAAGAGTTCCACAACATTTTGGACTTAGAAAAAAAATCAATTTTTTCAAAAATTTTAGCTCATACCTCCCTATATGTCTGTGTGGTACCACATTCCGCAAAATTTTCGACTTAGAATAATTTTGATAGTGTTTTGGGTCTGTGGTGTTTTTCACCACAAGAGTTCCACAAGATATTTTAAACTTAGAAAAATATCAATTTTTTCAACAATTTCTTCTCAGACACCCCTCTGGGCCTGTGTGGTACCACATTCCACAAAATTTTCGACTTGAATAATTTTGATAGAGTGTTTTGGGTCTGTGGTGTTTTTCACCACAAGAGTTCCACAAAATATTGAACTTAGAAAACTATGATTGAATGATTGTTCTATTTCCAACCGTTGAATTGCCACATCACTATATATCAATCCACATAACTATAAACACCCTGTGTTAATAATGTACCTATGACCGCTGGCCACGCACATGTTCGTGTATGAGGCATAGTATGCTTACCAATATTAATCAATTAACATGGGCTTATTCGCACACCTCATTCTTAGCTCCATGTATAAACATGTATTTCAGTGGCGCTATTTTGCATTAATTCTACAAACGAAGGCCAGTATGCTCTGTTAAGGGTTGATAGAGGACACGTTAAGTACCATGGAATATACTTCCTCGATGGCAACGGTGATAGATCATCGAGCAATTGTGATAAAGGATTATTTAGTGAGAATGCTGAGGGTATTTTAAGCCTTAAGATGTTAATAGGGAATGGTACTGCAAATCCTAATTGTTCCCATACCAAGGTACGTAGACATGTAGATATAACTAAGTGTATCGACAATGTGGAAATTAAAGATTCATTATGTAAGAGCTAAGTCTGCCTATTGCGGGTCTTTTTTTCTGGCTTCAAATCTTACATAAATTATTAATGAGAAATTTGTTCACATGAAAAGCCTATAATCAACTCCCTAGAGCGTCGGATGTCCGAGATTCAAATGGATTAGAAAACCCATAAGATTTAAAAATTTAACGATAAAATTGATAATGGAAACTTAGGGTCGATTGTCAATTAACGTTGCTACGATAATGAACAATCTACGCTAGGTCTGGTCAATGGAGCCACGGTGGCTCAGTGAGTAAGACGTCGGCTCGCTAACCAGGAGGTCCCGTGTTCGATCCCTGCGTTGGCCGAGAAAGTTCATCGGAATTTTCCGGCGTGGTTTCTCCTTGTCAGTGGTGCAGGGCCGAGGGCCTGGCTAAGGGCAACGTATGGTCTCTCCGGTGGAACGAAAAACCGGGCTCCTGTGTACACATTGGGGTGCTCGTAAACGATCCCTTGGCAGATGGAATTCGATATAAGTGTACACCGTAGCGCCGCTGCCCTGGAAAAATTTCCCCCATTGCACACTGTATGTATGACGTATGCCCGTTTTCATTAGCTCATTAAACCCCATTTTATTTCATTTCAGATCTGGTCAAACCTTCCAACACTCATAGCTTCGCTTAGAATAACGTAATTTGAATGTAATTTCAATATATTCATTTTTCATTATCTAGTTTTGAAGTATTATAACACGAACGGCCAGCCCTATGTCTAAATCTTACTTAATACATCCCCAAATACACCCAGAAAAAAAAGAAAATTTGAAATCAACGACCGCGCGCTTTTAGATTGGCGTTAGTAATCGTTATTTTGTAGAAAATAGTCGATAATTGTTCTATTGGATTTGTCAATACATAGATACAAATTTGTGGTGCTTGGTTCGACCAAATCTTTGGAATCATCTAAAGAAACAAACTTTTAATGCTTTGGATAGAGAGAGAGAGAGAAATGGGGTTTAACGTCCACTCGACACAAACTAGGTCATTTCGGGACTAACATATGGTTTAATTTTATTTCAATAATTCGCTTGCGCGTAGGGGGCTTTAGCAGTGGGAGGAAACCGGAGAACCCGGAGAAAACCCATGAGGTTGGACAGGCGACCCTACTCCTTGTCACGTACAACCGGGAATTCGAAACCACGCCAGTCGACTCAATGACAGACTTTATGATACAGCGCGCGGACGCTAACCATTCAGCCATCCAACCCCCCAATGCTTTGGATAATGATGATATTTGCTTTACAGACAGGTGAAGGAGTCTTTAAATGGAAAATTAGAACAGAAGAAGTGCCTGGTTTCAACAGTTACTATGACAGATTATATGACCTGAGTTGTGATTTTACAACAGCAGAAACATTGATAAGAAATAGCAAACATATTATTAAGGGGTATGCAACAGAAACATTGATAAGAAATAGCAAACATATTATTAAGGGGTATGCAACTGAGCCACGATTTTAACTCATCATCAATCTTTATGTCCATAGAACAATCCAAGCAAATCTAAATCTACCCCAAACTGCATTATTCCATGTACAATATTTGAAAATTATGATAACAATTTCAAAGTGAACTGTCAAAACTTTTGGAACCATGTAATTCATTTCTTTATGTCTTTTTTGTACGTATATTACAATTACATACAAATAAACACATAAACACGTCATTGTTATACGCCCATATTTTCATGTGGACGTATAATATTGTCGTCGCCCCTGTCCGCCAGAGTGTCCACAATTTGTTTGCGGACACGCTACGGGTCACAATTCTTATGCGATTTTGACAAAATATATTATCATCGTTATACCCGGATGATGGTTGAGGTCAAATTTCGTAAAAATCGCTCCGAAACTGTCCGACAAAATGGCCTCTCCTTGAACGCAAATAGTGTAAAAGTATTAATACCAAGGTAGAGGACACTCTAAAGGTCACAATTTTTGTCCGTCTACAGATATCACCGTTGCACCATAATGATGGTTGAGTTCGAATTGCAGGAAAATCGAAATGAAACTGCCCGACAAAATGGCCGCTCCTTGTACGCAAATAGTGTAAAAGTATGTAATACCAAGGTTGTGGACCCTCTTGAGGTCACAATGTTTGTCCGATTTTGATAAAACTTAAATTAAAATATATGTTTATATCCCAAAGAGATCAGTTCCTTTCGATATTCTCGCATATCAGACAATAACTTCCTGGATTAAGGCTCCTGATTCTACTAAAAATCACATTTTTATCTTGTTGACCCTCTAGACTTTCCGAAATGAAACTGCCCGACAAAATGGCCGCTCCTTGTACGCAAATAGTGTAAAAGTATGTAATACCAAGGTTGTGGACCCTCTTGAGGTCACAACTTTTTTCCGATTTTGATGAAACTTAATTTAAAATATATGTTTATATCCCATGGAAAGATCTCGGTTCCTTTTCGATATTCGAGCATATCAGACCATAACTTCCTGGATTAAGGCCCCTGATTCTACTAAAAATCACATTTTTATCTTGTTGATCCTCAAGATGTCACAATTTTTATCCGATTTTGAAAACTGTTTAAATATATCACCGTTACACCATACTGAAAGTTGAGTTCGAATTTCGGGAAAAACCGAAACGAAATTGTACGACAAAATGGCCGCTCCTTGTACGCAAACAGTGTGAAAGTATGTAATTCGGAGGTTGTGGACCCCGATTGGACGAAAAATCGCGGTTTTTGTTGGTTTTTTTTTAGTTTGTTCTCTATCCACCTCTTGCAAAATGTGGGCGTATCGTTGATTGGGTAACAGGGCCTATTGAATTATTAATTTGTAAAGGTGGGGTTTTTTTCATATCGATGCAGTTGAGCACTAATTTGAACGCGTATTAGCTTTTCGTTTATGTAGGTAAGGATTGATTAAATGATTACGAAATGAAATCCGTTATAGCAAGATCAGTTTAAGATAAAATAAAAGTTAAATATCGTTTAGATTGGATAGTGTGTGTCTTCGGTTATGATTTAGTATATTGATAAGTGGAATCATGAGTGCAGCACCCTTTTGATTTTTTTATACGCCAACATGTTGGTGTAGTATGTCGTCAACCATATGTGGTCCTTCCAGCAGTCAACAATTGGCTTGTGAACGCCATAGAGGCTACAGTTTATTAACGGGTTGTTTTCAAATTTAGTGTGAAGCATTGAGTGACATAAGAGAAGAACGCTATCGACAATAAGTTTTCTGTGAAATGAGAGGACAAACATTATTGCTCTTCAGCATTACTCGACGTACTGTTCTAAAGTTAGCACCTCGCCGTTTTTCCGAAAACCTTGTAAGCTACAATTTTTAACAGATCTGTTCCAAATTTGGTGTGGAGCATTGGCCTCATATTCAGTCTTTCGCAACCTTGCAAATATGGATGTATTATAAACTTTTAGGCATTCTAGATCTATAATGTATATATCGTTCATTGATATAATAGTAGGTACATGTTTGTATTCTATAATTCATACTTATGGAAGAACAATTATTAATGTATTATGCGACGTTTCGAAGAGTATTTGCTAAACGATTGCAAGAGCATACTCTTCGAAACGTCACCAAAATAAATCAGTAATTGTTCTTCCATAAGTATTGGTTATAGTTTATTGCTCTGTACAGTTAAATGCCTGTAAATGATAATCTTTGTATTCCTTGCTGCTTTAAAACTGTACTAAAAGTATTCCTTTTCAGGACATATCAAAAGAGCAGGGTGGCTGTCACACAAACGACTGAGGATGTTCAGTTAGTCATTCAAAACCCAGTAACATTAACACGCTTAATCCAAGCACCAGTTGGCTCCAGAATTAAACTTGCAATGATATTACACAAACACGATGGCGTTACAGCTTTAGGTAGTGTATAATTTTGTGAATAATGATCAATAAATTGTAATGATGTTAAAGTTACCTTATTTACCACCTATGCCAGTTGGATTTACACTGTCTGTTTTGTGTAGCTGACACTTGCAAACAGACACAATGTAACCAATTTCTATTCAGTTTTTTGATAAAACGCCGAAGTGTAAACCCAGCTTAAAATAAATAGTCTAAATCTCCAAGTCGATGCGTGAGTAAGTTCAGTTTGTCAGGAGTTGCAGATAAAGAACGCATTTTGTTTGGTATGGGTGGGTCACTGGCTTATTCATTTATGCATATATGCATACTTTTAACCTAACTTAGGATTCCTACGTACATCAATTCAATGTAATTCGGCTTTAATTAAATCGTACCCGACACGTTCGACTGATATTTCGTTTGCTGATAAATGCATTAGATTATAACACCCCCTTCACAAAACAAGAATCGTCGATTCGGAGTTCCGATATGACTAAAACATTTCCATACTATGGTTAAGCATGGCAAATTGTCATGACGGCCATAACAGACAATTATGAATCATGTTTTTGGATTTTAAAAGTTGGAATCAAATTTCATGGATCGAAAGACAAATTACAATCAAACTTATTTTTAATTGATCAACTGATATTTTAATTCGGATGGGAATCGAACTTTACTAATATTTATATTCCTGGCGCATTTGCGACGAGGTAATCAACTGATAATTTTCGTTAGATATAATTTTATAATTACAGGTATTTCACCATTCAACTGTTCCTGTTCTACACCTGATGGGAATGTATCTCATCCACTCACAGACTCTAACGGGTGCGAATTTTATTTAATCACTGGGCGCATATTGTGGTCCCGGTCGTCTGGTAGTTTTCTTGCAATTGGGTATAAGTAAGAACCCTGTAACCTTAATACAGGACAGAGGTTTAGATGCATTCATTTAAAACATGGTGGGATTGTTGATGGCTAATGAAGATTCCTATCGAAGCAGAATGGGGGCGGGGATCGATTTAGGTTTGTTTTTATACGCCTACGTTTATCTCCACAAGATCTCGGTTCTCTTTGATATTGGCATGTATCGGACTGTAACTTCATTGATTATGGCCCTTGGTTGTACGAAAAATCATGTTTTTAGCTTGTGGACACTCTAGAGACCACAATAGTTATCGGATTTTGATGAAACTTGAAATGTATGTTTATAACACAAAGATCCCGATTCCTTTCGATATTCGCGCATATCGGACCGTAGCTTCCTGGATTATGGTCCCCAGATTGTACGGAAAATCGCGTTTTTAGCTTGTGGTCCCTCTAGAGGTCACAATTTTCATCCGATTTAAAAAAAAAACGTTCGAATATTTCACCGTTACACCATATGTAGCACCATGGGTGTTTTGTCAGACTTGGAGAGCTTACCACGCCAAACCGGTCGCCACATCCGGCGTATGACCAATGCATCTTTTCCTACTACATATCTTATTAGCTTTGTGATCGTCTAGTATTTTCACTTGTCGTCTTTGCTTCCCTTTCACGTTGTGTATTTACTTCTTACTGTTTTCTCAGTTAGTTAAGACGCTTGTCTTACCAGGAATAACAGTGCAACAGTTCGTTTTTATATTTTATATATCAAGCTGCTTATATATGGTGCAATGCATAATATAATAAAGTCATTCTCTCAATCCCAATTCAGCCAGACTCGGCGGGGAGAGTCTGCTTATAGAAATTGCTACATCTTTTCCCTTCTAGAGCCAAGCTGCTGTCTGACGAATTCTCACAAACATGATAGTTTTGTAGCTTTGGGTTTTGGACCTTCAGTTATCTAATTGGTCAACATGATGTAAATAATTATAGAGATTGGTTAATTAAGCCAAATGATGCAATCGTAATTTTCCGATCACGTGTTAAACATGATATTCTCATTCCCACGGAACCAGCTAATGTTTACCAAATTATTACTCTTTTTTATATAACAATCTGTCATTCATTCACTAATTTTAATTAAGTCCATATTAGACAATATGTTTGAATCCCACAACTTGCCAAAGACATTAATTAATAGAATATAATGCCATCATATTTCTCTATTCCTTGTCTATAAATTTGAAAACAATGTCGCGACGACAATATTTCTACAATTCTTCCCCATTTAAGAATATATATAAAATATAGATATTAATTAATTCTATGCTACTAATTTAAAGAGTAAAAATCCTACAAAAGTCTTACACATAATGATGGATGATTTCGAACTATCCAAAAGACCTCGGTTCCTTTTTATATTCGCGCATTTCGGAACGTATGTTCCTGATTGATGTCCCCTGATTGTACTAAAAATTGCGTTTTTGTCTGTGATCCCTCTAGAAATCACAATTTTTATCCGATTTTAAAAACCGATTAAATATATCACTGTTATGCACTAATGAGCTTGTAGTCCCCCTAGAGATCACAATCGTTATCCCATTTAAAAAAAATGTTTAAATTTATCACCGGTACACCATAATAACAGTAACTCCGTTGAATTCGAATTTCGTGAAAATCGGACCCAAACTGCCCGACAGAATGGCCGCTTCCCGTACGCAAATAGTGTAAAATTATGTAAAAGTCAGGTTGTGGACCCTCTAGAAGTCATAATATTTATCCGATTTTGATGACGCTTAAAATATATGTTTATATTTCAAAGATCTCTGTTACTTTCGATATTCGCGCATTTCAGACCATAACTTCTTGGAGTATGGCCCCTGATTGTACAAAACAATTCGCGTTTAAAAATATGTAATACAAAGGTTGTGGAATCTGATTGTACGAAAAATCGGGAGGGGGCGGCAGTAGCTTGTTCTCTGTCCATCTATTGAAAAATGTGGGCGTATCTTGCATGGCAAGCGCTTGCTATTTAATTTATATTATGTCTGGATGAAGTAACGATTTATACAAATCGATGCCAATGTATTTCAGATGCCCTGTGCAATATTCACCTGTTTCTGCTCTAACCGGAAGGAACATCTCTTATGTGACATCAAATATATTTGATGCTTTCACAATTAAAGAAGATAAAAATGTCGTTTTTAGTTGTAATTTTGAATTCTGTTTTGAATCAAATGAAACGAAGTGTGCTGATGTAAGTTTTTTTTATTTTGGAATCTGTATAGTTTTATCATACTCGACTTTTCATTTAACACGATAGCAGACAATAGATATATCGACAGATTGATAAAAAGCTTTCCAAATTTGTATCCCAAATATTTTCACGATTTGATATCTGGTTATGTCCCACAAATGCAACATATCGATAGTGCATGTCGGTCTACTACTTTGTGCACACCTTTGTGAAATGCGTTAGAAATATATATATATATTAAGAAGACGGTATGTTGATATATTGCTCTATCTCTAAAGAAAAGAAGTGATTTAGGTCTAGAACATTTACGTTATCACCACTAAACGTAGTCTGACTCTTCACTTGCCTTTTTAGTGGATGGGTAAAAGGAGGGGATTCACGCCTGACGACTACGGGATAAGCCCGTAGAGATTTATATTACATAGATACCAGGTCTCAAAGACCTTTTATCACCAAATAACACTTTCTACGGTGTGATAAACTTTCATAATCTACTGAGCATATCTCCTTAGGAGATATCGCTTTACATGCATGTGATTGGTCAATTAAAAAGGAATTACTTTTAGTTCTCGATTACCATAAACAATTACAATACTTCCCATAAACGTCCAAGAATTATAGACAGTGACACTGATTAGTTTGATTATTCAATCAAGGAAACGCTGGGTCAATATATAGGAGGTGGGGTTGCAACGGTTGACTTGCTGTCAAAAAAGGATGTATCGCTACGCTATAATGTTTACATTCAGGTGGTTCAGTAAAATTAAATCTATACCAAAGAGTTATATTATTTATACGCCCAAATTTTCATGTGGACGTATATTGTCGTCGCCCCTGTCCGTGTTTGTGAACACTCTAGGGGTCACAATTTTTATCCGATTTCAACGAAACTTGAAATATAGGTTTATCACCCCCAGATCTCGGTTCCTTTCGATATTGGCATGTATCGGACTGTAACTTTATGGATTATGGTCCTTGATTGTACGAAAAATCACGTTTTTGAACACTGTAGAGGTCACAATTTTTATCCGATTTGGTTTAATCTTGAAATATATATTTATAACCCACAGATCTCGGTTCCTTTCGATATTCGCGCATATCGGACCATAAATTCCTGAATTATGGCCCCTGATTGTACGAAAAATCGCGTTTTAAGCTTGTGGACCCTATAGAGGTCATAATTTGTGTCCGATTTACAAAACCGTTTTAGTATATCCTCGTTACACCCAACGGATGGCTGAGTTCAATTTCATGAAAATCGGACCAAAACTGACTGACAAAATGGCCGCGCCTCGTAGTCAAATAGCGTAAAAATATGGTATATCAATGTTGTGGACCCTCTAGAGGTCACAACTTTCTCTTGATTTTGATGAAAGTTGTAATGTAAGTTTACAACCCAAAGATCTTGGTTCCTTTCTATATTCGCGCATATCGGATAGTAACTTCCTGAATTATGGCCCCTGATTGTACGAAAAATCGCGTTTTTAGCTTGAGGTCCCTCTAGGACTAGAGGTCACAATTTTTATCTGATTTAAAAAAAAATGTGTGAATATATCACCATTACACACTAAAGGCCCGGTCCCAGTGGCCGATGGACACAAAACGTATGCAAAAGACACAGCGGACGAGCAAACTTTCGGGGGGGGGGGGGCTCCATCCGTTTTCATCCGCTCCAGAAATGGACAAAATTGACGAAAATTTGCGAAAACAGAACGGAAAAGAACGAACGTGGGTAGTATGTAGCGGGGATGTTAAATGGATGTTCATCGGAAGCCTAGCGGATGGAAGTGGATGACAGCTCCGAAGGGGTTACACAAACTCCAGACATCCTTCAATATACCAGATACATATCCCAGATACAAACGCTTTGTCCGTTTTGAAAACTTTATATACGAGATGCATACGCTTACATCCTTTCTATTTCCGTGCTACTAACGATGTATAGACGTTCCATGCACCTTATCTTTCCTCCCTCTTTCCGTTTTCGGCTGGAGCGGATGTGAGTTGCGAGGATGCCCAGAGGATGCAGAGAGGATACAGTGGACGTTTAACGGATGATAACGGACGTGGAACCTTTGGTGCTCGTATATGTCGCGCATTTACATCGTACACGACAGAAAGTTCATCCGTTATAAAAGTTTTGTGCAGCTCAAAACTTTTTGCGCGGATGAAATCAAAGTTCACGGATGCTCGATGGATAGAGCGTATGAAACAAGTATGCAATGAGTACACAACGGATGCATGGCGTTTTCAAACGGAGGGCTTGTTTTTTCCCCCGCTTTACATCCTCTTTGAATCCGTAAGTGCAGTGGGACCGGGCCTTAAGATCTTGGGATCCTTTTGATAATCGCGGATACCCGAACTTAACTTCCTGGATTACGGCCCCTGATTGTTCGAAAAATGGCATTTTTAGCTTACGGATTCTCTAGGGGTCACATTTTTTTTCCAATTTTAAATTCGAAATGAAACTGCAAAACACAATGGCCGCTCTTTGGACGCAAATTGTGTAAAACTATGCAATACGACGGTTGTCGACCCTCTAGAGGTCACAATTTTTATCCGATTCTGATGACACTTAAAATATATCTTTATATCCCAAAGATCTCAGTCCCTTTTGATATTTGCGCATTTCAGACCATAACTTTCCGGTTTATTGCCCCTGATTGTACAAAAAATCCCGTTTGTTTTAGCTTGTTCTCTATCCATCTCTTGCAAAGTGTGGGCGTATCCTGCCTGGCAGGCGCTGGGTTGGGTTTTTTTGTGTGCGTAAAAAATGGTTGGGTGATAAATACAGTCTCCTTCTCGTCTTATCAAAGAAGAAGAGTAGGAGCTTCTATATATTATACACTTCGAAGCTTAATTAAGGTTTGTATCAAACAGTACCAGTGTCTTATCCAAATGATGGATGGTGAGCAATTTAATTATCTGGCATTATCTGAAGTGTTATAGGGCCAATAAGAAATCCGTGTCTGCTTGTTTTTATTATCAAAGTTGATTTTGTGAAATATTTGAATAATGGGTTCCCCTACGTATTCAACTATAATGGTAAATAATAGCTTTTGTATATCTGTAGAGATGTGGTTTTATGATGGGTCAGTCATCCCTGAGAACAAAACGATCAATAAATGAGAAACGAGAGAGTGGTCAAGCATCAGCTTATTTACTGTTGATACCAAAAACACAGAATGACAAACAAACGGGTAATTGTGTTCTGCTAATTATTTTTATCTCAGATTTATGAACCTGTTTTAATTTATTCAATGATACCTTTCAACTTCAAGTCCATTATCTGTGTGGTGTGTTACCATTGTGATGTTTAAGTCGCAAGAGGTGCATTTCAAAATGAAACCACAGTGTTTGGCTGTCGGTGAAAAATGTTCCTGCTATTAGTTAGTTGCTGTTTAGTGTAAATAGCGTGACGTGTTAGCCATGATGTCTTTGCTTTTAGATTTGCCGAAGAGATATCTCCACAAAATACGCATCAAGTTGGTTGTTTGTAGCTGCAAATTAATATATAGGCCTATTTACCTGGTAATTTGGATATCTGCAAATATAATGGTTACCTAATCACTTACGAATCGAAGACAAACTTTCTGGGCTATTTATCACAGATAAACCTCTTTGATTTAGGCTAAATCTATTTTTTGTGATTAGGGCTAGCCCTGTTTACATCCCGTGACCTTTGACCAAACTTGAAGTTGGCCTTATCAATTAGATCTAACCTTTGATTTAGGCAAAAATAAAATGTTGAATTGATCTTATGTGCTAAATCGATTATCGATAGTGCAGTTCACCTGAATTTAACATGTCATGATTATGTGCTCACTTCAAATTAGTAAGAACATTGAAATATTCCTTTTAATTGATTAAACATACTTTATGCAAGAGCTAAATCTGATTATTGCAAGTCTTTATTTAGGCTTCAGATGTCATAGAAATTAAAAATTAGATCTTTATTTACACAACAAGCACAAAATCAACTCTGTAGACCCACGGGTGGCTTGGATTCAGCTTGGATTTAAACGGGATTTCGTTGACTGATTTAATTTTAAATGGCGTCGTGAGCGGAGATTAACCGTTACGTTGGCAAATTGATAAAGTGTACGAAGCGAGGCCGCTGTTGAGCGATGCCTCAACAAATGACATCTCAACTGTTTAAAGTGCAATAAACTAAACACAGATAATGACAAAAAATACAATTCCTGGAGACCGTGAGATGACTAATACAGACGGACAGGTCTTCTGTCTTAATAATATCAATAAAAATATGTTTATTTCCCCAATAAGCACGACGCCACTGGTGTATACCTATAGATTTATCATAATTGTATTATATTATGTCCTATATTCAATTGATTTAATGCATGCCCAAAATACAAGTAAGGATGAAAATTTACCCTCTCACTCATTTTGTCCAATTGTTATAAAAATCCAAAAAGGTAAAACACAAATTCGGATATGATGACGGCAGACAAAAGACAGCAGAGATTATGTAGGTGGAGTTAACGCCTGTCAATCAAACGATCGGCCATACTAAGAATCGGTGAAGATGGAATTCAATCCCATTTCTAGTCAAAAATTACACTGGTGATAACTATGTTCAGAATATAGTAATTTGACTGAAATTTTCAATATATTCTTCTTTCATCATCTATTGTTGAACTGTTATAGCAAAAATGGCTAACTCCTTATAAAAATCTCCCATAATGTATCTTTAGTTGAACATTTTTGTCTTTTTTCTCCAATGTAAAGTAATGGTAATCCTATTTCCATTATAGGTAAGAAGAACTTCTCAGAAAACTCTGGTGGCAAGCATTTGACTGCTATAACTATTTATTTCTTGGTACTAATAGTGTGTGGAGTTTTGATCGTTGTGGCGAAGCTTGTTCGATCATTTCATATTAAACTTTGCGGAACCCTAACAGATGTCGGGACTGAAAAATAAAACGACTTGTTTTTATACACTCATATTATTGCAGATTACCCTTTCAGGCATCGTTTCTCCTGTATGGTTTGTTAATAGTCTATATATCACTATTATCGTGGAATCGTTTTGAAATTTTGATAGTTTTGTTAAGTCTATTGAACTACCTCGGACAGTTTACCACCCACTTCGCAGTAAGAACTCCGGGTTCTCCGGTTTCCAATCACTGCTAAAGACTACTTGGTGTCTGCGATGCTCCTAAAACGGCGAAGGCGAACGCCAAAAAATAGGGATAATGCGACTCGATGATTGCTTTATTTCCCGCTATAAAAATTAGAACTACCGGGATATTCACAACGAAACGAAGAAATGACGTACTGATAATACGAGAAGACATGTTTTTAAATGGCATTTAAAATATACGCCTTTTCGTATTATCAACACATGGCATTTCTTCCTTTCGTTGTGAATTTTCCAGTAGTCGCATCATCCCTATTTTTTGGCGTTCGCCATTCGCGATTTACTGCACATACGCGGATTATTGAAATAAAATGTACGATATGGTAGTCATGGTCGGTATAATAGAGACTTGGTGCACGATATCGTACTTAGATTTACGCTTTTTGGTATTACTCGAATATTAAGAAACTTTTAGAGGATACATGTTTAGTATTTTAGAATGACCGTTGCCTGACAAACCAAGTTTAACACATTGTTTTGATGAAAAAATAAAAATAACTTGTCTATTACAATTTTTTTGCTTTCTATGATTCAATTAAATAAATCATGTGTTCACCAAAATTGTATTAAATTTTTATAGGATATTTTATGCCACAACGGCATGGCATCCTGCTGTTGGACCTAAAACTAGACTTTACCACCCTAGCCCAGATTAATTCCTGAGCAGCGCCCTGTTTCTTGAAAGCACTAAAATCAATCTAATATTATCCAATCAAATTACTGAAATCTGGATTTTAAATTAGTTAAAATTTCGTGAAACAGGCCCCAGAGCTTTATACGGATAGTATCACAATGCTTAACGTGATTTTACGTCGGACAAACAAACACGTGTGGAGGTAATTGGTGCCTTATTTCAAACGTGTTTTTCGGACGATATACGATATAGAAGATATAATTTTAGACGAAGAAGATGTACCTGGCGATTGCTTTTATGACAACCCAGCAGTATACTCAGTTGTACTAATTTTCATCCGCTACTGCGAAATCAAATTTGTCGTGGAGGTCACGTAGATGTACCCGGTATCCATATAATAAATCTGCCATACCAAATGCTTTTCTCTTTTATAAAAATAGTATCCGTAAAATTGAGCCAATACAATAAATCTCCTTATCGGCATACTGAATCTCAAAAAGACAATATTTACCCCCCCCCCCCCCCAAAAAAAAAAAAACCCAACAAAAACGATTAGTTCAATATATATAAAACAATCATTGAATAAGACCTTTACGACCATTAATAGCATCTGTAAAATTGATTCAATACAATAAAAATCCTTGTAGAAATAATGAATCTCTGATAAACATTTTAAAAAAGTTATTAGTTAAATATGAAAAGTAACAACCACACAACCGCGAGGAGGTACCGACGTGTTTCGGCTAAATGCGTCACGTCGCGTCGCCAATTCACGTACAAAAATATCGAAGCCTTTATCAAGCACAATTTACACATGAGCATAGATGCGAAAGCGCTGCGTCTACATACATTCGATGTAAGGTAATCTCACAAGAAACCATGGGCTTTAACTGCTATTAGAGCCGGAGCCCAGGGGGTTAACCTAGCTGAAAAGTGTACCAATTTTCTCCTATATATTGTATCAATGTATGTATATCTGGTATCATCAGAATGTAAGTCTGCCGGGTTTCTGGTGGTGGGTGGGGTATTCCACGCCCAAAATGCCACGCCCCAAACTAACACGACCCCCAACTAGGATAGATTAGTCGGCACTGTTCCTGTGGTCCAAAAAATTAAAAATTGTGCCAGGATGCGTAGAATACTAATACCTAGCACATATGGAAGAGGCGATAAACTGCGTTTGTACGAACAATTTTATTTTTGAAAAACGCATTTTTAGAATCAAAAAAAGTTTTTTGCCCAAAAATCAATTTCTTGCAATCGCAGTTTATCGCCTCTTCCATACGTGCTAGGTATTAGTATCCTAAGCATCCTGGCTAAAAATCTAATTTTTTATAACACGGGAACAGTGCCTGCGAAGCTAGCCTAGTTGGGGGCGTGGCATTTTGGGGCGTGTCTGTTAGGGGTAACCCACCGCACAAACTGTCTGGCAGTGGTCATTCATGACTCCTGTGGTGGTACTGAACAACTCCAAAGCTGTTTTAGGTGGTACAGATTTCAGCTAATCTAGCCTAGCTTTGGTCTAGATATTAGATAACTCTTGTCAGGGATACTCCACCACTACAAATGTCTGGCAATTACATAGCTCTGTCAGGGGTACCCCACCACTAGAAATGTCTGTCAGAGTGTTTTTGTAATACCTGAAGATGTACGGTAGACTGCAGTAAGATTTTCGTGTGGAACACTTTTCAGCTAATCTAGCCTAGTTGGGGATCATGGCATTTAGGGCGTGGAATACCCCACCCACCACCAGAAACCCGGCAGACTTACATTCTGATGATACCAGATATACATACATTGATACCATATAGGAGAAAATTGGTACACCTTTCAGCTAGGTTGACCCCCTGGGCTCCCGGTCTATATGTTCGTGTATAACGGTTTTTATGATCAAAATAAGAGTGAGGTAATTATATAGGGTATGAATACCACTACACCATTGAATGGGGATAAATGATCGGATAAATATATTAGCATGATAAATAAACGAAGACAAACATCGCCTATCGCATAGATTATTGAGTCATAATGACGCCAGCGAGAGTTCCAAAGCCATGTATCACAGCTAAACGGATGCATTTTCAATATTATAGACCTATAGCCCTATTAAATTTAGTATGGTTAATTACGAATAGAACTGTGAAATGAAATGAAATGAAATGGGGTTTAACGTCCTACTGTTCTGCTCCTATACTGGTCTAATGAAGACGGGCATACGCCATACAGTGTGCTATGAGGGAAATTTTGCCCGGGCAGCGGCACTATCGCCTACTCTTATATCGAATTCCAAATGCCAGGGGATCTTTTACGTGCATTCCAATATATACACGGGACCTCGGTTTTTCGACTCATCCGAAGGACTATAATAGAACTGTGAGTGTAACCTCTATTGATAGCTGACATACCAAACTACGTCACCACGTCATGGAGTAATATCCCGTCATGTCACGTCATGTCATGTCACATCAAGTATCTAAACGGTCATTTTTAACTCTTAATAGAATCGGAAGTTATACTTCAAGTTAACATATATATCTTTGAAAATCTATCTGAAAATGAAAGATAATATCCGGGGCCGATACGGTCATATGTCATTTCATACAGTGGAGATATATTCATGTTCGAGAAAATTGGAAGGCCTAGGAAAATATCAGGAAGTTTTCGAAAGACGTCACAAAATTTCCAATATGCCATTTTGAAGGCATTGATGTTTTCATTATACCTACCAAGTTTCAATTTAAAAGTAATAAATAGTTCCGACCAGCAGGGGCGTACATAAAGATTTTGGTTTTGTTTTGTTTTTCTTGTTTTTTTTGTTTTGTTTTTTTGTTTGTTTTTTTTTGGGGGGGGGGGGTTAGCAAAATGCGACCGACTGATGCACATGTCCCTAATACGAGTGATGCAGTCAGGGCCCTAGCACCACAGGTGATAGTTTTCTAGGGGCCATTAGCTGATCCAGAAGATGGGCATAGGGGGTGGGGTGGGAGGCCGTCCAAAATCATGCCCCACAATGGATGTCAACAAAATACTGGCTGTAAAACTGAGCGTCCCGGTAGAACATAGATCGTATTGCCTATATATAGTTGCTCGCAGATCGTTATCTCCCCGGAAAGCAGACAGAGGAGTTGAAGAATGATGACATAACAAAATTGAGCGCCGTAGTAGGCGCGAAAAAAAATTAGATTACGTAACTGAGCTTTTAATTTTTGGGGACTTTGTCTAACGGGGGCGCTTATTGGACTTTGGGGTCTGGGGAAAGGTTTTGCAGAATTCTGAAGGTCAGAAAATACTTACAACATGAGTAAAATACGTTTTAATTTCTACTGGGATTAAATATGCAACAAGTAAAAATTCTTAAGTACAATAGATCGCCTTAACATTTCATAATTTAAAGAATTTTTACGTATTTCTGAAACAAACTATGTTTCCGATAGCTTCTTACCAACTGTTGGACTAATGTTAGTCGTATGACAATCAATAATATAATTTGAATTATGAAAATCTTCGTAACAAGCTCTCTCAATTTCTGACAAGTTGACTGGGTTATTCCATACTAGCCGTTGCAATTTAGGAGCACGGATGCACACAAAATTTATATTTACGGAGCCCCTTCAGTGCACGATTCCACTCTTATATATTTTTTTCGTGCATGATTCCACTTTTATATAATTATTTCGTTTAAACGAAATACTAATTCGTTATAACGAAATACTAATTCGTTATAACGAAATACTAATTCGTTATAACGAAATACTAATTCGTTATAACGAAATACTAATTCGTTATAACGAAACACTAATTCGTTATAACGAAATACTAATTCGTTATAACGAAATAATAAATTCGTTATAACGAAATAATTAATTCGTTTAAACGAAATAATTAATTCGTATAAACGAAATAATTAATTCGTTATAATTATATAAGAGTGGAATCATGCACGACAAAATTAATCAATTCGTTATAACGAAATAATTAATTCGTTTAAACGAAATAATTAAACGAAATAATTATATAAGAGTGGAATCATGCCCGAAAAAACTATATAAGAGTGGAATCGTGCACTACTTAAGGGGCTCCGTAAGATCGACTAATTTTCTCCATGGGGGGGGGGGGGGGCATAGACCAACCAACTCACAACAGAATAAGGCTAAAATAAAAAACATTTTTCCAAACATAAGTTGACAAGGTTATTTTAGGTGCACGGATTCACGCAAATGCATAATATTTGGAATTTGTCCTTCTATCTTGGCATTGTTTGTTTACATCATTAATTCAGTGAGCACTTATTTTGAGATCGACTGCACTTATTTTGCGAACGACTGCATTTATTTTGCGACAGACTAAGTTCTTCGCTGGGGGTGGGGTGGGGGTTTGCAGCCTCCCCCCCCCCCTTAGTTACTGGCTTGACTGTAACTTACACAGCCTGTAAAGGACGGGAAATCAAAGATCCAAATCCCATAAATGTGGTCTTAGTAAATCCTTTTAAATTTGGTTTGAGAAAACTTTATTATGTATGTTATCATTTGTTTGATAGATCGGTATAATGAAGGCATTAGAAATAGAAACTTTATCGCTATCCACATGAACAGATTATCCTGGTCTCCTTTAAAGGCTGTTTCATTCCTACAATATGGGGTTTCTAAATTTATATCTTTGAACCATTTCATGAAAAAGTTTATCATTATAAAGTGATATTTTTGTTAGAGTAGTAATAGAATACAGATCAACAGTATATAAATATTATTGTAACATGCTTAAGGGTGAATCTCGCGTTTTGATTGGTCAATAATTATTAGACACTGTCGATTGGACAATAACACCCCTATGTTTTAGTAATTTCTTTGAAAATGCTAAAATAGCATGTTACAATGTCGATAAACACTTCCTGTTTCGTATGTCTTGGGTCCTAATGATCTCAGGACATGTCTATTGGACAATAACACCCCTCTTAATGCGAAACAGGAAGTGTTTATCTCCTAAATATTCGCCTAAATGTATAAAGAGAGATCAAATAAAATTCTCCAAATCCTTCACTTGTCTTCAAAAGAAAAAAAAAGAGAACATATTATGGTGTTTAGCGTATTTGCCAACCATATCACGTTCGACGTTGTTGTTAATTTCAGCATCGATTCCCCGGTTGTACAAGGAGCAGGGTTGCCTGTCCAACCTCGTGGGTTTTCTCCAGGTCCTCAGGTTTCCTCCCACTGCTAAAGTCCCCTAAGCGCAAGCGACTTATTTAAATAAAATTGTACCATAGGTTGGTCTCGAAGTGAATATATGGTGAATATAGGGATAAACAAAATAGATGTAAATATTGCCTAACATCTAAACTATATAATCATGTTATTATTTGATATAGCAGTTTCGGATCAATAATTCTAAGTATTAAATCAATAGCTTACGACAATTTTTGTTAACTTGGAATATAAAATGCATTTTATTAATGGCTAAGCAGTGTAACATAATGCAAGTGAATGGTTCTGAATAATAGATTTCTAGTCCATTGTGGCAAATAAATACTTGTTGGGCAATTCATGAAAAACTTTTAAGGAGACATTACTGTGTGTTTTATTATTATTTGTATTTGGGAGTTCTTTTCTGTGTGTGTGGGGTGTGTGTGTGTGTGTGTGTGAGAGAGAGAGAGGGAGAGAGGGAGAGAGAGAGAGAGGGGGTGTTTAACGCCCACTTGACACAAACTAACATATACATGTAGTTCAATTTTATTTCAATAACTCGCTTTCGCGTAGTACCCGGAGATAACCCACGAGGTTGGACAGGCGACCCTACTCCTTGTCACTTACAACGGGGGAATTGAAACCACGCCAGTTGACTCAATGACAGACCTACAACGAGTACGCGCTAACCATTCTGCCCCCCCCCCCCCACAATGCTAAACGTAGAATTAGTATCTTTTGTGTAAATTGTCCCTTCAATGACACAAATTAGAAATGCAAATATCGTGTTACTTTATTCGCTACATTCAAAATAAAGACGGCAATATAGGATCTGTACACCATTTGAATGAATTTTCGTTGGTGAATGTTTTTGTTTTGTGTTCTAAATTTGTTAAACGTCATGTTATTTTTGTAGCCTAAAATGGTGATGGAATATGTCAGGGGTCTCTTCTTTTTTAAATACATATATTTGTCTTGTTGTTGTTTAGTGGAAAGTCTGAAGACATTATTTTAGGAGTATATGAATAGTGCGGAGATGAACCGGTTCAAAGATGGAGGTCGTCAGAAGGAGAACCAACTTGACTTCAACGCTAAACAAGAAGCGCGGTATGAAGCCATGAGACAATCTAGATACAGTTCTATTGTGTATAAACAACACGAAGAACTACAGCGACGTTTCGAAAGGCAGGCCAGATTGATAGAAAAAACAAAAAAAGCCTTGGCTTCTGATATTCGAAAAATTCGAATAAAACGTCGAGAATATTTAGATAAATACACAGAGGTGAAACGAGATTTAGATTATTTTCGACAGACATCGTCGATAGCCGAAAGTCGAATTTCAACTTTACGTAAACGACATTTTGATTTTCAGCAATCGCAAAGAGTGGCACAATTTCTAGATCAGTACGATGACGGAGCGGGCATATATCTCTACGGTGATTTCTATCCAAGTGGTCGTATAAATTTTCTTCCTAATGTTAACGGACAAAGTCCAGTTTTGCGTGGATCGCATTCGGGTTCCAGTAGATATTCCGCAAATGAACATTATTTAACGGATGGAGAAAAATCGAAAACTCAACGATCAGTGCTCTCTCCTTCCACTAGCACTAGCGGAGATCGAAGTTTTAAAACATCTGAATTGCTTGAAATAGAATTAAAGCGGAATGTGGAACGTTATCGCATCGGAAATCTTGGAAGACGAAAAGATATCGTACATCTCTTCAGTGTTCAAAACGTCACTGGGAGGTCCGTTTATGTGAAACATTTTCCCGGTAAAAAGTTGTTCAAATAAATACTGAGACCTTGTTTTATTTTGAGTTTATATTTATTTGATATTTTTTTTCCAAATTCTTTTTATCAATTTTCTAAGCATGTACACTTATAGTTTGACAGGGTCTAACTGATATACGATAGTCATGACAAAAACAGGAAAATTTCAATCATGGTAGGACTTGCTGTGACCATTCCAGTGAGGTAAATTCTTACATATGATTTCAGGATGTCTGATAAATTGTTTCAATCGCATTGAACTGGAATATACATGTCACAATTCTATGGAATACAATTACTGCTTATTACTGAGCGACGTTTCGACTAGGCTTCTCTAGTCATTATCAAGCAATGATAAAATATGAAAATATAACAAGACAATATTATACACAACAATACTTGGTTAATGCTGACCAATCAGAGACACCCTTCTAATTACCTTAAAGGAACCTAACTAAATTAAGGTAATGTCATTATAAAAGTTTAATACTAATAACAACATCCTATATGACATAGACCACTTTATCACCCAGTAACATTTTCTACTTGAAATACAATCTATGCTAAAGAATTATATTATTTATTTGTGCCATTAATAAAGGGTTGGGTGATAAATAAAACCTCTTACTACTCGTCTTTTTTGATATAAAAAAAATATCAACAGTCGTCGATAAAGTAAAAAAAAACAAAACTTGTGTTGATAGTTTTTGATATCAAAAAAGACTTGTAGGAGATTCTCTATTTACCTGAAATTGATTAATAATATTTATACTGAATGCTGTGGGGATTTAGAACGGCGGAATGTGAACTACATGTATTAAGTGCATTAAATTTCAATAGGCCTAACCATTCTACAAACTAAACGTCATCGGGCCGGTTGCTCAAAACTAAGTTATTTTAACGATTCGTTAAACTCTAAGATCGTTATCTTGCAAACGTGTCGTTTGTTAACGATCCGTTAAATTTCTGTTGCTGGAAAGTCAATTTCATTATTAGTTAGCTAACGGACTGATAAAAGTTACTCCAAGAAAAGACTGTTTGTTCATTGCCCGAATTTTAAATTCATAAATTCCATGTACCGGGTACCGTACTATGTATAACAACTTCATAGAAGTTAGCAGTCTGTTCACAAAACTTTATTAAAGACAAAAATATCACTGTAGAATTTACTACAGAAAACACTATAAAAAAAACCTATTCTCTCGGCCGCTACAATTTAGTCAACATTTTCGCACAATCTGTTGTGCTCCTTCCTTTTCGTGGCTACATCGTAACACCATACTTATCAAATTGCAAAAAAGGTGTGTCTTAAGGGGTCAGGGTCGTATAAGCCAAAACAAGCACATCATCTGATATTTTGTTTTTAGTAAGTTTTGTCTTCAGCGTTGTGCACTTGGATGTTTTGAATTGATATTTCGTGATGTGGTCAAAAACTTCTTATGCACATATAAAACGAATGAATCTGCTCCGACTGGGCTAGTGTAGTTCAGCTTTGAACGTAGGTCTGCGTAATGAGACGTACGTTCAGAGCTAATGTCATGAAGACGGGCATATACGGTACCCTATATATATACAAAACAGCTTTTATATTTGTCTTACCTGATATTGATGTATGCGTATGTTTTGTATAATGTTCTTAATGGACGTAATATGCAAATAAAAAAGTTGAAGTTGAAAGTTATAATATAGAACCAATGGGGGTGGGTTTGGGGGCGAACTACCTGTACAGCTCCGATGCTCACACAGCATGTATTTGTTTCTCCTATATTTTGTTGAAAAAAATGTGGGGCAGGAGGCCAGATAGCTATGCCTTGTGGACCACTGTTGGGGGATAATTCTCTCCTCCCTCTGGTACGAGAAAATTCTTGAAAACTGACTGTAAAAGGTGCATTTTAGTTTTAGAAACTGCTTTGCTTTCCAATTCATCAAAAACAATGTAAATTCAAGACTTTCAAACTATGCAAGAGCATTAACTTGTTTAGGGGCCCTCGAACCTACCATATACTAGCAGGCTCCTCCTCATAGTAGCCTACATCCCTGATTTGTGGGCAGATTGTACACAAACTGATCTGCAATTATTATCCGCATACAACCCTGTAACAATTTGTGCTGTACATAGGCCTACAGTTGACTGCAGGCATGCATGCAGTGATACAGGCATGATACCAAAGTCGATCACATTATGTCTTTAATTTTTTCAATTTAAATGTGTTCAACCCAGCGGTCAGTCAATTATGGTATAATACTGAAACGATATAAATCATTATTTAAATACATCTGTATTTTTATTACAGAGGTGGTGTAACTTTATTTTGTTATAATCAACATGAATTACTGTCGATATTTAAATTTAACAAGTCTATCTCGTCAACCATCACCAATCAGAGTGTTAAGTAAGTAGTTGTGCATGACCAAACCCTACAGAAGCATTTGGCTACACTATAAATTTGAAATTAGGGTTCTACAACCATTTCATTGGTTATACTTGTTTAATACATTTTTTCATATCAAAGCGAGTCTCAACCTGAAACACAGGCACTTGAAGAGATTAAAAAAAAAAATTCTTACTACTGTTTGACTATACATTACGTTAATAGCCTACTGTTATATAGTCAAACAGTAGTAAGAAATTTTATTTTAATCCCTTCAAGTGCCTGTGACCTGAATGTGAACACTGTCAAGTGCCTTTGGCAGTGAAGCACACTTTGATTGAGTCAAGTATCTTGGAAATATTAGATCAAAATATTACCATTGTCAGACATTACACCATTTATTTGCTCAACCAGAGCTGTATTGTAAGATCCTAAATTTATTAAAAGAGACAAAATTTTATTATAAGTTTTAATTGTATACATGTAACCCGTTTTCTTTCATTTTAATTGTTTATATTCATAAAGTATTTGATATTCATTTTTAATTTTATATATTATCTGTGATATTTGTTTTTATTTATGGATATAAATATATCTCTTTTATTTTGTCTCGAATAATTTCACCATATTTTTGGTGCAATATAGCCCGGTTGGAGCTGATGCGCCATAAAAACACATCTCATTTTCATTTTCATTTTAAACTACCATTTCATTTCAAGATATGTTCTAGTTTTAAATTAATATAGCAGTGGTATAAAATCTAGAAATTTCCTAAAATCAAACCAACAAAAATTCATTTTCCTTAATTGAGAAGTTTAACCGTTTTTGTTATTATTTCAGCTGGTATTATGCAACAGGCTCCACCAACAATGATCAGTATGGCAGGAGGTCGACCAAATCCCAATCTCTTCCCTATAAAAGGTGTTTCAATATCGCTCAGGTACGCCATGATTCAACATATTTTGCTCAGAACCACTCTGATGCTGAAGTACAGTGAGAATTATGTTGTAAGAATATTGGGATTCCTTATTGACAACATATTCGTTAAAAGTTTCTATTAACTTACTACTACTAAAGGAACTAATTTCTGTATTCTTACCATTAGTCAGAATCAATCTATTTTTAATGTGAAGACAATTTCAAAGCTGGAAAGGCCTGATACTTTAAATTATTATATTTATAGCTGTTATATTTGATATTTTTTTAAGGGATGGTACAACAGTAGATATTGAACCCAGTCTTGTACAGAAAGGCTTACAGTATTCTGCTACACCAGGGTAAAATTTTCATATTTTTTCTATCATCATCTATATATAGAAATATGTAAAAAGAGAGCTTTCTTTCTACTGTCAGTGCCTTAGCAAAATTCTACTGTTTAAACTTAATGAGTTTTTAAGAAATTCCCATCCCAAAACTTTAGTAGGAATTTTTCGTGCTCTTTCAAATTCTGTTTCATCAATCAATCTGATTAAAACATAGATCTTATTTTTCATTGTTTACAGTTGAAATTTCATTTTATTTGTCTTCACAACTGAGGGATCTGGAAGCTTTTTTAAATAAACTGTGTTCTGTATGATGTAGGGACGAATTCATTAGCAAGTGAAATTATCTGTTAGGCATGTTGTGGACTGAATTATGGAGTTATATACAGATAGATAGGTTTCATCATTCAGCCAAAATTCATATATGACCCCTGACATTACCTTCCACATAATTCCCTCAAATGAAACAAAATCAGATTTGTATTTTAATCAGATTAAGTTCTAATTAGATGATGATATGATTTAGGATATGAGGTAACTCAATGATATTGACGTAATAACAATTAGATGATGATATGATTTAGGATATGAGGTAACTCAATGATATTGACGTAATAACAATGTCATATAGTGGTACTGTCATTAGGTTATTTTTTCACATAGACTTAATGAAATGTTAGACTGGGTAAAAATTCTACAAAAAGATGTCCACAATCCTCCAACATTGAATAGTAGCGATGTTGATAAACAGCTAGATATGTTGATAATTCCAGGTAGTCAAGATGGATTATCTAAGGTAAAAATAGTTGTTATGATATAGATGTGTTAATCATAATTATTATCATGGCATATATTTAAAGTTCACTCCTTTCACCAAAGTGCTCAGAGGCATGTTACAATTTACAACGTAACATGAATTTACAACATAAAGTGAAACGGGGGGGTGGGGGATGGCCGAATAGTTAGTGTGTGCGCGCTGTATCATAAGGTCTGTCATTGAGTTAACTGGCATGGTTTCGATTCCACGATTGTACTTGACAAGGGGTAGGGTCGCCTGTCCAACCTCATGGGTTTTCTCCGGGTCCTCCAATTTCCTCCCACTGCTAAAGACCCCTAGGCGCAAGCAAATTATTGAAATAAAATTGAACCATATGTTAGTCCCGAAATGACCTTGTTTGTGTTGAACTCTCTCTCTCTCTCTCTCTCTCTCATAACATGAATCATTGGTATAAATCATACATACTTCTATGATGTAAGTCATTAATATACCTACAGTTTTTAGCTGTTTTTATACATTGTTGACATTGGTGAGACGAAGAAGCCTATGGAATTTTATTTCAACAATTTCCATTAATTACTTCTAAGTTATAGCCGTTGTTTCTATCAACAAAAGTTATTTTCTGTAAGCAAGTTATATACATTATTTCATTCAGCGAAAACAAGAATTGGATTTCAATTACTTTTATAGAGTAAAGGCCCTTGCTCACTTGCTTATAATTATTGAGCTGAATAAAAATTGTGACAATTTCTGGTAATTACCTATAGAGGTATTGCCCCTGATTATATCCTATAATCTTGTGAACTGGCCAATGATATTATACTGTATAAAGAATATTGTGTTTTCTAATTAGATAAAGATTTACAATGCCACAGCATTTATGAATTTCTCGGATGACTTAAAATATTATTTGACAATATTATGTTAAAAGATTAGGAGTTTAAGGTTTAAAAAGAACTTTTATCAGTTCTAAACTAAAAGTTTAGATAAAGCTAGATTTTTTTGACATTTAAAGCTAGATTTTTTTAAATTTAAAAGTAAGTGGTAGAATTTTCAAATCAGTTCTGTATACACAAGACAGTCCGTATAAATTTAATAAAACAGGCCAGGGTATGTATGTTTATATAATCAGATCAAGGAAAATAGTTGTGATTTTGATAGTTTTCTTAAATATTTTTTAGGCATTTGAAGCATTTATAACAGAAAAAGACAATATTTTAATAGAAACACCGACATATTCTGGTACCTTAGCTATCGTAAGTATTTAAATTAAAATGCTGCAGTATCAACCAACCACAATCCAAACCAGAAATAACAACTGCATTTCTGGTTTTGTTGAACATTGAATAGTGAAATGTCTGATTCTCAGTCTGTCATTCACATCTTTTTTTAGAATCTAATCTTTTTGAAATTACATTGTAGGTAAAGTTATGCCCCCTTTTCATGAAATCTTGGGAATACTCGGTTTAAGGTTCCGTGAATTCTCTCAATCCCAAAATTGTGTCGCTCTATTGCAGTTTTGTTGCTTCCTGACTGACAAACAAGCATACCCCTTAATACCACTATATAGACTGCAATTATTAAATTTTGGTTATCTATCCTATATTGAAAGGAAGACCCTATTAATTTTCAGTGATTTGCTGTAATAACAGCCAGAGTTCTACCCCACTGGATTTTCCTGCATCATTTTAATTTATATTGGTTGTCTATCCCATTGTAAGGAATAACCTCATTGATTTTCAAAAATTTTTGATTACAACTTCCAGAGTTTATCCCCTTTGTTCAAGTTTAGATGTCTGTCATACATTATTCTTTTCCATTTGATGATTATGTTAATATGATAACAGCTATATCTACAGATGTATGATTATGCCTGTAAGTATCAAGCTAAATGTACATATTTGTTAAATCCTTTCTTTTATTTTTTTTTCTGATCTGTATTAAGGTTATGGATGATTGCATGTTTCGTTGACCTTTTAAATATTTTTCTCTTCCAGGGTGAATTTTTCCATTGATATTTAATTGTTAGGCACATAGTTATTTTTTCTGATCATTACTATGTTAAGACTGTGAAATTATGTCAGTATTTGTGTGTCTATAAACATTCTGTGTTTAATTAAATGTTTATGAGATGGAGACTTTCATCAAGACACTTCTGATTATATTATAAAGGAATTGTAAAACTATGTCACAAAATTTGCTCAAACTTAAACAGATGGTGGGCATATAAAAATGAAATGACATCTGTTTTCATATAACTAAGAATTTTACAAACTCAGTATTTGCACAATCTAGAAAATTTCAATGTTGTTATATGTATACACAAGCTGTCCAGTTTTTAACAATTATTTCTCTTTATATACTAGGTGAAGCCCATGCGATCCAATTTACTCAGTGTTCAAACAGACAAACATGGTATTATACCCAGTCACTTACGAAAAATTCTTTCTAAATGGTCACCAGAAGATACAAAAGATCCAAAAAGCGATATACCTAAGATTTTATACTGTATACCTAATGGGGGTAATCCCACAGGCCATGGATTAACTCTGGAACGGAGGCAGGAGATCTATCAAATAGCTCATGAGTATGATTTATTAATTATGGAAGATGATCCTTATTTCTACTTGCAAAATAGACAGGTAACAATATAGACTAGCCAACATTCTACCTCAATTAGAAACAGGGTGATTGTGGCCCAAAGTCTACCAATGAAATTACTTATCTCAGCTTAGCCTTAACAATTAGAAGCCCTAATATTGTGATTGACAGATGGACAAACTCATTTTAAGTCCCCAGCTTTCTTCTACATGCATTAACCCCATTTTCTGAATTCTTAAGTTTAGTTATTTTTAATGATCTTACTTGTATTTCTTAATGTTTTTTTTATTTCAATGTTTTAGCCGTATATACCTAGTTTTTTGTCGATGGATGTTGATGGTAGAGTGCTGAGATTTGATTCTTTCTCTAAACTTTTATCTTCAGGGTAAATATTGTATGGTTTTGTATCTCGTAACAAATGACAAAGTAAAATTATTGGGGGAATGTGAGAACACTAATTCCGGGCTTCCAGGAACATATTAGCGTTATGATATTCCAGCAAGTTTTGTATTCCCTTTATGTTGTTAGTATTTTTAAATTTTTAAAATTGTATCATGTCAAAAATATAAAACTGCCATTAATGTACTGAGGTATCAAATAATTGTTAGGTGATCAATAATTCATTACATGTAATTAGAATATGTTATTGCAGTTATATTGATAAACATACTGACACCCTAAAATCTAAAAAAAAAAAAAACAACAGGAAATTGCTTTCCAAGAATTGTTCCCCATAACCTGCTTAGGTGAGCTTTTCCTCTGCTTCATATTTAAAAAGAGTTCCTTTAGAAGAGGCCACCACCTTTTTGTGATCTTTTGTTACACCATTGCTTTATTTATATACAAATAGGTCGATTTTGACATAAATAAACTGTTCAAATTGCACATGAACAGTGAAGTAGTATATTTTACTGAATTGTTTATCAGCTAGACAAATTGATATTGGTATGTTTGGTATCTTAATAGTTGTTAAAATAGAAGTGGTATAATGTTTTTTTATGTTGCTCACTTAAAAGTTTGCAATTAGCTACAGGTTGTTGATTTCCCAGTGTAATATTCTAGATTTGCTACAATTAGCCTCAAAATTTAACTCCACACCCAGAAATGAATGAATAAATGAAATGGGGTTTAACAATTCCATATTATTCTGTTCATCGTTTAGTATTTAGGCAACAGATGAGAAGCCTGGCCAAAGAATACATAATTAAAGTCGTATATATCAACATACACACTCATATTGTATTTATATAGAAGATTCTAAATGCGACCGACATAAGTAATAACATGTAAGGTATTTATTTCAGTATGAGGGTTGGTATAGTGACTGGACCTAAAGCTATAATTAATAGAATAGCTCTTCATATGCAAGCTTCTGTTGTACAGACTAGTGGCATGTCACAGGTAGGCCAAAATATCAATCTGTTTCACAGAGATCTTCTAATATCTCTGTAACAGATGACTGTTTCGACACATGACATCACATCACGGGCATCAATCACTGGCTCAATAGCGCGTGCATTGTTTACATAAGATGTTACTGATTCGCCCTAAATGGTGAATTTTACTTATTTTAATACCCATTTACACTAAATAGGAAATGATTTTTACCTACAAATAATTCAAACGTCTTTATTTGTTTTTCTAATATATGAAAAAAATGTTTTAGAATTTAATTTGACGGAAGAAAAAAGTTAATATTTGGGACTCATTAAGTCACATCGATGTCATCCTTATCAGTGATTGTAGCGGCCTAGCGAGAATTCACTGCTGATCAGTGTGCCAAAATATCTCTAGGTTTTATTTGATCTAATTCATATTAAAACTTTATGGAAATTGTTACAGAGAGAGAGAGAGAAATGGGGTTTGACGTCCACTCAACTCAAACTAGGTCATTTCAGGACTAACATATGGTTTAATTTTATTTCAATAATTCGCTTGCGCCTAGGGGTCTTTAGCAGTGGGAGGAAACCAGAGGACCCGGAGAAAACCCACGAGGTTGGACAGGCGACCCTACTCCTTGTCACGTACAACCAAGGACTCGAAACCACGCCAGTTGAATGACAGACCTAATTATACAGCGCGCACATGCTAACCATTCGGCCATCCAACCCCCAATTGTTTAAGTGTGACAGCATTTTTTGTCTGAAACATCCATATGCAGCCAGATAGATACTTCTAAAATAATACAATTATTATTTTTTTGTAGGTTCTGCTGTATACTATACTAGAGAGAATGGGTTTAAATGGTTTTAAAGAACATGTTAAAAATGTGGCTAGTTTTTATCAACAACAACGAGATCATTGTTTAACATCTGCTGAAAAACATCTTAAAGGTAATTATAGTAAAAATCAAATTTAGGAAGAAGGCTTTTCATGTTCCCCAATCGTTATTCAAAATGTCGGTGGTGAAATGGCAATCGCAAACCCTAGTTCAAATAGTAGTGTTAGTAGCTACATGTAGGTGAGCTTCATGTTATCTTCCAGACCTATTTCTTTGGTCAGAAATATTGAATAGGTACATATATATGTTTGTTTAATTACAGGATTAGCTGAATGGTATGTACCGGAATGCGGTATGTTTTTATGGATGAAGTTAATAGGAATTCCGGATAGTTATAAACTTATTACAGAAAAAGCTAGGGAAAAAGAAGTCTTGTTTGTTCCTGGAAATGCCTTTATGTTAAATAGCGAAGAACCTTGTCCATATGTTCGAGCTTCATATTCTGAAAGTTCACCAGAAGAAATGGACATGGTATGTAACAATTTTACTTTACATTTTGGTACTTGCAAAGGTTGTGTCCATCTCCATGTACATGAAATTTTCCTTAACAGTTAAAATTTTGACGAAGAATTGGTAGAAACTTAGTTTCGAGAACTTGCTTAATATGAGGTTTATGCCTTTTACTTTAGCCAGTAAGTTGTATAGTTTAAATCTTGAAAATAGAGTTAAACAACTGAAATTGAAGCATGTTCACAAAATGTTTCGTAATGGGTCTCTGGTATACTTGAAAGCCAATTTTCACTTAGTCAGGGATGCTCATCTACATAGTACTAGATCAAGCATTTATAATTATGTTGTACCAAAATGTAAAAATGTTATCTGATATTCAACTTTCTACTATTCAAGTATTCAGGCCTGGAATGAACTTCGAAACCAACTTAAATTAAGAGAACATTGTAACTTTTAGAAAAATGTTCATAAACACTTGTTAGGGAAACAAATACAAACTTCTTATTTTGTTTATGTATGTATTTTACTGATACTCCAATGCCTTTCATACCTTTTTGTACTTCACATCCCTTATGGTGCACACACACTTCACTACTTATTGTCATATTTCACCCTTCATCTTTCTTAAATGAATCTGCCCCTCTATGATAATATGACCTGTTCCTCCTCCTCCAAGGACCCCATTGGAAATATAGCTAGTTTTATTTTAAGCGGGTTTTTATGGGTTTATCCACAAGATTACTCTTTCTCTCATCAAAACTTTCTCATCATTTTATCATGTAACTTTATATTATCATCTCTATTGTCATGATATTGTCCAATATTGATATTCCTATTCGAAAAATAAATAAATTAATGAATAATAAATAAATATATGTATATATGAGAATTTGAAATAATTGATCTCAGCTGTTTTAATCTATTATTGCAGGCTTTTGAAAGACTGGCATCTGTGTTAAGAGAAGCTAAATGAAAATATCTAATAATCTTATAATGGAACCATAAGGTGACAGAATACAATGTTAACTGATAAATGTTGAATTTCATCTGTATAATTAACAGACAATGACTTCTGATATCATCTGCCCTATGTATTTGAACTGAATTGTATCTATAGTTATAAAGAAATGATAATTTGAGATACATGTACAATTAAATAAATCATCCAGATTTATTAGGATCAAATATGTGAAATCAAAGGGTGATCTGATGCAAGTTGATTTGTTATTTGAAGAAACAAAAATGTTATGTGTGGTTTGGTACTGTTATTTAAAATCATGCAGGTATTATATCATAAGAATAAAGTATTTAATTTATCTATTTTTGTAATTTGATCAATCAAATGGCAATCACTATTGTTGAAATTTTCATTTTTTGTTTTCAATCACAGGAAGCTACATTTTTTTTTTAAATATAGTGCTATTTTGTTATATACATACATCCACATCATAAATCCAAGTAGCAAAAATCTTCTTCATGAACATGAGATTTCTGATCATGATCATGAATTGTCATGAAGATTTTTTTCCTAGGCTGCCTAGGCACACAATTACAATATACTAGTCATATTTAATTTTATGTTTGGATGTATGATTGAGCTTAATGTATTTACTAGTGTTTTGAAAGATTTTGATTTTTAGACATAGTTGATTTCTGAAATAATTATTTTTTAAATAAATTAGTCTAAATTTTAGAAATATTTTGAAAGTCTTTTATGATTTCCAAAATAAATTATTAAATTTTTTTTAAAATGAGCTTGTTATTTTTTTCATTAAAAAAGTGTCTGTTTTAAGACTATGACTTCACCAGGATGTACAGGAATAATTATAGCTGTTATCAGCCTTTATATTTGAAACTAGGAATAAATGTAAACATAAGTGTAACAGTATTATGAATTGTTTTTGTGAAGGACTAAGCAACAAAAAATTACAAATCAAATGGGATTTAACATCCTACTGTTCTGCTTGGACTGAGCCAGTGAAGACGGGCATATGCCATACAGTATGCTATAAATAAGGGAAATTATGCCCATCGAGGTCCTACTCCTGAGGGTTCTTTTACATGCATGCCTATGTGTACACAGGACCTCGGTTTTCTATCCCATCCAAAAGACTATACATTGTTCAATACCATGGGGGGTTGGATGGCTGAATGGTTAGCACTGGCGTGGTTTCGATTCCCCGGTTGTATGTGACAAGGACGTGAAGGAGTAGGGTTGCCTGTCCAATTTTGTGGGTTTTCTCCGGGTCGTCCAGTTTCCTCTCACTGCTAAAGACCCCTACACGCAAGCGAATTATTGAAATAAAATTAAATCATATGTTAGTCCCGAAATGACCTAGTTTGTGTCGACTAGACGTTAAACCCCATTTCTCTCTCTCTCTTTCCAATACCAGGCCCCTTCTGATGAACTTTCTGGGCCAACACCAGACATCAAGGTTAGCGAGCCAACTGAGCCATCGGTAAGAAATTACATGTAATAGCTGATCCAAGTAAATCTGACAATCAAAGCAGTCCAGTCAAAATTTGAATGAAATGGTCTGGAATGTTTGACACAATATCTAGGTATTTAGTACATATTTTATAAATTTGTCACCTCAAAATATACTTTTACATGTATTGACATTTAATCCATTACTTGGGGTCTTGGCCCCAAATAATCGAATTACTATGGATGGATGTAAATTGTAATGTAACCTGAATATCTAGTAACTTGGATTAATTCAAAAATTGTTTTAAATTAATTTTAAATCAGGATGAATTAGCATACCGGTAATTAAATCTTTGTGACAGCAGGGCATAGATCATTTACTTCCATCAACTTAGTACTCATCCGTCTAAAACAGTAAGTTTCTTCGGAGAATTGGAGGCATGTCAAGTTAATGGTTGTCTGCTTCCAGCAAGACATCATAAAATGGAGTTGCTCCCCTTACTCTATTGTCACCATTGATTGTCCAGAAATTTATTCTTCGTTGAAGACGAGGAGGTTTTGGGTGACCGAGACTAATACCCCATAAACTACGATAAAGGCTAAATCTATTTGTTAAGGTCAGCTTAATTTTCGTCAAGGTCGCTAAGATGTAAATAAGGTTTGGGCACGTGATTGTTGGCAAGATTATAGGTTAGGGTTAGAGTAAGCATTGGGGCTAGGTCCAGGGTTAGGGTTAGGGTTGGGCTTAGCACTTCCCCTATTTACATCCCGTGACCTATGACGAAAAATTGAGCTGGCCTTATCATTTAGTACTAACACGTGGACACTTGTAATTTTAACTCTCGTAAAGAAAAGGTACGAAAGTTGTTTCCGGAACATGTGCTTGTTGTAAACAAGAAATCGTTTCAAATCGTAAAATGATCAAAATTCACATAAACGGAAGCAGAAAAGGTTACAACTAAACTTACATGTATACTTGTGTAAATATAAAATAGCCCCCCTTTTATAGAAACAGGAATCTGCAATATTAATTGTGAAGGTAAACATTTTGTGAATAAGGCCTAGGCCCTAAATATAATAATTATTATAAGCACCATGATAATATTTACAAAATTTAAAATAGAATTCTCTATTGAAAATGCCTTCAAATAAGTTTAGAGGAAAACAAGACATTCCAATTATAATCAGCACCTTTATTTATGCAGCCAGTTTTTATTTATGTTATTTTATAATCTAGATTTGATTTTTTTTTTTTAAAAAAACGACCAAAAAAAACAAAAAACTGTTCTTCCTTGCAAAGTAAAATTCTGTCAACATAGAATATTGTCTGCAGACATGAACAGTTCATGAACCGTGGTAAATTATAAACGGATTTCGTCGATTGTGAACAAATTACTGAATAATTGTTATTAAAAACTTGCCTATGTGTTTGAAATCACCTCCGGTTGAATAAAATCCATTGCACAATTGAATATCCCAACGAAAAAAAAAGTTCTGTCTTGAAAGTCAATGATTTAGCTTGTATTTTTGACTAAGTAAAAGTTCATCACAACATTGTACATGTCACGTGATGAACCAAACCATCTTAATATGTTGAACTGGGCAATGTTTGACAAATTTTGACAGTCACGTGTGTTGCAATCACAACAACGTGCGACCTTTCCGATCGTTTGAGTTTGGGCAACAAAAATGGCATCTGAAGACAATAAAATTAATTTGGAAACAATTGATTGTCAGTCTTACTAAATTTTTATTCACAATGAATATATCCCCAATTACATGAATACTCGTAAATATTGCTTTTCACATCATCATCACCCCATCCTGTATGTTATATATATTTTAATAAATTATATTAGGCCCTACAATACATCCCTGTCAATTATATGCAACTCTGTGGCTAACATTTATAAATAAATACACTTTATTTCATAATTTTAATTGATAATATTTCATAAGGCGGCATCTAATCCCAATGCTCTGTGGTTATTAGTTCATTTTCAAAGTTTTATGATTACCACAAAAACTATGAAAAAAGGCCACCGCTTCTCAATAATTTCCATATCGTTTATCGTCTTTATAAAAATGTATTTAAAACAAAAAATCACTTGTCAAAAGAGGTATCGCAGATTGCGTGTATTATTGGGTCTTGTGTGTTAATTATCCAGACTGTGGGAAAAACTTGGGCAAGTTTCGCGCTAAATTTAGCCATTTTCACTGCATCTGTGTAGCATACAATAGAATTCAAAGCGTTGATTGGCTGAGGCATGATCGCAATCTACGAAATAACATCAGAAAATTCCATTCTCTGTGGATTTCAAAATGGAGTTGTACTTGTGATTAATATAGGCTAGTACAATCGTATGGATACATTGCCCTGTGAATTTCAAAACGAAGCCAGGATTTTCGGAAATTAATTGTTTTACTGAGATGCAAAATTCTGAACAGTTTTTGCACAACGGAAATACGAAGAGAAATAGAAAGACATGGAACTATCTGCCGATAATTAAACTGATGTGTGGTATGATTTGTTGTTGATAATAATTTTTGGTATTTATATAAAAAAAAATATTAAAAAACGTTATATACCTATTCATTGATTCATTGGCCTCGCATAAAATACATCAGCATTTACGGATTTACCCTGGCTACAGCAGATTGCCATGGTTAATTTACAGGAAATATTAAAGGAATGTCGTTCTTTTTCTTCTGCACCTGTGTTCAAAAGAAATAATCCCCACCCCCCAACACTCTAACCAAATAATTGATACAAGATGGAAACAAAATAATGTACTACGGGCGTATTTATGGTTGTAAACGCCCAAACTCATTACTGGGTCCGAGAGCAATAGCTTATTCACAAACACAAAATTTGAATTGTCGTAAAAGTGCCAAACACTGTTACGATAGACAAGCCTTGCTGAGACCCCCTTATACAAAATGATCTGTCCCGATAAATGACGTAATTAGCTTCCATTTTTGTTTTTTTCGATGTCCCAAGTTTGTGATGAATTCAATTTTACAAGAGAGAACTTTTTTATTCGCTGGGATATTCAGTTGTACAATGGATTTTATTTAACCGGAGGTGATTTCAAACACACAGCTAAGTTTATAATAACCAAAGTCAAGTAGTTTGTTCATAATCGAAGAAATCCGTTTAAAATTTACAATGGTTCAGACAACTTAGTTTATTTATTATTTAAGAATATTCCCTCTTTGCCTGTTTTGGACAAATCCATAAATGAGTTTTCTGATGTTATAATTGATATAGAATTACTGTTTAAAATGTATCTTAAAACATTCTGTACCATGTATTTCAGCGAAGGAGTAGCTGATCAGTTTCGGATTTTGCATACTGGTACTCAATGACTAATTTAAACATGTGTTAAAAGGTGCTAATATTGGCTTTTATATGTTTTAGGAGTGGAATACAATTATTCCGTAAAGGACAAATACATGTACATCCTTCTAAGATAGACACAGTTCATTGTCAGAATGATTAAAAATGAAAGAGGACAGCAACAATTGACTGAAAAGAAACGAGGTGCCTTAACTGTAGAACAGATCCAGTCAGATAAAATAACACAGGTAGGTAGATTTTGAAATCCAAATGATGCTTTTGTACCATGGAGGTCCTGCATTTTACCTTTGTGACAAGGGTTCCATTTCTGATCAAGTGTCAGTCAAAGAGTGTATTTTTGATCTCTCTTCAACTCAGTTAGGCTTTACCCCATATTCTAAGGTTTCCATCAACAATAGTGAATTATTTACTTCCGCCTGGGTCTTCTGTCAAGAGGACCAAAACCTGTTATGGCTGTGTGGCAGGCTCCATGGACTTGTATTCATTGCAATGGCAGGATAAAATCTATCTCTTTTTCACTGATTTTGTGTAAAATTATTTCAGTTAGCACAAGAGTTCTGGTCAACAGAAGCAATAAAAAATGGTGCCGCTTTTAACCCTGGGGTAAGTACTATGCATGTACATGTATAAATGTATGCCAGAATCTATAACAAGTAATGTTTTTTATATTATTCCATGGTAATTATCTTTTAGAATTCCCTTACAGTATATCTTTATGATTTTTGTTGTACAGATTATTGAAGAGATATATAAGGAAGAAATAATTAAAACCAAGTAAGTATAAACCAATTGGAAATTTCATATTCTTTATAGTTAACACTTAAATTACTCTGTAAAGCAAAATGTAAATCACAGATTTGTCGATAATGAAAAAATAAGAGAAAATAATCTATGGTAACTGAAACATTCATCAACAGTGACTAAGATTAAATCTGAAAAAAACTTATTTACCGACATCTGATTACATGACTGAAAAATAAACACAATTAATTATATAAACATTAGCAATCACTGCATGCTTGTCCCTGTAGCTAACAAAGGCCTAGATATCAACTGACCTAATAAGATTGTTCCGACTTTTGTTACTTCTCTTAACAAAACTGCTTAAACATACAGAAATTATCTTAAGATTAACCAATGTTGTACAGCATTGTATTAATTGATATTTTTAAAATTACTGGAATGATCAGGATTATTTCTATGGATTTTGATGATTATTGCTTAGAATAATTGATTCTTAATGATATTGTTTTTATTTGCTTTTAGTTTTTCTTCTAAAAGAATAATGATGTTGGAATTTAGGTAAGTATATTATTTTTGTGCATACCTGTCAGAATGTGTTCTATTTAGTATGAATTAAAAACAGAATGTACATACAAATTGCAACTTATCATCCCTTTTATTAAATTGAGCACCAGACCTACACATTCTTAAATCCCAGGTATTTTACGCATACCCCTTTGGCTTGCTGTGTCTAGTACAAATAATTTAAAAAGTTTCCTTTTAACAAATTTTGAATAAAATCTCTAGAGCACAGTAAGAATCATTCAGACCTTTTCTTTTTTGAAAATCATTTTCTAATTCCTCACCACTAACATAGATAAATGGCTCAGAATTTCTATCAAAAAGTATAAATTACACTGTAAATATTATTTTATAAAAATAGATATATAGCTTCACAATTTACCTGTGATTATCTCAAAGAACACTGCAAAATTTTACCATAAATCTGAAATGGATATATTGCATTTTGGAAAAAAGTAGTTTAGAAATACATAAAAATGGATAAAATTAAATGCCTTTCAAAACATTTATAACAGAATGAATTTGATTTAATTATATTATTTGTGTTTCTTTTAGCCGTTTTCTGGAGAATTATTTGTGGAAAAATTATGATCCAAATAAGGTATTAAATTACTATAAATATATAACTAGATTTAACTAGAAGCATTGTTTTAATACTACCATTAGAACACAGAACTTTGATTTGTTTTTGTTTAAAAAACCAGAACACTCAAGTCATTAACATTTTGCACCTTTGGAAATGTTTTGGAAGATACAAGGATAGACCATATCTGTTATGGGCAAACACCAACAAAATACTAGTAATGTACATCCTAGTTTTAATGTTAGTGTAAATTTATGTGTAAATTTCTAATTAGCAAAAGGCACAACTACTATATATTAGGTTGATGTTTGTTTATGAGATGTGCTGTGGAATAAAATTGTATACCAAAAACTAAGTTAAATTTGTTTCCATGGAACACAAAAATTATTATATTCCAGAAATTCCAGATTAGCAAAAAACACAACTACTATAGTAGGTTAGTGTGCATAAAGTTTCTATCTTGAACGGTTTACGAGATATGGAAGGAAAGATGGACGGACAGAAGCCATTTCAATATTCCTCCTTTGTTCGGTGCTGGAGAATAATACAGAATTCCCAGTCAAAGTGCTTTCTATATTTATATTTCAGTCAACATTGGCTCATATAATGTCTATAGCTGTAATTGTTAATGAAAAAGTGAGAGAACATGTACCAGCTTGGGAGGTAAGTTCATATAAATTTCATGATATACTTATTAATTGCAATTATTCATGATTGCCAATCCAAGAGTTTACAGTGTATCAAGGATATATTTTGTAGAAGTATTATTCTTATTTGATTATTTTATGAATAAAAGTTTCTAAAAATATTTTTTAGGCATTTACAAATAAACCCCTTCATTTTCCTGCATTCATCCATAAAGTTTTAGATCTAAGTTTAGCCAAGTCTGGTCCATCACTTAAAGAACAAACAAATCTACTAGTTTTTATAGTACATTGTTTTAATAGTTTGGTAAGTATATTTCACTTCTTTTATTTTATTTTCCTTTAGAATAATGCCTGTAGTTAAAATACATATAAATTATATTATAAATCAAAACTGACATAATTTTGTGTGTAATAATAACAGAGTAGCTAACATCCAGTCAAATTGTTTCTAGATATTGTTCGAGTGATAAACCATTCACTCAAACCCGTTATATAGAATAACTAAAGCAAAATTAGTAATTTGCTGTGCGGTATTGTTGTGATTAGTTATTTTTACAAAATATTTTTGTTTGTTCACAAAATATTTTCTTATTTGTTCACAGGAAGTTGATTTGATAAGAGACCAGATTCAGAAATTAGTTTCTTTACCTATCTGGGAGAATATATTACCTGTAAGTATAATGTCAAGAAAATATCTGGATAGCAATCGAATGATAAATTGTCAGGATGGAATCTGCTTCAAATGCTGGGGTGTCCTCTCATATTCCATATTCCTCATAGTACACTGCATGGCGTATGCCCGTTTTCATTAACCCGGTCGAACAATAAACCCCATTTCATACAGTAATGCCTGTGCTGTGGGGCTGAGACAGCAAGTCTAGTTATTCGGGTGAAACAGAAAACCATGGTAGGGTACAGATGATTGTGCACGAAACAAAATCATCCGGAACGGTTGCTGCTTGTGTAAATTCTCTGCCTCATATTACACGTGTTTCCATAGAAATAAAAATTACCATATCAGTTTCTGGTATAACTGATACTGTTACAAACTTTTCATTTTATTTTAAAGGGACGGCGTGAAGAACTTTTCAAAACCAACACAAAATATAAGAAAGTGTTCAACATAATTAAAAAGAGTGATGCCAAAATGGAAAAAGATAAATTACAAATAGTGCAAAAAGATCGCCAGTTTTTATCCAGAACGATTCATAAATATTTTGATATTTTGAAACAGATTCCAGAGAAAGGTATGTTTTATATAATGCAGTGAAACCGATGACTTTTTCTCATAAAGGTATTTAATCAATGAAATATACAGTAATATACCAGATTTAAGAGAGAAATGGGGTCCAGTGATTGTTCACTCTTCTTAAACTCGGTCAATTGGGACAGACATATGTTTAAAGATACATTATAGGAGATTAGATAAAGAGCTGACAGTTCTCACTGTAATAGTTAGAAACCAGATAATATAAAGACAATTTGCTGAAAATTTCAGTCAAATTGATCCACTATGAACCAAGATTTTTGTGATCATCATTACTAAAGTCCGTACAATAAAAAATATAGTCTCGATTATCCATTTCATGATTAAGTTATGAATGGAAGTCGAACAGGAAATCGGAACCTAATCCAATAAACATCGCAGGCTAGTGATGCCATCGAGAGTTGATTATAGTCTGGATGAGTTAATTAAGGTCTAATTAATAATTTAGTTGACATTTCAGGCCTAAAGAAAGACCTGCAATAGGCAGATTTAGCTCTTCTATAATGTATGTTTAATCTTTACTTATTCCGTGAATTCATTTGCGCTTTACTTATTTCATGAATTCATTTTACTTATTTCATGAATTCATTTACACCCATGGGACTTTATCAATTGTTTTATTATCAAATTGTGTTCATAAAATTGATTGTAAGTTATTTTATTGAAAACAACACTGATATAAAGTATCCCTCCTTGTTTTGTTAAACAGGCAAACTAAACCAAGATAAAGTCAATTATTGTGAAAGATTTATGGAGTTAATGATTGATATTGAAGCACAGCTACCTACACGAAGATTTTTCAATGTGTTAATGGATGACCATCATGTCGTAGAAATAAGTAAACTGTCAAGTCTAACAAAAAGAGATGAAGGAAAGTTATTTACTGAGGTATTTCTAGATTTATTTCTTAAAATTTTATAAATAGATTACTTGGTAGTATTGGTCTTACTTTACTTGCAAGTAGTTATGGGAAATAAAACAGATATTAGTGCAGGTGCATTTTAGGAATGACAAAGTCACTTTAATTGTAAGACAAATGGATATTTAAAAACAGTCATTTGTCATGTCTTACTTTGAAAACAAAAAAATTCTGTTGACTCGAGGGAGATGGTTTCTGCTCGAAAATACATATCTTTTATATGGTAGAAACATAATTAATTTCATATGTTACAATGTGTTGGATTTTTTTTTTTTAGCTATTAGATATGTTATGTGTTTATGCCGAGTTTGAAATAGATGAAAGGACTGGTGAGGCACTGACTATTCATGATAGAATAGATATACATTATAATAGAGTTCTAGCATTACAGGTTAGTTGATTAAGAACAGATAAAAAAAAAAGTGTGCTTATTAGTATTTGAATTGTTTCAATGGCATTTAGTAATTGAACTGGAGTGTACAGGTCACAATTCTATGGAATACAATTACTGCTTACAGCGACGTTTCGACTAGGCTTCTCTAGGCATTATCAAGCAATGATAAAACATGAAAATATGACATGTATGTATTGTCTTGTCATATTTTCATATTTTATCATTGCTTGATAATGACTAGAGAAGCCTAGTTGAAACGTTGCTCGTAATAAGTGGTATTTGAATGTGAGTGTGATGTTACTCTGGATAGAGTAGATTGTTACTATGACATTTAGTCATTCAATGGAATATGTCACAATTATATGGAAAACAATTACTGCTTATTACTGAACAACACTTTGACTAAGCTTCTCTAGTCTTTATTAAGCAATGATAAAATGAGATATAATGAGACATGGCTTGATAAATACTAGTCAAAAGATAGCTCATTAATAACCAGTAATTGTATTCCATAGAATTGTGACCTGTATATCTTGTATATTTGAGTAATAAATGTAGCACTCCAGTAGATTACTCAAAACCTGATTCTTGAGTCTTAAGTTTGTATTTAAAAATGAATATAATTATGATAATTCTATAAATATTAATTAAGCTTAAGGTAATGAATTGTAGATTATTGTGACATTTAATTGGCCTAGCTGGGAATTAGATATTGAATATTCACTGTCGTAATGTACCTACATCTTATGATGTTTTTTAATTACAGAAAGTAGTCTTTAAACATTATCCAGAGTTACAGAATTTTGCTATCATGAATATTGCCAGTATAGATTCAAGAAAACCCTTGTTAAAATATCTAGGTGATCTAAGGTGAGGCCATTTTGAATTGTGCATATTATAATGATATTACATTTATCTGTGATAATTATATGATAAATTCTAATGAACAACTGCTGCCATTTTTCATATATACTCTGCAAAAAAAGTAGGGGATATTCAGAAACAATACAAAACTGTGGAAATGAACTGTTGTTTTTATTAGAGGTAACCAGTGTATGTTAATAACAGGTCAATTGCCTACACATGAACATAAACAGTTCATATGGGCGGCTTTTCTGACAGCCCCATTTCACTCGCAAAGAGATATACTGTCAAAAGTGAAAATGGACGTTTTTGATTTTTGTCTTAATACTGAGTAATTGCTCCACCATTCTTCAGACATTCAGCAATTTATAGTGGCATGCTCCTATTCAATCCCCCAATCGCGATTTGGGCCAGTCTGACCCACTCCTCTTGCAGTGCCACGGCCAATTCTTGGAGTGTTGTCGGTTGACGTTGACGTCAACCAACATGTCTACCGATCATGTCCCAGACATACTCTATAGGGGAAGGGTCAGGACTCATGGCTGGCCAGGGACATATGGACAATATGGTGACGCTAGAGGTATTCATTCACGACACGAACGTGGAGGGCACAGGCATTATCATCTTGAAAGATGGAACGTCAACCTGCACGTTGAGCAAGGGGCAGAACTATCGGTGCCAGGATGTGATCACGGTAGTACACACCAGTGATCCTTCCTTGAACAATATGCAAGTCCGTTCTGCCAGTCACAGTGATTCTTCCCCACACCATAACAGACTCACACCCAAATCTGTCATCCTGTCTGATGTTAACGGTTGCATGACGCTCATTTACACGCCTCCAAACGCGAGCACGCCTATCGGTGAAATCCAGAGTAAATCTGGACTCATCTTAGAACATTACATTCATCCATCAACGATTACCCCAATTTCTACGCTGCCTACACCATTGACGCCTGTTTTCCATGTGCTGGCGAGTTAATGGAGGCACAACACGCGGTCGTTGCGCATGTAAATGGGCTGCATGTAGCCGATTTGTAATCGTTTGGGGTGTAACTCGAATTCCTGTAACTTGGTACAAGTTTACAGAAAGCTGATTGGCTGTTTGTCCTCGATTTCGCAGGACCTGTGTACGAATGTATCGATCCTGGGCTTGTGTAGTGTCTCTAGAACGGCCATGAACTAGGTCTATCACCAACATTGTGTGTTTGTTGATACCGATACCACAGTCTGCTGATCACAGACTGTGATACATTAAGCATGTTGGCTACTGCTCACGGTGTAGAACACATTTGAAGCATGGCAATAGCACGTAGACATTCATCATGTTGAAAACGTCGCGATGCAAATTAAACGTAATACACTAAAGCAAAGATACACTAAACAGTAAATCTTATGCAAGAACCGATAGTAAAGCAAGCATGGATAGGATAAATCAGCACTTCCTTGAAGTGCCAAATTTGACCATGAACCCCTCCCACATGTATGGCGCTATTGCGTGTCGCACATGCAGCTCAGTGGTTCTGATGGGGCGATAAGTTATTCATCTGTGAACATACTCTCAAAGCATGTCAAGGGGCCCATGACTATTTATCATGACTATTAAGAACATCAAAGTATAAAAAAGACTTCATAAAGAATGGGCTGGCTTGTACCAAAAAGATGGCAGAATTGTTATTACTTTATTTGCCTAAGACATATAAAGAGCATGAACAGCAGTATTTAATCATTAAGAAACCATTATAGACTTTAAATGGTCATAACTTGAGTTAATTTTTGTCCCCCACCTTTCGAAGAAAGCAGGGGACTATTAAAATGGGTTCGTCCGTCTGTCTGTCCGTCTGTCTGTCCGTCACACTTTTTGGGACACAATAACTCTCTTCCTAATTGAGCTAGAATGTTCAAACTTGGTGTATGTGTTCATTAGGTCAATGCCTTGATGGAGTTCGAAGATGAGCATTTTCCGCTTAGGGTAAGCAGAGATAAGCAATTTGATTGGTTGATGCTTTGGGACACGATAACTCTCTTCCTAATTGGGCTAGAATGTTCAAACTTGGTGTATGTGTTGATTAGGTCAATGCCTTGATGGAGTTCGAAGATGAGCATTTTCCGCTTAGGGTAAGCAGAGATAAGCAATTTGATTGGTTGATGCTTTGGGACACGATAACTTTTAATTGAGCTAGAATGTTCAAACTTGGTGTATGTGTTTATTAGGTCAATGCCTTGATGGAGTTCGAAGATGAGCATTTTCCGCTTAGGGTAAGCAGAGATAAGCAATTTGATTGGTTGATACTTTGGGGCACAATAACTCTCTTCCTAATTGAGCTAGAATGTTCAAACTTGGTGTATGTGTTGATTAGGTCAATGCCTTGATGGAGTTCGAAGATGAGCATTTTCCGCTTAGGGTAAGCAGAGATAAGCAATTTGATTGGTTGATGCTTTGGGACACGATAACTTTAGTTCTAATTAAGTGAGATTGATGAAACTTGGTGTATAGATTTATTATATGAATACCTTAACTAAGTTCGATAATGAACATTTTTTGTTGAGGGTAAGCAGAGTGATAAGCAATTTGATTGGTAGAAACTTTGGAACACAATAACTCTCCTTCTAATTGAGGTAGAATGTTCAAACTTGGCATAGGTGTCTATTAGGTGAATGTTTAAACTTGATGTATATGTAGATGTTCATTAGGTGAATGTCTTGACTGAGTTCAATAATTAACATTTCGAGCTGAAGCTAAGCAGAGCTAATCGATTTCATTTGTCGATGGTTTGGGACAAGATAATCTTGATTCTATCTGATAGAGAGTGATGAAACTTAGTGAAAAAAATAAATGTGCGATTAATTAATATGTGTCATCTATTTATTTTGCAATTTCGGCGGGGGACATCAGCCTCACTGTTGGCTTGTTGATAATACATGTAGTACTTTTGAATGTGTTTAATCTTTGTTCTAGCATGCCCGGCCTTTAATTTTAGGTACATGTATATATGTAGGTGAAAGCATTCTCATCTCATTGTTTTTTCGTTTTCTTTTTAGTAATTTTGACCTACATAAGATATTGGCCTACTTAAATTACCTTCCTTTCCCTGAAGAAGGCCAAGAAGAGAAATATACGACAGAATTTCTACTTGAACTATTGGCAAGTACATTAAGTTTTAAAGTCTGAGAAAGTGAATCAGATCATCTATTTTATCAATTAAAGATATAATTACTTTGATGTAAATCTGTATAATAATATTTCACTGCTAATAAATTAATTGTTGTTGTCATCAATTCAGTAACTGATGGAAAACATAATTATTAATGTCCCCCATTATTAAATTGGGTATTCCCATCTTTCTGTTCTCTCAAGAAAATGCAATAACTTTGTTGAATGGATTTTTATAAACTTGGAATAAACCCTCTTTATCATAGTAACTTTCCTTAGTTCAAACATCAATGCCATCCATGTATTATTTGATTCATTCCGACCCTTAGAAAAACCACATATTCAGATGAAAATAATCTTGTAAGTACCTACATATATCGCTACTATCAGTACACAAAAATATAACATTTTATGTACAATGATTTTAAAATTATTTTCTTTGTTATTAGGTATCTAAACATGAAAAGCGACCATCTCAACTAGAAGCTATTAATGAAATGCCTCTCTATCCAACAGAAGAGATAATATGGGATGAAAATATTGTTCCATCAGAATATTATTCAGGAGGAAGTAAGAAAAAAATATATTTTTCTTATTCATGCTCATCTCCTGTAAAGACATGGTCCACCAAATTTTTAAACATTTTTAAACGTTAGCTACACAGTATATTGAACAGCGTGTCCCAAAAATTTGGACTGAACCCTGTGGCTCCCAAAATCATCAATTTGTTGACTGAACCACAGTGGATCAGTGATTAAATCGCTGGGCAAGGAACAGCATCTAATCATTTGGATGGGATAAAAAGAAATGAGGTCTTATATACACCTTGGCGTGCATGTAAAAGAACCTGTATAGCACACTGCATGGCGTATATATTAACTGAGTTGGTGCAGAAAAGTAGGATGTTAAACCCGATTTCATTCATTAATTCCTAATATATTATTTTATATTTCAGGTTGTCTAGCATTACCAAAGCTAAATCTACAGTTTTTAACTCTACATGATTATTTGTTGAAAAATTTCAACCTTTTTAGATTAGAATCTACATGTAAGTTGGTTATTACTAATATTAGCAGGATTTTCTATGTGGAATCATTTGAAAAACTTGTTAGAACAATAGAACTGACTTGATATATTGGATAATTTTGTTTTTGAAATACACACAAATCGATATATGTTTCTAGAAGCTCTCTTTGATATGTATGTAAACAAGAAACTGTAAATCAGAATTATATTTTCGATATTACTTGTCAATATTTTTTCTCTCCATATTTTAGATGAAATACGACAGGATATTGAAGATGCTGTCAGTCATATGAAACCATGGTATGTAAACAATTAAACTTTGTTGAAATTTTTTTATACATTTTATATGGTTTGTATTGTTTGTATCGAATCTGTAATAAAATATTTATTATCATTATTTGGTTTGTATATTTTGTATCAAATTTGTAATAAAATATTTATTATCATTATTTCTAGGCTAGCAGAAGATAGCAGTTGTCTATTTGGAGGCTGGGCTCGTATGGCGCAAAGTATTGTTGGTTTTAATGTAGTAGAGGTAATCTTTGTTAGTCTTTTTTTTTTTACAAACATTTATATAGTCAGTTAGAAGTCAGACTTAAGGATATCTGATTGATAAGAGTGGTCAGGCATGGATGAACTGAACTAAAACTTATTACTCCAGTCTATTTTTACCTTGTCAGTGGTTGACCCCATTTCATTTTATTTCTAATGAATTCAATGAAGAAGAGAATTGACTATTTATTGAATATCTTATAATTAATAGGTAGCAAAACCAAGAATTGGTGAGAATCATCCTGCTCAAGTACGAGCTGATGTTACAATGAATCTTAGTGTAAGACCAGAAATAAAGGCTGAATGGGAAGGTCAGTTAATAACAATTCAATTTTTTTTACTATTGATCAAAATATTATCAGTGCAATACATGCATGTAAAATGTACAGTTTATGTAGTTTTTCCCAATTGAGATACATATTCTGGGGATTAAAGCAAAGGGTCAAAATTGATAGAGATACTCACTTTTTATTTTAAGCTAAATCTAAACTACAAAATACTGTTATGTGTCTAACTCAATTTGCTGGAACAATGACAAGAGAATACTTATTGAAACATTGCACCATTTAAAGTTGCTAGTGATATTATCAATAAATTTGCGTTAGTATTTTTGCAGGAAACGGTTTGGTCTTCATAGATTTATGTTATTGATATATGAATATTCCTATACTCTTATGTTTTTGTTTCAGCAATGAGAAAACATGATGTAGCGTTTTTGATAACAGTCCGTCCTACTCAGCCAATAGGAACAAAGTATGATTATAAAGCAGACTTTATACCCCAAGTTGGACTAACATATGTTAGGGGATGTGAGATAGAAGGCATGCTTGATGAAACAGGAAAAGTTATTGAAGAAGGTAGATACTCAGATTTTCAGATTGCCATTCAAAATCACAGTATATTTTTGGAAGCTGCATTTAGATATTCTTAATGATTACGTAAATGTTTTTTGATGAAAGCTAATGGAGGTTTGGTGAGTATGGCACTGGTCCCAGTTTAACCCTGGTCTGAATTTTCTAGCTTGGCTTCCCCAGGACTCGCCGTTCAGATGGGACCCAAACACATGAAGGTCACATTTTTACCATTGACCTGGGGCCTGTTTCACAAAATTTTAACTAAGATAAAATCCAAATTTTAGTAATTTGATTGGATAATATTATGTTGATTTTAGTGTCTAGCCAATCAAAATTGAAGTATCTACTAAAATTTGGATTTTATCTTTGGTTAAGATTTCGAGAAACAGTGCCCAGAAGTTAAAGATACCCTGACAGTTGAAATGGAAATAAGGGTAGGCTGCTGCATGGTTGTCCATAAACAATGTCTTCTCATACCACAATGCATGGGGTATTGCCATTATCAAGAACCGGCAGGGTGTAGAAAAACGAAATGTCCAACCCCATTTCATTTCATTTCTTACAGTTGATGACGCACTGTTAAAAACTGAACAGTTAGAATCAACTTTTCATGTTGTCAGCTATTCTATAAATAATTTGTTCAAATATGTATGGAAATCCGATCTCAAAAGAAGACACAATAAAAACAATATTTTTTAGTGGTTTGTGTTTTTGAATTTTACAGTATAAACCAATTGAATTTCTAGTCATTATTCCACAAATGCGTTCATATAATGAATGTTCTTCTACTATTTTATTCCTTATTATTAAGATTAGTTATCAAATTTTCTTCATTTTGTATTTGTATCTGTTCTAATTATTCTAAGATTACACATTAATTTATAATTAAAGGTCCAGACCCTAAACCAGAATTACAAGGTAATACCAGAACATTCAGAGTTTGGTTAGATCCAAACCAGTATCAACTAGATATGACCAGAACGGTCAATGGAGAAGAGGTATTGTTTTATAATTTTTATGACTTTCTCAAACAAACTGACCTCAGTTCTCACATTTTACCTGTCTGACATAATTTCTGTTTCATTCTGTTAGTAAGAGTATAGATGTGCAATTAAATTGGGTTTTTGCGTCCATCCAGTATTCATTTTGGCAAACAATAACTTTGAAAAACAAGTCCGATGGTTATCTTTTTTTCGAATGTTTGACTTCATTCAATTTCTAAATGTTTGACTGGGGACTTCAGATTTGACCCATGTCAATATGTAAACATGACCATCAAGAGAGTTAAACCCTGAGTTACATTATTTGAAGCCACAGTGGCTCAGTGAGTATAACACCCATCCTGGTTTTTATACAGGTGTTCCGTGGGATAATCAAGCCTGGTTTTCTCTTGTCAGTGATATAGGCTGAGGAGCCTAGACAGAAAAAAAGTGTCTAGACATTAATGGCTACCATTATACAGAGGGAACCACAGTAACTCTATCACTAAGTTACAAAAACCTGGATTCGATTACCGTTTTGACATGTATTCCTTGGTGCACACATAAAAGTTCACTTGACAGTTGAAATTGGCATACACATAAAACATCGCATGACAGTTGGAATTTGATTTAAGAGAAGGCAGAAACACCACTGTTCAGGCAAATTTCTCTCATTGCACATCTTCATTAGCCCGGTTGGAGCAGAAATGTTGGACATTAATCCCAATTTCATTCAATTTTTGACACAGTAATTTTATTAACAGCTGTACTATTATAATTACTGATATATCTCTATTTTACAGGATGTATATGAAACATTTAATATTATAATGAGACGTAAACCAAAAGAGAATAATTTTAAAGCTGTATTAGAGACAATGAGAGATTTAATGAATACTGATTGTGTTGTACCTGATTGGTTACATGATTTAATACTGGGATACGGGGAGCCGGATTCAGCACATTATGCCAAGTAAGTGTGATCTATTACACACAGTCAAACTCTGGTCAATCACTGCCCACATTATGCTCATTGTTTTATGATGTGAATTATTATCTGTTCCAACTATTATCCCTTAAACAAGGTTAAGATGATTTTGAGAACTAATGTTTACTCTAACATCATTACAAAAGCACATAGACATATTTACTCTTGATTGTGAAAGAGCTGTTTGGCTAAAATATAAATTGACTCTTAAACTTGAAAATTATGCTTGTGCCATCATCTATTTGAATCTATTTGAATGTATCTACATCTACTTAACTTTTCTTTGTACGCTTGCGTTAAATTATGACAGCAGACAAAAGGTACAGAGGGTGGATATCAATTATTATTTTCACATTAACTTTCACCCCTTTGCAATAGTAATAATAATAATTCCATTTATATAACAAACTCTACTTTCTGTCGTAAATGCTCAAAGTGCTTATGCTCAACCATGCATTATTACTTGTAGATTTCATCCACGATCATGCATGTATATATATAAAAGATTAAAATACTAAAAGTTTATATATACATATTTGTTAGTCCAGACATGTACACATACAGATCTTAACTGTGTGATATTGGCTTTTTTGTTTCAGAATGTCAGATAAAATTTCGAAGTTAGATTGGAACGATACATTTTTAACATTAGATCATCTTAAATCTAGTTTTCCTGAACATGATATCAAGATAACATCAACAGAAACTGTTCAAAATATTCCACCATTCAGGTATAGTGTTTGATAATTTATAACTGCAAAACAAAACCGACAAGAAATAAACAGTTAATATCAATTTTAGTGAATGGATCCAGGTATCAGTCGTAAGCGTCCACTGTGCTGTAGAGTCCAAGACTTCACTCAAATTTTAAAAAAAAAACAGGGATTTTACAAGAAAGACGTAATGTGACCGGTCTTGACAATGGTCGTCTCCTGAATGGCGATAGTTTACCAGTAGTTGACAATAACACTAAAGGCATTGGAGAATGCTAAAGAGTGTACTTACAGAACTTTGTGTACAACCTTGCTAATACTGCTATTAGTAATAGTTTCATCTAAGAATGGACTAGGGTGTTTTAGTTTAAATATTCTTCCAGCATAATATGATAAAAACATAGTCCGAATTGATGTCATAAATAATAGCACATGTATGCCTCATTTATTACAAAATCTAGACTGTGAAACCTATTTAAGATATCTATTGGGTTAAATGATTAAATCCATGGAAATTTCCCAAAAAAAGTTATAGGTTACGAAATAGCTTGAATTTGACCATGAAATCAATGGATAAAATAAAGTCTTCTGACTATTGTTTGTAAATTTTTAAAATGGAGTTATCTCCATTGAATGATGTGCGGTAATTTTTAGTTTCTGTTAAAATGTCAATAAATAGAGAACCCAGCAGTATTTTTGAGAGGGTGGCATTGTCTGAAAAAGTCCAGATTTATTTGAACATTTTTTTTTCTTCAGATTAAATTTTAAGGAAGGTGAGACAAGTCAGAAAAGAAAAAAAGATGAGACAGTGAAAAGTAAAACAGAAATAGAAGTTGAACCACATACTATTCCAAACAGAGGTCCTTATGAATACAGTCAACCTAAAAAGTAAGATAATATGTTTTCGATATATATCATATCCAGCCATTGCAATTAAGTTGTACATTTACAAATAAATGCCTTTTTGGGGAATATACAAACTAAATATGCTGTGATGGTTAGATTGTGCATAATAATTAAGAGTCATTGACCCATTTTTACCTGTAATAATTATAACCATGAATAAAGAGTTTTTACTCATATTGGGTTATCAATAATAAAAATAATCATTTGAATAGATAGTAATTTTGTGAGAATAGTAATTTTAGGATTTTTACTCATATTAGGTTATCAATAATAAAAATAACCATGAATAGGTAGTAATTTTGCGTAAATAGTATTATATGATTTTTTATTTATATTTCTACAATTTAGTGCTTTAATTTTGTTTAATTAGAAACAGTATTCAGTTTACACCGACTCAGATAGAGGCAATACGATCTGGGATGCAACCTGGATTAACCATGGTTGTAGGTCCACCTGGTACAGGTAAAACAGATGTAGCTGTTCAGATCATCTCAAATATATATCATAACTTTCCAGATCAACGTACATTAATAGTTACACATTCTAATCAGGTACGTGTATATGTCATTATTGTGGAACTAACAAAACTAATCATAGACATACTCAATATGCTCAACTTAGTTAATGTTGTCAAATTTTGGACTAATGATTCCTGGTGCAGACTAAATGCCTCATAATATTATCTAATTAGTCAGCTAGAATTGTTCTAAAATATCTACCTCAGTTTGGTGATGATACATGTGAAGTGAATTTGGTTAATTAATTCAGAGGTTTATCATTGGGATATAAGTTCTTAAGACATTTGCATTAAAGCGATGGAATCTATACACAGCCCTACTTTGTGAAAGAATAATTCTATTGGTCCTATAATTCACTATTGTCAGTTGAGAAATTAGCAAATATATCATTTTCAATGATAACCTTTGCTAATTTCATGGAGCGTATAGAAAACTAGGGAGGTAATTTTTCTGTGATTTCCATGTGTTATTTCTATGTGTTATATTATTTTAAGTGCCAGAATGATTACTATGATTGTATTATAGTGATTTGATAACCTTTTAAGTAATAGATTTAGAAATAAGTATGTTTTGACTTTCTTAGAAAATATTCAACTATCGCTTTAAATAATCGAGGTAATCTCATTATTGAATGGTTCCTCCCATCTTTTCACAATGACTTTCTACTGTTAACTGATCATTCATCTTACATTTTCTTATAAATTTAAAAGGCATTGAATCAGCTGTTTGAGAAGATTATGGCATTAGATATTGATGAGAGACATTTACTACGTTTAGGTCATGGTGAAGAAGCTCTAGAAACAGAAAAAGATTTCAGCAGGTGAATTATTAATAATGAAATAAAATAGGGTTTAGGCAAAACCAATTTAATTTTTAGTTCTTTGGTATCTTGATAAAAAGAAAGCCACACAACTCTCCTGAAAAAAAAAATTATTTAGAATTCCAAAATTAAAAACTTTTGAGAAGAGTACCAAGTATTTTTGATTTTCAAATCGTTGATTTTTTCTCCCATGAAATAGGACACAAATTCCCAATTGATGTGTCCTTAAATGTCCTACTTTTCGACAAAAACTACTCTTATCACTTCTATTTTAAAAACTATTAAAATTAGTTCTTTTAAAAAGAAAAAATCATTGATATCAATTCTTTTTAAAAAGAACTATTCACATCAAATATATTTTAAAAACTATTGAAATCAGTTCTTTTAAAAAAAATCTGTTGACATCAATTCTGTTTTAAAAACTATTGAAATTAGTTCTTTTAAAAAAAATCTATTGACATCAATTCTTTTTAAAAAGTATAAGTTTTACAAAGTATGGAAATGTTTAAGTTGAAGATATATTTTTCCTTGACTACTCAGACACAAAATACATTGAATAATGTATTCAAACTACCAGGTATCTGAAACGTTATATCTTCCAAGGTTTTGTTATCGATGCCAGGAAAGTTCCTCACGATTTTCAAACCTGGTTTCACCCTTGTCAGTAGTGCAGGATGGAGGGCGTTGCAAGGAAAGCGTTTAGCCATTTAGCATGTTATTAAAGATACCTTGAAAGATAGTAATCAGAATTAGAGTAAACCGTTGTGCTGTTGTCCAGATGAAATTTTCCTCACACAATGCTGCATGGTGTATGCCTGTTTTTATTGGCCTGGTCAGTTGATGCAGAAAGAAATATGTTTATTTCCATTGTGTAAGACAAGAATTGTGGCAGAGGACTAGTACTACTGTATAACATATGACTATTGCTCAGATGTCAATGGCTATGATAAACAATCTCTATTTAATATATACTTTTTTTTATTGTGTGTTTATATGGAATTAGAGTTAATAATTTTGTTTTTCTTGCATTAGAAATTGTGCTTTAAGAAGATAATACATTTTTAAGGTTGACTATATAATCTCATTATGCTCAAAGGATTGGACATTTCATTGCATGGATATACATGGATAAGCTTACTTTAAGTTATCATAGATTATCATGTCATGAAAGAGTTTACTTTGTTTATTTTAGATATGGACGTGTTAATTATGTACTGGCTCAGAGAATAGAACTGTTACAGGAAGTAGGTAGATTACAGACAAGTCTCAGTGCCAGCGGTGATATGTCATACACAGCTGAAACTGCTGGTTATTTTTATATGTATCAGGTTTTGTCAAGATGGGAAGAATTTTTAAGTAAATTACAGAACATCAAGGATAAGGTATAAACAATAAATAACCTAATAATTTATTTATATCCTGATGTCTGTTTATTATTTAAACTAAAAATGCTAATAACACCTTTTATGCATCACGGAGCCATGGTGGCTCAGTGAGTAAGATGTTGGCTCGCTAACCTGGAGCAGATATACCCAATTGATCAACTTTTACACTTACTTACTAATTACTGAATTGTTAATAAGTTTTACATAAGTAGTTTATTGTTCTACCCAGTTACTCAATGTCTCTTAAACTTAAATTCTCAATTGATATTGGTTTATTGTTTTTATTCAGTTGATATGAAATTTCTATTTGTAGGAAGCCAGTCCAACTAAAATTCGAGAATTATTTCCATTCACAAAGTTTTTTGATAATGCACCTCAACCTCTGTTTGGAGGGCGAAGTTATAGTCAAGATTTAGATATTGCAGAGGGATGTTTTAGGCACATCAAAAAAATATTCACACAGTTGGAGGTAAGAACACTTGTCTTGTTCTCAGATGTAGAGCAGTCATATAATGACCAATGAATGTCCAAAGCGGGAATTAAAACAATGTCTGAATCAGTTGTCCATGTTCACTACTCAACATAATAAACATAAAATGTATAGTCTGCTTGAATGAGACTAGTAAATACAGGGTTCTTCCTTTTTCTCTACAATGGATGTTTACTCAGTAGATTGTTAATAATGTTAATAATCATTACCACTCATGCTCACATCAGACCTAATAATTTAGAACAGTTCGTCTTGACGAAAAGGCTATTTTTATCTGTCCTAGTGTAGTTTATGTTGAAGATTACTGATTATAATTCATTATTGTTATACTCAATGTGGGGGGACAAATTCAGGTTGTACCTTGTTAGTCACGAAATTACCTTGTGTAGTTTATGTTGAAGATTACTGACTATAATTCATTATTGCTATACTCAATGTGTGGAGTGGGGGGGGGGGACAAATTCAGGTTGTACCTTGTTAGTCACGAAATTATCTTGTGTCGAATGGATGTTAAACCCCATTTCTCTCTATATATATTCAAAAAGGGTTTTATGGTTTTTACAGGAGTTCCGAGCATTTGAATTACTACGGAGTGGATCAGACAGAGCTGAATACTTATTTATAAAAGAAGCTAAGATCATTGCCATGACCTGTACCCATGCTGCTTTAAAACGAAGAGATATGGTGTCTGTTGGGTTCAAGGTATATAATATGCATAATATCTTTATTGGTTTTAATCAATAAATAAAAATCAGGCAGATATTAAAGGAGCTAAACCTTTAACTCAGTATTGATCCGTAATATTCAAAATTAAAAACGCTGTAAAAGTATAGGATCATAATGTCCAATATTTAAGACATAATGAACATTTTAATATCAGTACACAAGGTAGTGTAGTATATTTTGTACAATACAATTAGTAATTTCTGATGAATGGCTCCATGTACTAGATATAGACTGCCACAAGATATGAAAGGTTTATATCAGACATGCAAATAAAGGGAGATTAACAGCAAAAACACCTTTTCTTACGCCCACATAGAAATGACGGCCTACCCTGCTTACCCTGCCTATATAATATTCTAATAACAAGATATTTTAATGTAACAATCATTATTTCATTATATTAGATATGAAATTTATAATGTGTGTTGAAATTTTCATAAATCTATATAATCTGTTGTATATAGGCTATTTTTAGGTATTATATTATTCTCGAGGTTTTTTTTTTTAAAAAAAAAGAAATTTTATTTACTCCAACCAACCAATTAATTCTATTATTGCAATATTGACCTGATGATGTCACGAACGGTTAATATCTAAAATAACGATCAGAGAGATCAAATAGATAATTACACCGTGGTTTGTATGCTGACATAAACTACTTCTGTTCAGTTTTGACTGTTCAATATTTTCATTGAACATAATTGATAAGAAATTACAATACAAATTTAAAAATTGAATGAAAATCACTTTGTATACATTGACATTACATTCATGTGCTTTTAGACCAGTTTTAGTCTCTTTTAAGTTTGCAAAGAATAGAGTTATATATAGGAGAGTATCTCTTTATAGGTTTTAATCAAGTACTTTTGACCATCTTCTTTGAGTGGCATTTAGCAATTGACATACGTAATACAAAAACATAATATGGAACACAATTACTATTTTATTTAAAGCGACGTTTCGTTGAGGGTTCTCTCAACGTTTTCAAGCAAATGATAATGAAAATAATGTACAGAAGGTTCATATACAAAAACAAGTAACAACTAATTAATCTTAATCAATAGGGAAACCATTTAATATATTAAATCAATAGGTGACTATTAATGTTATCATATTCTTTGTTTTACAGTTTGATAATATTTTAATGGAGGAAGCTGCTCAGATTCTGGAGATAGAAACATTTATACCACTCTTGCTGCAGGTAAATTGATTTATTAAAAGAAATTATTTAAAGTTAGAGGTGTTATTCCTATTAACCAGTGAGTTTATTAAAGCCTGTGAGCCACTTATATTAAATTAAAATCTTGATATACATTTCGATGGATGCCTTCAGGTGTATAATGTTGAACCCTGTTAATTGAATATATCATCTAGCCTGAAAATTGATACCTATAGTCTACATTAATTTCAAATACCTATACTGCATCATATTTTAATTACAACAGAATCCTGAAGATGGTAATAATCGTTTAAAGCGCTGGATTATGATTGGTGATCATCATCAGTTGCCCCCGGTGATTAAAAACATGGCCTTCCAGAAATTCTCTAATATGGAACAATCACTGTTTACACGATTTGTACGACTTGGTGTTCCTACTGTAGATCTAGATGCCCAGGGAAGAGCTAAAGCAAGGTAAGGTTTTCACAATTTAAAATAGCACCATAAATAGATTTGAAACTGGTGAATAATACTATTTTCACAATTTGACCTTAGATTCAGTGGAGCCATGGTAGCTCAGTGAGTAAAACATTGGCTTGCTTAATGGAAGGTCCCATGTTCAATCTCGGTGTCCACCGACAAAGTTCATCCAGATTTTCCAGCGTTGTTCCCCTTGTCATTGATGCAGGACAGAGGGCCTGGCAAGGGACAAAGTGTAATTGTTCAGGTGGGATAAAAAACGAGGTCCTGTGTACACATTGATGAGCGAGTAAAAGAACCCTTGGCAGTTGGAATTTGATATAAGAGTAGGCTGTAGTGCTGTTGTTCTGACAAAATTTCATCCATGGCACACAGTATGGCGTATGACCGTCTTTATTAGCCCAGTCAGAGCAAAACAATTTGACTTTAAACCCAATTTCATTTCATTGCCTTAGATTTCGATTCACCAAGAACACACAGATTCTGAGTATCAACCTTTGTTTCTGTTGCCATGAAAATCATATCATGATATATAATATCATTAGAGAACTTTTGGGGCAATTATTACTGTAAATGTCAACGTATGTTTGTTGAAAAATGAATGTTATTTCTGAGTTATAACAGGGGTTTTTTTTCTGTATGTTTTTCTTTAGCCTGGCTAGTCTGTATAATTGGAGATATAAGAAACTGGGAAGTCTACCTCATGTCCTTGTACAACCAGAATTTCAGCTGGCTAATTCTGGTTTTGTCTTTGATTATCAGCTCATTGATGTCCAGAATTTTAATGGTGTGGGTGAATCAGAACCCAATCCTTATTTTTATCAGGTAAGAGAACAAATTTCCATTTGTGACTTTGTTTTAATTACTGTTTATGTAGAGAGAAAAACAAAATGCCCAGAAACGGTAGGAAATATTACAGTTATAGCTTTCAAATGAATACCGGATGAACTTGAAGAATACAGTGATTGATTGATTTTCTCAAACTTATTTTTTAACTGAAAGGGTGGCTCTTTTTTAAATGATTGGATTAAATAGGTATTTTTACATGTATTTGTCTTACTGTGTATTTTATTTCACTAAACTTGTGTGATTGTATTCTTCAATTTATAGATGGAATATTGCATAAAATTTGTATATTTTTGTAGAATCTTGCAGAAGCAGAGTATGTAGTTGCTGTATTTATGTATATGAGATTAATGGGCTACCCTGCTGAGAAAATATCTATTCTAACCACTTATAATGGTCAAAAACATTTACTCCGGGATGTTATTTATCAACGATGTGGTAATAATCCATTTATTGGACGACCTCATAAGGTATGTCAATACTGTGTCCCTGTGCATCAATTATAGAATACAGAAGTAATATGAAATGTGATACGAGTTGAATTGTGTTCTTTCTGAAAACATCACTAAAAGATTCATGTCTGTGAAGTGGCCTCAAGGAAAACTGAATTTTGTGCTATGTACTTTGTGAATATATGCTTAAAGTAGTCTGTAGTAAAATGGAACAAAAAGATTTTTATTTTCAAATATATGTAGTTTATGCATTAATATGGGTTTTTTGTCGTAATTTTAGGTAACAACAGTAGATAGATATCAAGGTCAACAGAATGATTATATTTTATTGTCATTAGTCCGAACAAAAACAGTAGGACATATTCGAGATGTACGACGTCTTGTAGTAGCCATGTCCCGAGCTAGATTAGGTTTATATATATTTGCTAGAGCATCTCTATTCAGCAACTGTTTTGAATTGACCCCAACATTCAACAGAGTAAGTACACCCTGTTAATATTTACTTTTAAAAACTAACGATTGTTTAATTATCATATTATTGTAAGAGAACAAAATAATAAATAGTGTAGTCTTAAACATCCAACAAATTTGCGAGAATGGAGGTAATGAAGTTTAATTACTGTTGTAAAGATTATTGTCTCTTGCAAGAAGAGAGATTATTTCATCTAGTCTGAATAGAAGGGATTTAATTGAAATCTTTATCTGGAAGTGATTAGAAATCTATATTGAAGTTATAGAAATCTATATCTGAGAAATCTATCTCTGGAAGTTATTCGAAATCTATCTCTGGAAGTTATTAGAAATCTATATCTTGAAGTTATTAGAAATCTATCTCTGGAAGTTATTAGAAATCTATATCTGGAAGTTATTAGAAATCTATATCTTGAAGATATTGGAAATCTATATCTGAAAATTATTAGAAATCTATCTCTGAAAGTTATTCGAAATCTATATCTTGAAGTTATTAGAAATCTATATCTTGAAGTTATTAGAAATCTATCTCTGGAAGTTATTAGAAATCTATATCTTGAAGATATTAGAAATCTATCTCTGGAAGTTATTAGAAATCTACTATATTTTGAAGTTATTAGAAATCTATATCTGGAAGTTATTAGAATCAACAGCTATCTCTTCTCTTAACCTCATCAAATGGAAGATCGGAAAACAATAGAATGAACAAGCATGTTAAACTCCATTTCATTCCTCCTTCCCTTTACTTTCTATTCCTATGTTAATTTTAGATCAGGTGATAAAGGTTATTTATTTCAATTGTTTCATACATTTAATGTGTTATATATATTTTTGTTTTGTAGTTGTTGAATAGACCATTACAGTTACATATAACACCTGAAGATTCCTATCCTACAAGAAGAAAGGTAAGTCTTAAGGTCATACTTTGGGAGATGTGATTATCCCTAGGATATTGTGGAACAATTCAGTCTCTGGACGTTTATCTGTAAAGCAGACCAGCATATAGTTCCTAGGGTGAGAAGTCCAGCTATATACCACATACAAGATTATTACTTAAATATATTCTATTGTTTATTTAGAATACAGAACATCCAATAACCACCCCCATGGTAATAGAAGATATGCCCATGATGGCACAGTTTGTTTATGATTTCTATAACACTAAAGTTGATTATTTGATGAAAACCAGAGGCTTTCAACAGGTAGAAAAAAATTCCAACTTATTATACTTTTTTGTTGTTAAAAATTACTATGTGAAAATTGATAACATTTCCCTGGGAGAGCAAAATAATTGGATTTAAAAGATGAAAATTGGTGGATTTACAGGGTTATCTGCATGATACAATTAAAGATACATTATGTAAGATTTAGATAAAGAACTAGCCATTCTTGCTATAATAGTTCGAAAGTAGATGGTGTAAAATGAATAATTTGAAAATCTCATTCAAATTACTCTATTGCAAGCAAAGATATTATCCTTTGAATGTTTGACAGACGTGTGCAATAATTTCAACCATCGTACTGGTTGATCTGGTTGATCGATGCTAAGTCTCGGTCCTCCATATTTGATTAAAACAAAGTATCGCTGAACCATTCTAATCTATTTAATATCGGAGAAATCTGATGCCATCTAGAGTTGATTAAGGCCTGGATCAGTTAATTAATGTCTAATTAATACTTTAGAAAACATTTCAGGCCTAAAGAAAGACCTGCAATAGGCAGATTTAGCTCTTGCATAATGTATGTTTAAGGCAGTCAGTATTTATATCACACTACTCAACAATTTAATGCCATTCTAAAAATACCAAATATGTTATTTTTGAAAATATATAAGTGGTTTAAGATCTGTGTTTAGAGACCCTCTTTTCATTTTTCGTCCACATTTTCATGTGGACATATATTGTTGTCGCGCTCGTCCGTCTGTCCATCCATATTTTGTTTGTGGACACTCTACAAGTCACAGTTTTTATCTAATTTTAACAAAACTTGAAATATCTGGTTCCTTTCGAAATTGGCATGTATCGGACCGTATCTTCATGGATTATGGCCCCTTGTTGGACAAAAAATCACGTTTTTAGCTTGTGGACACTCTATACTGATGATAATTATTAGAATATTCCTGGGATTTACCATTTTCTTAAAACCTTTCATTTCATTCAATTCCAGCCAATAAAGTTAAAGAAAGCTCCAACTGATGGAACACCAGTTATAACGAAAGCACCAACTGATGGAACACCAGTTATAACGAAAGCACCAACTGATGGAACGCTAGTTGTAAAGAAAGCATCAGCTGAAGAATCTGAATGAAAAAAATTAATTAAAAGAGTTTTGTTTTTGACTGGAAAGGATTCAAATTGGACAAGAAATTGAAACCTCTTTGGCATTGATCAGTATTAAAAGCTGGTGATGCTGAAATAAAATAAAGATATCCCATTCACTGACTATCTATAGCGTTGAATGAATTTCAACATATATTTGTTAGGTCACATTTATTGTACATGAAGCATGAATTCCATGTTTTACACTATCTTTATTTGAAAGTTGGGAAAATTTCATATTTCTAGAATTCTCTCTTTACTAATAATATCAGACATATTTTTGGGAAGTGTTAAGAGTTTTTGTTCAAATGTATAGTTAATATTGTACATATGGATATGTAAATTGGCATCTGTAAATATTACCATTTAAATGTCATTGATCATATTTTAGGATACCACAGTCCTGCCTTTAATAGGAGCCAGAGTAATATTTTTGTCATTGTTATTACGCTAATATTTCTCACTCAATCGTATTTGGCAGTTAAAATATTTGACTCTAAATATTTGAATCAAGTACAACTTGAATAAATGTAAGACCATTCTACACACGTCTTAGTGCTAAATAATATATTGTCAATTTATATATATTTTGTCATAAAATCACTGCCCATGATCATTTCTATCAAATTGAAATAAAAAGTAATTTCATAATAATTTGGCTCTGTTTTATTGTGTATGAAAAAAAATCAGAGTTTGCGGGACAAGGAAGCCATAGATATGCTCTTCTTATTTGGCCAAACTACTTTAATTTTAAGTGATAGATATGCTCTTCTTGTTTGACCAAACTACTTTAATTTTAAGTGAATGAATCTTTTAGCTATCTTATTGTTTTTTATTTTGTAAAGTTATATAAACTGTTTTGATGAGTTATGTACAACAATTATGGATAACCCTGGATATGCAAATAGAATAAGTCTGAATTTGTTTTACCAAATGAATAATCCCTGTGATTTTGAAGAAAATCTGTTAAAATGGAAATGGTGGACGAACAACAAAGAAAGTGACAACAATATACGCCCATCCATCCACATTAAATATGGACATATAAAAAAAAAAACAACACATGTTTGACATAAAGTAACAATTTTATCCCGATTGTTATCTGTAATACAGAACATATAATAATATGGCAGAAACAAATAATATTCATAATCTGTATACTGAGGTAGTCACATCTTTATATTTAGTTTTAAGGACTTAAATGTAGTCTCCATTTAACAAATTTTCAAACTGGTTAATGTGTTGGGTCAATGTAATCTTTCTGTTCAGTAAGGTTTGATGTATAATGTCATTTAATCTACTAATGCCCCATGCATCGAATGACACAAAGGCATGATAGGATCATTAAGCCTCCATTAAATGCCAGGGGTAATTTGAGGGCAGTGGATTTTATACCAGCTGAGCTGATGCTGTACATAATTCTTAAATTTTTGGCTTTAAGTATTGATTAGAATCTTGAGGATTTAAAAAATTTCTTAGGAAGGAAAGACAACTCTGACTGATTTCAACAACAGATAATTCTGATACTCTGCTGTAATGATACCAGGCAAGGCAAAAGAGTATCTAACTTTCTTAAAAATAAATTTAGTAGAGAATTGTAATTTATGATATATTTATAAGCTGAATTCTATCACAACCGATAAAATTTCATTTTGTAAGATCCAGGCAATAGCTTTGTATCAAGATCTAATGGCTGACATGAGAGTTTAGAGAGTACTAAATATAAATTGAATGACAGGCATGGACCATGAGAGTTTAGAGAGTACTAAATATAAATTGAATGACAGGCATGGACCATGAGCCCAATAATTGACTGGGCCATGGTATGGCTGAATTCTCATAAAAATAGTTCTGAAATTTTATTTACATACATTTAATAATTCTTTGGAATCAAGATGATCCAAGTCTTTATGTATATGAATCTTACATCAGTTTTATTATTTTTTTTATACAATTCCCACATAGACCTTATGTGAGTACACTTGAATTTCGCAGATTATTTATTTTTTTTACATTTCAATATAATTTTCGATAACTACAATTATATAAATAAACTGTTTGATTTTTACATCTAAATTATTTTACAACATTTAACACAACAATAGACCTATAGGTGGCTTTAATATTAATATCCTCAAATCCTCCTTTAACGTACACATATCACTTCAATATTAAGTCTTTAGCTTCATCATCTTCCATGCAGATATATACACATACAATTATTGATCATATTACATATAATTACATGGAATTCCTTTGGTTCACAACCATATCACACAGACCAATCACAAACAAGTTAATGTGACTGAATGTCAATCATTTGAATTTGTTGTACATAGTAACAGTATCATAGCAACATATATCACCAGCATCGAAGGGCTGTGATTGGTTGAGTGACTGTGATAATAGGAATACTTGATATCTGGAATCGTGGTAGCCTGGAGTTGATGAGGATTTTCTTCTGGTAATACTTTCAGAAAATTGGCACTGAAAGAATAAAAAGATTCAAAAAATTCACAAAAGTCTGACCATAACCCAAGGTATTCATTAAGGTCCTGCTCACAGACCCTCCTCTCATTTGGGCTACTTTAGTGGTTCTGACAAAAAGTATAGAATGCATGACTTCTGCTAGACTAATTAATGACACACCTAGATGGCAGTGTAAGCCAATTGTCTTAAAATATCAGACTGGAACAGATGACCCAGCCAAGATTGTGAAATTTATAGTTACCTAACTCAAATTTGGAAATATTGTCATGCCTAAAGCACAATATTATCAACATAATGGTTTTGCAATATATGTTTCAAGACAAATTTACAATTTATATTGTACATGTACTTACCCTTCTGCATCCATTCTGACCCAAAGGTCATTAAAAGTTTTATGGTTGCGATTTTTCTTTTTACGTTTTTTCTTTGGTTGATTGTTTTGACTGTAAATATAAAGAAAAAAGAACTATAGAAACTATACAGGAAAATATTTAGGGCACATTGGGAAATTAAGAGAAATGAAATGGGATTTAACGTCCTAATCTCCTGCACCGACTGAGCTAATGAAGACCGGTATACGCCATACAGTGTGCTATGAGGGATATTTTACCTGTACAAAGACCAACACAAGGAGTGAACCCTTTACCTCCTGGTTAGTGAGCCAGTATCTTACCCACTGAGCCACCGCGGTTCCCCAGCACACAGGGACTAAAAGACCAGTTACTATGACCATGTCAATTTACCTATTTGTTTCGAGACTGTTCCACAGTTGGGTTAATTGTTGTTGTCGTTTTTGGGCTCGAAGTAATCTCTTTCTCTCTTTTACTGTTAAATCAGAACTGTACCTGAAATACACATTTTATAAATAAATTGTTAACCAAATCCCTTCATGACAAGGATGCAATTGTCTAATAGTAATAACTACTGTCTTATTCCTTTGGGAGATGGGAGGCAGAGTAGTCTAATGTGTGTGCTGTAGATAGTATGGTCTAGAGAGAGAGAACTTATATAGGCTTTTGCCAGTTGTTCAATCCAATTCAGTTCATTGAATAAAATATTGTTTATACTAAGGTCTCTAGTTTTCAGTACATAACCTGACAAAGTTGTGGGTTAAACCCTATCTCTCTCTTAATCTTATGTCTTTATTGAATCTACAAGAAACCCTGGTTACATAAAGAAAGCAGAATACAATGAATTACGTTAATTCATTACGCATTTTATGTTGACCCTCTTCATAATACAGTAGTTCTTGTTTTTCAGTATTCAAATCTTGGTATGACTATTATTCTTTCATTAAATTCCAAAATGAATGAGTTTTAAATTCTCCTAATAAGCCTATACATATATATGTAAATCATTTTCCACAGAAAAAATGTAATTACTGTATAGCCATTAGTCATTCAGATAGGACGAAAAAATGAAGTCCTGTGTACAAACTGGCGTGCATAGAAAAGAAACCCTTGGCAGTTGGAATTCAAAATAAGAGTAAGCTATAGAGAAAAATTTCCCCCATAGCAAACTGCATGACATATGCCATCTTCATTATCCCAGTCAGTGAAGTAGGATGTTGAACCCCCATTTCATTTCATTTCCTTTCTGTACAGCTGTATCCACCTGTAAAATAACCACCTAGTTCCATGAAGTGCCTAGAACATTTGCTTATCTAACTTTCCCAACCAAATGTGCCTTATTAAAAGTAAACCAGCAAGATATTTCTTAATATTTTTTCTCAGTTATTTTGGTTACAGCATTTTCTGATACTGGCAGTAGCAGAAAATTCGTAATTTCAATCGACTGATGGACTAAACACTTTATACAACGAATAAACGAAGACAGTAATTTATTCAGGAATCTTACTGATGTGAACTTCAAGCTGGTACGTGAATTAAAATGGAAAATGTTTTGAAAGGTGTACCTATTTTTGTGGTAATCACATACATTCGAATAAGACATTCTCCATAACAAATTACCAGGAATTATTTTTGTTGAAGGATGGTTATATTAAAGGGAATATATTTAAGCTTATTATAATTATCCTATTTCCTACCAGGACCTTATTTGACCCAATTCTGGCTGGTTCGTTTCAAAATTGATTAAGAACCCTGCTTAAAAGTAAATCAGCAAGATATTTCAAAATATTTTTTCGTATGGCCGGATGGTTAGCATGCGGGCGTTGTATCACAAGTCCTGTCATTGAGTCAACTGGCGTGGTTTCGAATCCCTGGTTGTATGTGACAAGGAGTAGGGTCGCCTGTCCAACCTCGTGGGTTTTCTCCGGGTCCTCCCACTGCTAAAGACCCCTACGCGCAAGCGAATTATGTAAATAAAATTAAAACCATATGTTAGTCCCGAAATGACCTAGTCTGTGTCAATTGGACGTTTAACTCCATTTCTCTCTCTCTCCCCTTACTTTTTATTGTCTGGGTTATTATTACATCAAATTATTCTTCTATTCATTGACTTAAACCAGAATATTTTCTCTTACTTACTGTTTATTAAAGAGATATCTTGCATCACCATAGATTACATCCGAGGGAAGGGGGAAATCTGAATTCATATCTGAGAAATAATTCTTTCTTATTCTTGGTGATTTCTGGGGATTAGGATTAACAATACTGAAATTAAAACAATAATAATACAATAAATCGGTAATAAAACATGAATATTTTTACCAGACTGATCTATTTTATTGCAGATCATCGGTTAATTTTTTTTCTGGCAATGTTGACAGCCACAGCCACTGATCACCATTTGCATCTTTCGGGCTATATGTAAACTTTCATTGCTAATCCATGCAAAATTTGATTAGTTAACATTTAATTAAAGATACATCAGTATAATAGTTAAAAACTAAATAATGTAAATGCAATTTGCTGAAAATTTCAGTCAAATTGATCCACTATGAACCGAGAATTGAAATTGAAATTTCGGCCTAGTCTCATCATCATTACTAAAGTCTGTACGATAAAAAACATAGTCTCAATCATCCATTTCATGATTAAATTATGAATGGAAGTCGAGCAGCAAATGGTATCATAATCCAGTAAATATCGTAGGATAGTGATGCCATAGAGAGTTGATTATGGTCCGGATAAGTTAATTAATGTCTAATTAATAATTTAGATAACATTTCAGGACTAAAGAAAGACCTGCAGATGGCAGATTTAGCTCATGCATAATGCATGTTTAAGAAAATAAAATTTAAATATCAACGACAGATAATCACCTGACTTTGATTCAATCGGATTAAAGAGAGGCCCATGAAAAGATTTTAGTGAAGATAATTAGTGGTGCACACTTATTTTGCCCATATCCCATTGATATCGTCAACAATGGATGCCGAATTGTAGTTTGTAAGCGATCAAAAATCGATCAAAAATCCCTCAAAATACGATCAGAGACATGAATGACAACATAATCCCTTTGGTTTTATTTGACCAATGTGGTAGACCATTACATAGTGATGTCATTTTAACTTTATTTCATTCTAATTCACAGTATAGATCAAATACATTAAACTGTACATAACCCCTGTTTTATTTTAGGATAACAAGCAACAAATTATAAATGAAATTGGCAATAAAATTGTACAGCAATACTCAGTGTTTATAAAATGAATTAAATTGCATGCTAACCACATTGTAAACAAAATCATCATCTTTCATGTAATTTATAGTCGGGTGTTTAAAACTGATAATAGCACAGACACCATGTAAAGTACCCACTTTAAAATATGCAGACAAAACTCATACCATTCTCATTTTAGAAGATATTTGAAGAAACAAACCCATTCAATTTAAATAAAGCCTATTTTCATCTACCTTTTTTATGCACCCACATTGCATATGAGGCATGTAGTAGTATCTACATACACATAGTATTGTTTATCATTATTTTGATTTTGCAAAAATTGGTAAAAGTAGCCTGATGGACCTCCCAAAATATATTTTTAATTATATATAATTATACACGTGTAATTAGAGTGTACTGTATATATGCCTTTATCACACAACACTTCTTTTAAACAACAAATGGTGAGTGTAGCGCATACCTCACTCTGTGTTCTATCTTATTATCGTAAATATTGAGATATATACTTGGCAGATATTGAATAGACAATTGTTTTAACACCTTTCTTTTAAAAGTATCTAATTATTTTATCAGACAAAGTTTGGTACATTTCCAAACTAGAATCTTTGTCTTGTAATTTATACAATCAAAGTTGTTGTTTTTTTTTAAAAGAAAGAATTGTTAAAAGAGAACTTTAAGATTTCTAAGATAAACTGTGGATAAAAGTAATGATGATCGCATATGATGTTTTATTTAATGCATCTCTTCAAGAATTATTCATGGACTACATGTGCCAATTACAAATGAGTTGTTTTTTTCCCCCATTTTTAGAAATTAATATAGATTGGGGTTTGTCCTTCCCTCTTATAACAGCAAGTCAGCCATGCTAGTTATATCATCAATATGTCATTAAATTGTTAAAAGTTTTAAAACCTTGCACTACAAAAAAAGTATTGTATCTGATTCACTAGCTTTCAGTATTTAAAAAAATCCTGAATTTCTACTTTGTTTTTCCTTTTGCCTCAGTGAACAATCCCAGTCTCACCAAAAATTAAAGCAGCAGATTTTAGATAAATTTTAGGTAATAGAACTTATAGAAACTTAACAAATTCCATTGTCCTGTATTCACCAATTCTAAATATCAAATGTGAATAGAAAGATAATTCATCAAAATGTGTCTGAAATCAGCATTCCTAAAACCTTGAAATTATTCCTGATGTCCCAATGAACAACTCATTAAGTTTTTAAAATTCCATCAAAAACTTTCCCTGTGTCATGCTCACAAGATTTTATTGGCCTGGATGTAAATTGGGAGATAGCTACATGATCTGCAAAGTTTTTGAATTTCTGTAGGGTTCTTACAATTCCTGTAAATATGAAATAAATTTGACTGCAGAGAATTTGGAAGAACAAATCAGACGATTGAAACAGGTGTGGGTGTAAAACTTATAAACAGGACGTTAATTCCTAATTGATAATCAAAATGTTCTGAATTTTAATAGATTTTCTCCATATTAGGTTTTGAGAACAGTCAGATCTACAATAGAAGAACTAATATACTAACTCTGGTAAATGATAATCTGTATTCATAATAAAACTTGTATACTTATACTATGATGATATGAGTATATAATAAAACTTTTATACTTACTCGGGTATATGATAATCTGGCCCCGTATGTTGAACATCATAACCTGCTGACCTCATTCTATCAACTACTGTATTATTACCCAGATAGTGACCTGTAAATATACAGATTACAAGCTTCAAATTAAATAAGACAGAAAAGAGAAAAGAGCTACCCAAGACTCACATCAAAAGTATCTAAGTACCAATATTGTTCAAGATTGTGGTAAAGCCAGAACAAATCTCCGAGGTCTACATGTAGGTAAGGCAATAGAGTGTGATGCATAAAAAAAACCTTTCAAAAGATCAATAGTTATTAATACTCAATAATCAGTACGTTTAAGGAATTTGGGCCGCACCCTTTAAAATCGTACTTCAGGAAAATTCAATTTCGTAATTTGAATTCTTTCTAAATGTTTGTAAATATTTATATTTTATAATTAATGTTTATGATAGGCTATTCCACAAGGTATTTAATTACAAACTGCTTCTCACCCTTGATATGTAAATTTGATGTGAAATATTTGACTAAATATTGCCCCAAGACTAGAACAAAAGAGGTTGAGCTCAAAAGGAACCTCACAATCTTTGTCACAGAGGTTGAATACATGTATATGAATATATTTCTATGTATGTCTCAATTTGATTAGACTACGTACAAACATGTATACCTAAAGATATAAAATTACCAGAAATTGTTCTGTGTCCACATGCAATTATGGGCGGAATAACAGACAAGGTGGCGGTAATATACTACCACATGATGGTGGACGGAATGCCAGACAGACAGGGGTAATGACTTTATACTACCACACAGTGGAAATGGAATGAAATGGGGTTTAACGCCCTACTGTTCTGCTCCGACTGAGCTAACAAAGACGGACAACACAACAGAATGACAGACTGACAGTGGGTTGACAATATATTTCCACATTTCCATAATACAATGATGCAGAAGCTACCAAGTTGGTCAGAAAGGACTTAAACCAGGATTGTATTATCTTACCAATATAAGTAAACTTTGTTAATCAGGTTAAAACAAAATTTTAGAATTAAACATTTGCAAAAATTTTATTTCAATTGATCACAAAGGGCAAAGCAAAAACTGTCTTTTAGTATTCATCTTTGTTGCAGCACATAATTTGGCTTTAGTCTAATACAGAACACTTCTTGTGTGTTTTTCAATTAAGTATGCTGAATTTAACATGTGCACATTATATATACCTAGTTTCAAATCAATTATCACAAGATCACTTATAATTACTTCTTCCTTCTGTCTGTCACAAGTTTCAATTTTCTGTCTGAGAATCTTTAAAAGATTCAAAGCATATATAAACATGAATGGTAGGAAAAAATAAGACTCAATTTCAATCAATCGTTGAAGTTTTCTGTCACTATAAGTCTAATATGGAGGGTGTATCCATGATGATATGTTTACATGGTAACCAAACAATGCCATAGAAACCATTTCATGTCAATGATAGTATTGTTATTCTAACTCAAACTGGTTGAATTATGTTTTCTTTCACAACATTGTAGCCAATTATTACTACTAACTAAGACTTAAAGTGGAAATTAATTTCTATCAACTTTACAAGGATAAGCCAGCTGACACACAATTTAAAACAGCTACATTCTAATTTTACATTTTAATTAAATACTTCAGCTTTTTCGATGGAATATTTAGCTGTGACTAAGTATAATGTCTAACTAAAGTCTATTACATTCATGTTCGTAATCCAGATTATCAAATAACTGGTTTGAAACTGATTCCCTAGTACACAGCTTAATGTTATTTTTAAAGAGATTTTCCATGTTACAGGCACCTGTGGTTTATTCAGCACTAATAATCTCAGTTGGTTGGGTTGGGGGCGTGGAGCTTCTCCCTTTATTCAAAAAAAAAAGCTTCCTATAAGAAGTCTAGTCATGCAAAGTGCTGAAGAAAGACATAATTGCTATCTACCTGTTCGAAAAAATATGTGTGCAGTGTTTCCAAAATTCCTCATTTTGTGCAGTAATTAAATGGTACAATCTAAAACCATGTGTTAAAGCGATAATTTCATATTTTCTAAGGAAGTCAAAACATAATTATTTCTATGTCTTTTGCTCAATAGGTTATCAACTCACTATTATACGACCATGGGCATTATTTCCCACCCTTAAAAATCATTGACACAGGAAATTACACAATTACCTCCCATGCATTAGCTACCTTCAAACGTTGGAATTTGAAGTTGAAAATGATATTTTTGCCAATTTCTCAGCTGGCAATAGTGAATTATAGGATTAATAGGATTATTCTTTAACAAGGTAGGAGGGTTTATGAATACCATCTATTTTAAGGCTTTATTTTAATAAATTTTAAAAATATAACTTAAAAATATGAAATTGCAGCTTTAAGTTTACACATTTTACTGAAATATTCGTTTTTAATATTTTTTCACAATTGTAAGATGTATATATACACATCTAAGACTGTTGTGATAAACGTAATCATTAATTATAATATTCTTTTGATCAGTAACAGACACATGGTAGCATTCATTGGAGTCAGTCATGGTCAGGGTAGAACATGCACAAATTGTGCAGTAATCAATTTTTCTTATTTCATGCCATTATCGACAAAAAAGCTTTCTTAAAATACTTCTCAGTCTTTAAATCTTTAACTGTCTGCCCACATCCACCCAAAACGCAGAGAAATGACATTAATAAAGTAAAAACTAAAAAAAACAATTGGCCTCTTTACGCTTTTAAGAAGCCATTAGTGTTAATGTGATGCTCTATTTTTACCTGCCCTTACTATATAAATGTTAATAGGCTATAGATGTATCGTAATGTTTATATTGAATCCGAGAAAGATAAGAGTGAGATATCAGAGTTATTCCTGATAAACATATCTTAATATTTAACTATTACATAAACAAACTGATAATCTCTACAGTTCACATTAATTTTATCCATGTAATCTACATAATATGAAATGTCATTTCTATTTTAAAGCTTTTAGAACATTTGTTCAATAAACATAAAATAAATTACCAAAATATATAAAACATAATCTGTACAAAAATATCTCAACTTTAAAGATGTATTACTTTAAGCATAATAAAGTCATCTATTGGTAATTCAATAATTTTAACGGCAATATACGTCTAATCTTATGAAAGGGAAGCCAACATTGAGACTGATGTCCCCTTATGTTAATTCCAAAATAAATAGATGACACTCATTAGTTATTTGCACCATCCTCTTTGATTAAATTTAAAACCTAATCAGCAGAAAGTGTTCCTTATTGAACTCAATCAAGACATTAAAATCTAATGAACAAGTCGTGTGACCTTGAATCTGAGTCAAGAGCCAAGTTGCTGACTTTAGTACCAAGTCGAGTTCCAAGTCTTCACAAAGCCTGAGTACCATTCAAGTCGCCAATACATCAAATGAGTCAGCTATTCATGGCAAATAAGGTAAGTTATGCCCCCTTATCTCGACTCAAATCCTAAGCTCTTTCAAGTTGCAAGTCGAGGTTCGAGTCGCAATAAATATTTGAAAACGAGTCGCCAGTTGGTCATTGATGCGACTGAAGTCGAATTCGAGTCTGTGTCGCTGAACTTGAGTTCCCACCTCTGATGAAGACCTACCGGTACACCAAGTTTGACCATTCTAACTCACTTAGAAGCAGGTATTGAGTTCCCAAAAGTATGTTGGACAGACAGACAGGTGGACAGACCCATTTTAATAGTCCACTGCTTTCTTCAAAACATGGCTGGATAATAAAATATTTAACCCAAAATGCATAAAATGGTTATGAAAAATGAAATACAACAGACTCTCTTCCAATGCTCTTCAAAGTTAGAAAAAAAAATGGCAGAAGATATCCTTTCTATATATTACAGAAAATGTGCAATGGAATGAAAACAACAATTTCTATTTTTACAATAATTCTTTACCATCTATAGGTCAATTAACAGTTTGTTAGTAAGTCGTTACGATTTGTATATTTACAAATTCCTTCTCTATTAGGTAAGGTTGATAAATATTCATACTTTAATTAGGCAGAGTTGAAACCTGGCATGCAGAGTTCAATAATGAAGGAATTAATGATATAAACAATGAGGGAGTTATATCTGATACCTATGGTCTGATAGGCTGGTAATCAGATGTATATAAGTGATGTTGTTGATAGATATAGTAAATAATTCATAGTTTACCTATAAATGTTTATAAATAAGATTATATAATATATGACATATGTCTGTAGCATGTTACATTCTCTCCACATGTATATTTATGCCTACCATCAACCCGTAAGTTTACAAAGGGACAAGTTTCAATAAAAATTCTTCTTTCAAAATGTGATGAAATTTTACTGGCAAAGATAAGTTGCCAGACAATGAAAAACATGAAAATTATGCCCACAGCAGTTTAATCGTTTGAGCAGTCCATAAAGGTTGTTGGTTCGTGATTGCTAAAACATAATCAAGAGCAATAACTCTTCAGTAACAATCAGAAATTGTTGTAACATTATAAACTTAATTATGGCTCATTGGAACATAAATTTAAAGTTGTCATCATGATGTATTTTGCTGTTAATTAAACCATTCAAAAGACCGATATTCCCTCTAATTTCTAGTTGTCAGTGTGCACAAAAAAAATATCTTACGATATGCAAATTCATCTATGGGTCCTATTCTCAAAAAATCTTAACAACTCTGACCTGTGGGGTGATTATAATGTTTCTATGATAGGTGCAATAGCTCTGAGTTATGATGGGGTTCCTTCCTGTGACTAGTCAAACAATCACAGCAGACAAAACTTTGACCCGGAATGTGAACAGACAAGGCAGATGGACAGACCGACCACACTACCTATATTCCCACATAAAAACAGAGAAAAAATGACCCTTTTAAGTGAGCTTTTAATTGTCTAGCTAAGGCTAGGCCTGTGTTTGAAGATCATTAAATTGTTGTCAATTTATATGTAGGACAAATGAGTTACTGGAAATAACCCAGACATCATTCAAACTAATTTCAGCACCCTAATTGGCCACAGATGATCTACTTCCATATCAATTTTATTTAATGTTAGTCTATTTTTTGATCAGTAATTAATTTTGATA